CTTTATGTTTCATTCAACTAGAGTGGTTTTTTAAATTGAATTGATCAATTAGGTTTTTTGTTACAAAGTGTCAATTTTGTTTTAAGCGTATACCCTTCGGATGAAGCTTATTACAAAACTATTAAAAATCTCCAAAACTAAGTATTGATTTGGCACGACCAATGGAGAACGTCAATAAATCATCTTACTAATATTTAAATTTATTAGGATGCTTTTATATTTTATCTAACATTTACTTCAACACATATATTCGATTAAGCTATTTATATTTAATAAGTAACACTTATAAAACATTTCTAAAACATACATGGCGAAATATAATTTTTTTATTTTTTTTTTGCGAAATACAAATATTTCTATGATCACACTTATAAAACATTTCTAAATCCTTCAAACATTTCTAAAATATATCGCTCCAAATACAAAATTTTATTTTTTTCAAATATAAACATTTCTAACATCTACAGATAGACTGGGCCAGGGTCGCGCATTGCGCGACCAGACATCACTAGTTATACTAAGAGAGGAAATCAAACTTCTCTTCCCGTTGATACATAGGACAAAATCCTATGTGTCATTTTTCTATATATTGACACAAAAATATTTACAACAATCATACTAACACTCCTTTGAATTTCTAGTTAATAAATTATTATTAATTTTTAATTAAAGTATAACAATTAATTGTGTGGTAAGCATTCTATTTTGCATTCCCTAAAATGAAAAAAAATAATTTTTTTTTAAATCTCAACATTAAATAAGATTGATTTGAAAAAGATTATTGATTGGCTTGAATAATGGCATTACGTCTTGATTTGATCATTAAATAATATTAATGATTATTTAAAATTCAAAAATAATAAATACAAAATCATCAGTGATTCTTTAATTCAACATCACAGGTGATTGATTTGAAAAGATTCTCCGTTTGGCTTTAATAATACCACTACATATTGGTTTGATCATTAAATAATATTAATACCTTTTTGAAATTCGAAAATAATAACAAAATTATCAATAATTCTTTAATTTAACATTAAAATTAATTGATTTGAAAAGAATTTCCGATTGGCTTGAATAATGCCATTACATATTGATCTAATCATTAAACAATATTAATGTTTTTTTGAAATTCGAAAAAATTAAATATAAAATCACTCCAATATTAATCCATTCACTTTATTTTAACACAATTAAATATAAACATATGCCTAGTATCACTCCAATCGTATTAATTATGTGACTAAAATTATTATATATATATATATATATATATATATAAAGTGTGCTTATAAAACTCAACTGGCTTGCAATCCCAGTTTACACCGGAATCTTTTCTTCTCTCTCTCTCTCTCTCTCTCTCTCTCTCTCTCTCTCTCTCTCTCTCTCTCTCTCTCTCTCTCTCTCTCTCTCTCTCTCTCTCTCTCTGAATTTATGTTTTCTTTAATAATCATTATTTTTTGGTGTCAAAAGTTTTTTGCTTCTAACTTTTGCAAGTTGTGGTCAAATATTTTTCTGCAGCAAGGATTTTCGAATGCACATCCACGGTGAGTTTCTTTGCCAATCTTAATTAATGATTTCAATGTTTGATTCTTTTAGGGACATCATGGCGAAACATATGATGATGATTCGCGAAAATAAAATTAAAGAGTATAGTGATAGGTAGACACATTTAACTGTCAGGTATTAATATGAAACCTTTGCTTCAAAACTTTTTTAAAAAATTATTTTACCTTATGGTATAATTTATTTCTTTGGAGCATCTTAGACAAATGAATTAGAGAAGGCATCGTGGTTCTAGAGATTAGTAGTCAACGTTGTGACCTATGGTGCTGTTGCCTAAGCGTGGTCATATTTTCCAGTTTGACTCATTTTGAAATCACTTTGAAATCTAAATCATTTCATTGAGTTCTAATGCTTTGTTCAGGATGGTACAATATCATAAACAACAAGAGCGGTCAAAGATGTTAAATTATGAATACAAAATATATTTAACATGTATATCAATAAATGGATCCCTTTATTTTCTTCTGTAAATAAGTAGCGCATAAAAATTACTTTGAATGTAACATTATTTATTTAGTATTTTTAAATTGTATATCAATTTACTAACATATAAAATATTTCTTTGATTTTTATTATATTTGATTTATACATAATTTATCTATCTCGCACATCGTGCGCGAGTACCATCTAGTTAATAATATTGTGTTATAATTACGCTTTAATTTCAGACAGTAGATCGTCTAATGATTGATTGCCGCCCCTCCAAAACTCTTAACGTCTAAAGAAAGCCAAATACCGAGTAAATAAATGTACACGGTAACTTAAGGTTAATCTGAATCATCATGTTCAGAGTTTGCCACTTTAGCAGCCAACTTTGACACGTAGTTGAAGTTCATTGTACCATTTCTTGCATTGTTTTTGTCCCATTAATTAATAATTTATTAAACACCTACTGTGGTGAATTTTCAACCAACATAGTTAACCAAAATTAATTTGCATGCAATATAGCAACAAAATTAGAATCTTGGTACGTTACTATCTGGTCTATAATTAGAATCAATCCAAAAAGGAGCCAATGTTTTGTTTCTTTTCTTCCCAAACCCTTAATAGAGACGTGAATTGAGGCAGATTGGGTAATCAATCGGACGTCTTATAGTCTATACAACTTTTATTGGCGTGTATACTTGGCCATTTTGGGGTAAAGAATAAGGATGACGAATTGAAATGAAGACCTGTTTTATTATTATTATTACGTGAAATTGGAAATGTGGAGTTGGTATATTATATTTGGAAAATATGTTACACGAGTTTTCTCCAAGACCCATTTTTCCAACTTATATCTGAAAACTGTTTAATTTCCACCTGCTTCACAATGTCAAAAGGTTAAAGTCAGAAGAAACAAGAAATTTTGCCTTAAAAAAAAAGTCAATATTTAAAAATTTCAAAGGAACTTGCATCTCAGTCCGTTTCAGAATTATTTCATTTATACCTTAAAAATGAATGTTCAGTTTGAAACAAACGTAATATAACGAAAGAAAAACTTAAAAATAAAGAAGGAAAACATAAAGTAGTAGTACCAAGTAGGAACACAGCTATATTCTAATTGTAAATGTAGCTTAAAAAAATAATTGACCATTAACTTGGTAATCGATTACCATGTACGGCACATACTTAACTCGTAATCCATATGACCAACAGTTATATATTGTAAAAAAAAAATACTACTGTATTAGGGTACAGACTACAAAACAATTGATAAGTCTTGTTACCGGTCAACATATTCAAGCTTACATATGAAATGTACCCTAATTTTCAAACAGGTTTGAACTGTCTTTAGAACTTTGTCATCCCCCTTCCTCAATTTCAATGCTGTTTTTTTATATATATATATAAAAAAATAGTTCTTTAGTTTTTACCTGCATTGAAATTAGCTTGCAAAACCGCGTGAAATATGTGTCAAGTTTCTTCTGTTTCAGTGATTTTGATACTGATTTCTAATGTTATTTATTCATCTTCTCATTATAAAATTCTAATTTGTCTAGTTAACACCTGTACTAGGTAGGAGTTAATATAGATAGTATGATCACATTCTCTGGTAATTCACTAAGTCTAATTACATTAATCAACAAATTTGATGGCCCATTGAAAGCAACTAAGATATGACTATAACCCGGTAGTACACATATATATAGTATCGAAATGATTGTTCAATTTAGATTTTTTTTTAATATTACTACTAATGTATTTGTATTAAAAATAAAAACTCAAATCTGACGATTATTTTGAGATGGAAAAAATGTACTATAATAAATCTTCGTAATTTGATAGTTACTAAAAATAACATTTGGCAGTTTCTTTTATTAATCAATATCCAATTTCACTATAAACATTCATCAAGTGTGTCATTATTCATCTTCTCCCTTTCTTTACCGCATTAGTCATGAAGTAGCAGTATTAAATAAATCATGCCATCAATCAAACTGAGTCACGAGAAGAATTCTTCTCATCCTTTACAGTTTAATTACGCTCTCCGTCGATGTTTTCAAAAATTCCAGCAGCTACCTTCTTCAACCACAAAATTAAAAAAATGAACCAAACATCAGAAATTGTCTTCGCAGCAGATTTTGTTATGGACTTCTAGAAAAAGAACACGAGAAAAAGCTTCCATTACGCTGTCTACCATATAGGGATTAACTGCGTAACTTGTGAAAGTACTGTAATTAATTACAAACAAAAAATTTCTACTTCCGTCCCAAAAAATATAATCCACTTTGAGTTTTGAGTTTTGTATTACTATTTATTTTTAGTACAAATTTGAAAATTCAATGTGAACTAATTTTTTTTTTTTGGACGGAGGGAGTATAAAGTACAATGAACTACGAAATGTTTGGTTAAAATGGTAAAGAGTTTGCACTTCCTTTTAAAATGTTTTTTTGGACTTAAACATGCATAATGAATAAATATTTATTGGATTGGAGAGGGGGGAAAAAGGTTTAACCCCGTCAAATATGCATTCGGAACTGGTATAAATGTACGTAAGATATGTCCATTTAATATTATCTCGTGATTCTTGTACTGAAAAAAAAAGTAATCAAGATCAAACTTCCACCACAACGACACACCATGAACTGGTAAAAAAAGAAAAACACTAATATGCAAGCAAAGTCGACTTATAATATCAATTGTTATATGGACTTTACAAAGATCGGGTCAAACTGGAGTTCGAGTATCAATGGCTTTGGTATCCATTAATTCATTCTTGTATTCTTCTCCTCTCTTTCCCCAACAAATTAAAATCTTTTTATTAAAATTACCAAAAAAAAGAAAAAATTAATAATAAATATGGGATGCTATGTACTTTGCTCTTATTCCCATTTTCCATCTTTGCTTTCCGAAGGTGGGCTTGACTTTGACTAATCGCAAAGAATTTCAAGATCTCCATTCAGCTTTCAACGTCACGACCGACAACAAACATTACTTTTTTTTTTCTTCTTAGTCTTCTCTCCTATGCCAATCTCTCTATAAATGCTTTATTATATGCAACTCTATCAAAAGGAAGAAAATCTTCAAACTTCTCTTCTCTTCTGTCATTTGCCTTTTTTAATGTTTTTGGCCCTTTTAAGTCATCTTCTTCTCACCTTCCTCATTCAGCAAGTTGGATATATCCTATATATTTCTTCAATTTCTTCAACCCACACAACAAAAAACTTCTACACAGAGTAAATATATTCTAGAGAATCAGGTCCTTAGTTTTTTTTTGTTTCCCGGGACAAAGAAAGCAGCAGCTTCAAGAAGTTTTGTGTGAGATTTTGGCAAATTTTGATCATTGATTTGAGCTAGCTATGGAATTTTCAAGCTTGATTGATACTTCATTGGATCTTAATATTAAGCCTCTCGGCCGGGTTCTGGATGATCATATCCTGGTATGTACATCCTAAGTCAAACGAAAAGTTTCTTCTTTTATTCATCATCATCATCATCATCAGTCGAGATTCGAGAATTATGAAGTATATTGATGTTGTTTTTGTTACCTTTGAATTGGGGTTTACAGAAACAAGAAGTCCAGAGCAATTTCATCGAGTTGGGACCAAAATTGCCCGTGAAAGAAGAGGTATGTTCATCTCAAAGTTTTCCAAGTTTTTGGGCACAGCCCAGATGACTTTTTTGATATTTTATGCTGCCAAAAAAAACAAAAAAACCCAAAAGAACCAATAATCATATCATAAAGATTCGATCTTTGACCTTGTTTCAGACTGGTGCTTTAGTGGAGGAATTGAACCGAGTGAGTGCAGAAAACAAGAAGTTAACAGAAATGTTGACGGTGTTATGTGAGAACTACAATGCTTTGAGAAACCACATCATGGAATACATCAGCAAGAATCCAGAGAATATTGATAACAACAGCAATATTACTGAATCAAGGAAGAGAAAGGCAGAAAGCACCACAAACAACACCGAGAATGCCAACAACAATATCATCACCAACAATGATGCAAACATTGTTGTTAATGGACCTTCAGAAAGCAGCTCAAGTGATGAAGCAGGCTCCTGCAAGAAACCAAGAGAAGAACACATCAAGTCTAAGATTTCCAGAGTCTACTTCCGAACTGAAGCCAATGATACAAGCCTTGTAAGTAGTCATCCACTCATTTGTTGAATATAAAGATTGAAACTTTACTTGAAGATTTCATGTGGGTTCTCATCCTAAATCCATTTTTTGCATGATTCAGATTGTGAAAGATGGTTATCAGTGGAGGAAATATGGACAGAAGGTCACAAGGGATAACCCTTCTCCTAGAGCTTACTTCAAATGCTCCTTTGCTCCAAGCTGCCCTGTTAAGAAGAAGGTAATAATACTGAAGTTCATTGTCAAAGGCAAAAATTTAAAACATTTCTCTGGTGCATTTTGTCATCAAACTTGGAGGCTCTATAATTAATGGCATTTTGATCATAATTTTGTACAGGTCCAAAGAAGTGTGGAAGATCAGTCAATTCTAGTAGCAACTTATGATGGGGAACACAATCATCCACATCCATCAAAGATGGAAAATTCATCATCATCACATTCACCTTCAAGCAGGTGTGTAGCAACTACAGCACTTGGGTCAGTTCCTTGTTCAACATCTGTCAGCACATCTGGACCAACAACAATCACTCTGGACCTGACCAAGCCCACTAGCAGCAGTAAAAAGACGACGACCCAATTAGTGGAAGAGGAATCAAGAAATCCAAATCCTAATCCAAATCCAAACCCCATGACTCGAGCACCAGAGTTTCAGAAGTTCTTGATAGAACAGATGGCAACTTCCTTGACTAAAGATCCAAGCTTCAAAGCAGCCCTGGCGGCCGCCATTTCAGGAAAATTTCTGCAGAGTAATGTGACAGATCACAAGTGGTGATGGGGTGTATTAAATTGTTGGTTTGGACCATTTTATTCAAAAGGGTTGTTGTCAATCCTATCAAAAATTTGTCATGTTATGTGACTAGTTGAACCATGAAGTGAACCCATTGATGTATATATCAGTATTCAGTCCATCTACTTTAGAAGAAAAAAATTTAAGGGGCCGGGAGTTTGGCTGGGCTGATTCAAGTTAAATCCAGCCGGCCATTGAATTATGAATAGATTCTTAGAGGAGAAGCAGATGTTTTAGTTTTAGTTGATGAAGATCGAATGAATTTTTTCTCTGTAAACTTTGCCCCATGAAAGTTTTGAGTAGATTAGTCAACGAATGAAATGAATTTTCATCTTTTTCTTTGTCAAAGACGATTCTTTGGAAAATGATCCTAACAAAAGGACCCTCATGACTAGAAGACTTGGCTAAAGTTACAAGCGAACAATAATCGAACACCAAATCGGAACAAAGAATTTCGGTGGCCCATTGTTTTTAAATCTTGATCCCACTTTTTGTCACTGTTGAAAAAGTGGCCATGATGGATTAATCACTAGTCAGTTCGTTATTTTTCCTTTTTATTGAACTCTATGTATTTAATTTGTAAGTATATTGACACACAAAGCGATTAGGACCCCTTGCGATACAAATTCTCAGTATATTGTATCAGATCTGATATCACAGGAACATGATACGTAAAGTTTAGCCAAGAACAGTAATGTCAAACATTTGCCATTAAAAGAGAGAAGGATCTACGTACATAATGGGCATTTCCAACTAAGTTGGAATACCGCAATTGGCCTCAAAGGATCAAACATGGCAAATGTTAAAGGAAGGAGTCTATTTCTATTTTGACAAGCTTGAACGTGCACTAATGAAAGAACTGGTCGGCTGTACAAAGAGGCGGCTACGGCAGCTGCATTTCTTATGAACACCTAGAAAGTCTACAATATCTGTATCTGATAGACTGATACATGCAGCAAGAACTTTTAATTTAAGCTTTACATTAGAATGAAGCTACCAAGTCATAGCCTTTTTATACATTGAACGAGGTGCCGCATTAACTCGTGCATACAAAACATGGAACAACTGCTGCACAATGATGTATTTCTCAACTTCAGCTTCGGATTGAAACCATCACTATGAGGATAAACTGAATCCTTCCAGTGCTCTTTCTATTCCCAACTCAACTGGATCGTCGAGTTGTTTTTCTTCTGCTGTGATGACGAGGATGTCAGCTTTGTCTTTTCCGTTGACCTTACTGGAACAGTCTGCAAATCGGAAGCAACTTATAAGATGGTCATTGGTGATTCCAGCCACCTGCATGAACGAGTAAACAACTGTCGGTCCTATTCCTCGAAATCCTCTTCTAACAAGGTCCTTGCTAATAAATTCTGCTTTAGACGTCTTTATTGGAATCTGACGTGGATAGCGGAATTGACCAACTATAGGCTTGTAGTTAACAAAACCCCATACATATTGGTCAAAAGAGCCGAATTCCGCAATGACCTGCAACATAGGCGAGAGTTCAGGCATAAAGATTGAGATGAATTACCAAATAAGTTTAGCATATTTCCTACATTTCCCAGTTAAGACTGATTTCAAATACATGCATAAAAATCTTCTTTGTACCATATCAGGGTGTTTCAATAGATACACTTTTTGCAAATACCCTTTTCATCCTCGTAAACCATACATAGGCAAGAGTTCAGGCATAAAGATTGAGATGAATTACCAAATGGTTAAGTTTAGCATATTTCCTACATTTCCCAGTTAAGACTGATTTCAAATACATGCATAAAAATCTTCTTTGTACCATATCAGGGTGTTTCAATAGATACACTTTTTGCAAATACCCTTTTCATCCTCGTAAACCATACAAACATGTACAGTGTCCCTTAATAGGTGCTAACTGCTAAGTAAACTCTTCTAGAGGGAAAGGGAAGATTCCTCATTTTAAAGGAAGGTGGAAAGCTCCTCTCTTTTATTTGATCAAAGGTACTGGACTCCAGACAACATAAGCGGATTTCGGAACTTCACATTCACAAGATGCACATCTAATGCTACGGTTACATTCTATTTCAGTCTCATCCCAACTAATAAAAGCATATGACCTGCTGTTGGCACCTATTGAAAATCCAAATGCAATCACTTTTGGGAATTTAAGGCCTATGGTTCACACAAAGTTTGTAGGAAAGGCATTGTTCTGAAAGAGCTTAAGAACGAAAATAGCACCTACCTTACAGGTTTGGCGGGCATTTTCAACTATTGCACGTAACTTTAACTCAGACAGAAGAGTACTAGCAGGGCTTCCTGGAGCCGTTAGCTTCTTCTCATTTAATTTTGAGACTGCAACGGGATCAAAATTCTGAAAGACTTCTCTGCATCCAGTAAGTTCAAAAGCATTAATTCCTTAGTCTGTTATAATGGTGAAATTGCAAGTTACTTGAGAATACCAAGTTAGCTTCTTTTCCATATCGTATAAGATAATATTTTCCGGAAAAAAATTTGCTGCCCTAAACTTTTGTTTGGGGAGTGGAGAGAGCGAGAAAAAAAACCTGTTAAGACTTTTATTAGGTTTTGGAACAATTTTTTTAACTTTAGAGAAGCAAATGAAAAGCCTCAGTATAACATTAATTAGCTACGGTCCCACACTCACTAGAAAACAAGTTTGAACATACCGAAACGTTTCCCTTTTGTTGAGAATGACGGGCCACGTAAGTTCAGCCAAGGCGGTGGATAGGCTGAGCAATTCGAAAAGTTTCCTGCAAAGTGTCAAAAGGAACCCAGCTCAGATCAACAAGTTCATCAAGTTGACCACTTTCTTAAATATGCGAACTTCAAATGAAGGACAGGTTTCTCGGAAGGTACGTACTTGTCATCGTGCTCTGGAACTCCCCACTCCTCATCATGAAAGGCAATATATGCCGGATCTTCCAAGAAAAGAAACCACTCAGTAATCAGAAAATATAGATGAACAACAGCATACCGAAATGACACCCAAAAGAAACGAGCACTAACTGCTCAAGTGACTTTTTGTTCAGAGAGGCAGGACAGTCTTTTGTTTCCCGTCTAAGATAACCTCTTCACCTAGTGAAACAAATAAAAATGGCAGCCTAGGTTGTAACACCCATAAAACTTTTAATGCTTTTACCGGAGGAGACTTCAAGCTGCAAGTCGGTTCCTAAACCTAAGAACTCCTACAAGGGAAATCGACCTCCCGGACAGAGCACACATCAAGCTTAGTTCCTAATATAAAGCAACACTCGAAAAACCATTCTTTCTCTTTAAATCAGGCATCAGGTGCTTGAACTACCAAACTTGATCGACCTATTAATCATTTGCATAAAAACTGGATATAATACACCTCTATGATTGCTAACATTAAGGACGGGAAAATGCTTGGGTACCCTGTTGAAGTTGAGTATATGTGAATTTCATAGCCGCTATTAATTCCACTCAATGCGATAAATGGACAAATTCTGATTGTTCTGATCTTTTGTTTTATTCACAGTTTCATGTTCAAATCCTTAAACGGAATAGTTTACTAAGCCCATAAAGAACCGGCAACCAGCACGACAAGAACATCCATATATGAACAAAATCACAATTAAACTCTAATGTTATAACCTTGAAATGGCAGAAGTTCAGCTGAAAAATTTCAACTTCGAAATAGCAGAAAAGGGAAAAATATCTATTTACCAGTATTCGGCGTCACCCAAGCACACCTTTTCTTAGCCACCAGAAAATCATCAGCATATTCGCCAGCTGCCGGACTCTCAAGTTCACAACCAAATTTCTCAAATTTCTCGACTTTCTCAGTTTTCAGCCCACATTGTGACTTCCGCCTGATGGGCGTGGGCCTCACGCTTCGAAGACTAATCCTCCCCGTCGATGCCCGACTTTGGGAAGAATCGGTGGAAGCGTCAGAGGAACACGAAGCATTCATCGACAAATTGGAAAACAACTTCACCTCCTGCCTCTTCTGCTGCCTCATGACCGTGGCTACAGCACTCCCAGTCTTCTTCTTCGGCGACGGCGAAGAATCCGGAGTCACCACCGGAGATTTCTTGCCATCAACATCCTTGGTTTTGTTCACACTGACAACCTTGGGCTTACCCAGCGGCTTACGCAGCGGCTCGAATGCCGATCTGGACTTGTTGTTCCCCGCCGGTCCGAGCACCGGCCGCACCTCCGTCTCCGCTTGGTTCACCGATCTCAAAGCTCCAGACATTGACTTTATTCCTCCTAACTTTAACCCCAAATAACCTAAATTTCGCAATTAACTCCAATTTCCCAAAATTCTCCCCCAATTTTTAAACTGTTCAGCAAGCACATTGCGATGAAGTGCAAAGAACTGTAGATACTAAAACCCTAGTCTGCATTTCCAAAATTCGCATTTAACGATGATGATATTGAATTAAACTGAGAGGAGACTGTAAAATTAAAATTAAAAAAAAAACAGTGGGTAACGGGGAGATTCGATTGATCAAAGAAAAAACCAACGGGCAGGTAAAGGATTGGGGAGTGGTGAGGATGTTTCTAGATGACGGGAACGAAAAACACAGAATCACACACACACAGTCACACAGTAGAGAGAGAGTGAGAGAGAGTGGGTGACCCGGATGGAGTGATGACTGTCTTATGATTGCTGCGAAGACATCTTTGAGAAAAAGACACCAAAGCTCATCAATTCGTTTCGCCACGTCATCTTTGGCAGCCTGTATTGGGGGCATTTTTTCCATTTTATTTTCATTTTTTTTTTGCTTCCAAAAAACATTATTCCCTACTACTACTCTTTCTTTTCTTTTTTTTTTTTTGGTTGTATTTAGAATTATTATATACGTCTAAAATACACTTACTTTTTTAGATATATTACACTCGGTGTATAAAATTATTACTCTGACTAATCCGCATATAACTAGACAATTCACTCGAAAGTCGAAAGACAATACTCTCCCAATAATTTTTTTATTCCATTCTTGTTCTCTAACACTAATTTGGAAGAACAAAAATTAGGAGCTTTTTTTTTTTCTTACAAAGAATCTTTTATACTTGGCAATGTGGTAGTTGTGAACTTGTGTTATAAATTTTTGTTTAATTTGCGAAGTGGTTGCCAAATAATTAATTGAGTTCAAGAAATTAAAGGTTGGAACTTGGAACAATAAGAAGAGTAATAATTATGATGCAATATTATTGATTATGAGGGGAGAGATTATTTTTCAGAAAGAGATTTCGAGTTTGAATCCCCTAACTACAAAAGATGAGGGATCAAACCCTTCTTCCCAACAAAAATGGTAGCTTAAATAAAATTATTTTTTTTGTTATTCATATGAATCTAGTTTTTCTTAACCATTACTTAATGGATTTTTATGTTGTGGATTGTGATTCATAGCCTATAGGATATAACAACTTATTATGGGACAAGAGATCAGAATTTAAAACTAGTTTTAGGACACCCCTTTTACCTAAAAAGGTTATTCGGTGATTTTTAAAATTGACAAGCAGCCGGGAAAAGTTCCCAAAGGAGAAAGAAATGGTCTTACGTAAAAGAAACCCTTAAATTAGACAATGAGAGCTTCTTCTTCTTCCTCTCCTCGTCTTTTTTAATTAATTTTATTAAAAAATGTTGGCCAATGAATTGATAAAAGATAGTGATGAAGTTATCATCTAATTGGTCAACAAATGTATACATCTATCAAACATTAAAAAATTTACCAAATATCACTTTGAACCAAATTCAAAGCTTGAAACGTAAGTAATGAACGAGAAAAGTTGTTGAAGTTTAGAGGAAGCCAATGCAAAACTTGCTGGCAATATTAATTTTGGTTTTTACAATAAATTTTTAGTTCAAGTAGTAAGTAGTAAGTACTCCTTTTGGTGAAGATTGGTATAAAGAACTAATGGAAATGAACGTAAGCTAGCTGTTGAATGTTAATTAGCGTTTGATTTAGCCTTTTTGACCTTGATGACGCTTTTGTGGTTGTTGTTGAGTAATGATCATTAAGTCTTAAAATAAATCTGGTTAAGTAGATGGAGATTAAATTAAACAATTTAATTTAGTTTTCTCCACAAAGATTATGACATTATACTCTAAGCGTATTAATAATGTCTGGTTGTTAAGCAAATTGTAACAAATCATAGTCATAGTTTAATGTGACCGACGTTATATTAGATAGAATTAAACAGTAAAAGATCTTTTGTGATATTTTTGTGTTACACTCCGTGTGACACTATCTAGACGTGTTTAATCACTTCTCCAAATAGGTTCACTCAACATTTAGTTAGAACGTTGACTTTAATAATAATAATACGTGTCATTTAATTTAACTATTATCACACAAAAGTGACACGGAAGACCCGGGAGCGAATTGGACATATTGTTTCGGATCATTATTTATCCGGTTCACCAAGAAATTCGATACACTATTAAGGTTGCATATCTTTTCACTTTTCATTTTTCTTTTTTGTTAAAAGGGTAGGGGGGAGTGGGGCCTACTTATCCAACCATCTTCACACATTCAAATCCAACGTCTACTATGGTAATTGTGTCAACCTTTAGCAAATCCTACTATCCCGTAACAATGGCCAACATTGTTGTTATTGAAGTTATCATCTAAGTCCAAGAAACTTGAGTGGATTGAATTCTCTGCAATGGCTGCAACTTCTTCTCTACTTTCAAACTCAATCTCAAAGCTCCTTGGCCCAACTTCTTCAATCCCTTTCACAAGTTTAAACAATGCTTCTCAAACTCAAAGCTGTTTCTCATCCGACCCACAACCTTTTTGTACTACTAGAAAACTAAACAAAATCAGGGCCAATGCCAAGAAGAAGAACTCCTGGCTGGACCCTTTTGATGATGGGGAAGACCCTGATATGGAGTATGGATCTCTGTTTTCTGATGGAAAGCAAGATGAAGATCCAAGGCTGCCCGATGATCCCAACAGTCCAAGAGGGTTCTTGAAATTCCCCACAGGATTCAGTGTGGAAGTCGCTTCCTTGGGATCGAAAATTCGAGGCGATGTTCGAAGGTGCTGTTGCATTATTTCTGGTGGTGTTTATGAGAACTTGCTGTTTTTCCCGACGATTCAATTGATAAAGGATAGGTATCCTGGTGTTCAGATTGATACCGTGACGACTGAGAGAGGGAAACAGGCTTATGAAATCAATAAGAATGTGAGGTGGGCTGATGTTTATGATCCTGATGATGACTTCCCTGAGCCTGCAGAGTATACTGATATGATCGGAGTTCTTAAGGTTTGGTTAATTACAATCTAGTCGAAGGATTCTTGAATTAATGCATCAAAGAAACCGCTTGTTTTCGATCTTATTAATTTCAATAAGTAGTTTCTTAACCAATGCCAGAGGAAGAACTAATGACAATTGGATTCAAAATGCAGTCTTTGGGCAGAAAAGTAGGCATGTCCTCAAGGTTCATATGTTTTCAGAACCAATTCAAGCATACCTCAAAAGCTTTAGGTTTCTGTAGTAGAATGGCGAATAGCTTCAGAACCATGGCAAAAAATACCAATTATATTGTTTAGCAGATATTTATCAGTAAATTAGAGTTCTGTGCATTTGATGTTTATAATCAATTGGTTGCAGAATAGGTACTATGACATGATCCTGTCAACTAGGTTAGCTGGGATTGGGCATGCTGCATTCATGTACATGGCGACAGCTCGAGAAAGGGTCAGTTACATATACCCGAACGTCAATGCTGCAGGAGCCGGCTTATTGCTTTCAGAATCTTTCAAAGCTGACAGTATGAATCTTTCGGAGGGCGGATACCATATGTAAGTTCGATAAAAAAAATAATAAAAAAAACATAGAGCGAAAAACTTGAAAGCCAACGATTTTCCTGTCGAATGTATGTGTTTAGCCTAATGCTATACAAATGTGTTATTACTCCATGAAAGTTTCCAATGTGATACAGTCATGACACTCATGGAATTCACGCAATTAGGTACCATCAAATGGAAGAATGGTTGGGAAGGCCACGGAATAATGTACCTAGGCATGTTGTTTCTCCCTTAAAGGTAACCATCTCAAGGAAGGTCAAGGAGGTTGTGGAGGAAAAGTACAGGAAAGCCGGTGCACAGAAAGGCAAATACGTAGTTATTCATGGAATAAAGTGCGATTCAAAGGCGTCTATGCAGTCCAAAGGCGACCCTGATAGCTTGCTACCTATTGAAGTATGGAATGAGATAACCAAGGCAATTAGGTATGATACATCTCCATATTTCTATCTGTACATTTTTCAGCAAGGAAATTGATTTCTATGCATAACGTAGCTGAATTTCTTTGTTTGACAGTGGAATCAGGCCACTTTTTGTCATCCCACATGAGAAAGAAAGAGAGAATGTAGAAGATGTAGCGGGATATGATGCAAGTATAGTGTTTATCACAACTCCAGGGCAGGTACTAATATTAGTTCATTGCTCTTTCAAATCAGACTATAAAATGTCAGCTTGTGTATATCAATAACTGACTGAAGCAAGGAGTCAGTTCCAACGAATCGTTTATCTTCTTTCCTTGGCACAGTTGGCTGCTCTTATCAGCGATTCAGCCGGGGTGATAGCAACTAATACAGCAGCAATTCAGCTAGCAAATGCACGCGACAAGCCGAGGTAAACTCTCTGACAACATTGCCTCATGGGATGAGCATTTCTTTTCCAAATACATTGATCTGTTTTGTTGTCCAAAATTTTGCAGCATTGGGTTGTTTTGCTCGGAAGAAAAGTCGAACGCATTTGTTCCGAATGCAGAAGAGAAGAAATGTGCACTAATTTCATCTAAAACTGGAAGATTAATCGATATTGATGTTGAGGCTGTGAAGAATGCTGTGCAGGTGTTCACAGTGCCCCTTGCTCTTGCTGCTGTATAGTGTGTAGTACAGTTTCCTTCTTACTACAATGCATATTCTGTATTTTTCGGTGAAAGCGACGAAAAAACCATAGGCCTTGAATTTCTTGGAGTTGTACCTACCAAGTTTCTTAGTTTTTATAGAAGATTCACGCTCATTCTAAGTCATCATGATAGCCACAAAAGATCAAATGCCTACTAATCAAGGGTAAGGTTGTGTACAAACATTCTGATAACTTAAAATATAATCAAATGTCAACTGATTACTGATCAAGGATAAGATTGAATACAAATATCCTCCACTCTCCACTCGCAACCTTGCGAAGTGTGGACTCTTTAGACACCGGTGATTGATTATGATTATTACGATGTGATTACATAAATACTGCTATTAACTCTATAAATGATTTTGCGTCCCAAACAAATTCTGTACTTGAATAGAATCTAGATTAGTTTTGAACACCCGATGTACAACAAAATTGTTGACCCAACCCTTTTTTGTTCTCTGTTTGCTGGTGTAATCTCCCAGTCCCGCTTCTGTCATTACGATTACTAGTTGTGTCCCGCGCTTTGTGCGGGTTTGTCAATGTTAAAAATTTATCTTCCAAAAGAATTAATTAGATAATATAGTTATTAATATTTCTTAAAGCCGTAATTTTTTTTTGATTAATCAATTTTAGATCAAAATGAGAGGTATTGATATTATTTATGAGATGTATATTTGTAAGATCTGGCCAAAAATATTACAACAAAAATTTTGAAAAGTTGTATGTCACTACTAACTTATGCTTGAAGACAAAGTAGCACATAAATAAAACTTTAAGGGCTAAAATGATAATAAGTTAAAAGTGATGCTTGATGGTCTCAATTAATGTTATGTCACATAAATGTTATGCTTGATAATAAAAATTGTCACTACTAACTAATGTTATGTTTGGATTAAAAAAATATTAAAAAATATGTAAATTATGTCTAGATGCCTATGGCTTATTTATAGGCAATGGGACTTTGGGGATTATACACAATTAATCGTCCTTGAAAATGTAAAATCGATAAAATTAAAGACAAAGTAGCACATAAATAGAACTTTAAGAGCTAAAATGATAATAAGTTAAAAGTGATGCTTGATGGTCTCAATTAACGACACGTGTCGATTATCTTTCTTTCCTTTAATATATATAATTATTTTTGGTTCTCTCTTGTAAATTGGCTTGGCTCCATGAGCTTGAAGAAACTTTGGTCCAAGTTTATATATCTCAAAATCAATTTTTTTTTTGGTTGTATTTACTTATGGGCAAGTATATTGTTTAAGAATTGAGTTAAATATCGCAGATTCTTTAACAAACATAAAGTCATTACTACCGTAGTCCACAGAATGAGTGTCCACTATTCATATGCCTTTAATATGGCCGTGCAGTATGGCCTCTGTTAAATTGAATCCAAAGAATATTGAGTATATAATAAGAAGGCATTATATTTAGCGGACTGTTCCATTCCACATTAATCATCTAGTAACGATAATTTAAGAAGAGGAATCTACAAGACCAAATTGTGAATTCAATAAAACAGAGGATCAGAAGGGTACATTAGAAAAGACTTCAGGGTTACATATTGCAAATATCCAGATTTTTATAATAGCGGCTAAGCTCGCCCTTTTCACTTTTGGTTCCGTCGTCCTCCTCAGTATCTTCGCGTTTTTCACTGAAATCTTTTCCACCAGTTCGTAAGAGCGGCGTCGTTGGATAGCAGAACCGGTCTCGCCCCGGGATTCCATCGGAGCCAAGCAATTGAATTCCGTCTCAGTTGAAGGTGAACCCTCTTTCTGTTTTTGCCGTTTTATCCCCCTTTTGTGTGGGTATAATAATTTGAGTATTCCGCCAACCAGGGAGACTTCTAGAGTTTCAATACAAGTTTATATTGAGCAAATAAATCACTATTTGGTTACTGTCATCATAATTTCTGTACTCGCGAAAAGGGTTTCTAATCTTTTCAGGCATTCTCAATTGTACAGGAGTCCTCATATTGCTGCCTTTCTGTTTGGCATCCTTTTTCCTTATTTGTAGTATCGAGGTGGGAATTCGTCTCATGAATTTCTTATCATCATGTGTGGCAGAACATTTTTTCTGTTATAATTTTTGTATTTTGCGTTTGAAGCAATGTCGGTTAATGGAATGATCTTAGAGATTTAAAGTTATTTTTGCCAATCAAAGGGTTTGAATTATGTCGTCAATATTTAATCTTCGAACAGTTTCCATTTTATTTCGTACTAAAAGAAAGAAATAATTATTTCCCCCCTCCTTATGGCCGAGCAGTTGTAGCTGTTATGGTGAAACCTCAAGGTGCTTGAGCTACATGTGTTTGCAAAGTGGTAGATCAGAAATTTGGGATGAGCAGCCTTCAAATCACTGCGCAGCAGCAATGCGGCAATCTAACAAGCCTTTCTCATTTTCGTTCTGCTTCAACTTTTCGGGGTGCTGGCTCACGGCAGATTTTCAGCCCTCCTAAGGCTGCGTCAACTTTCAGAGTTGGTGAAGCACTCCCTAACATTTGCCTCAACTGGAGTCTTTATCATTCTGGATGTCACAAACGATCCCCTGTGTGCAAATTCAGTGGTGAAGGGAGATCCCAAAGTGGTGACCAGGTAAGGGTTTTCGTGAAGGATTGACATTTTGTTTGCATGTAGCTGGATGAAATTAAATGGCTGGCTTAAAGGAAAAAGGTGGAATCTAGAATGTAAAATTATAAGCTAGTTCGTAGGCCCATAGTTCAGTCACTATGGCTAAAGTACTTGGCTTGAGAACCCCAGGGGTGCGAGATCTTTTTTTCCTCATCTAACCAAATGGTACCTCTTAATAGGTTGTTTCTGCCGCTAGTTCCTTATATTGCTTTTTCCCTGGCGCATAAATTCCTGTAACCTTTGTTTTCCTTACGTGTACGGTTGTGTTGTACTTTTCGCTTATTTGACCAAGTGAATAATTTAGCTAGCTGGTCCCGTCCTATTGCCTGAAAACACTTAGGGTTCTCTTACATGTATGATCACCACCCAAGTTTTGGCAAATTCAAGTGTAGAAGTGACCCTCAGAGCGTATCATCTCGCGTTTAGCTGATTATGTGAAAACCTTGCTATCTTGGAAACTTGGATGCATTGAGCAGAAATGATTATCTTTTGTGTGGTTGCCATGAGTGCATAAATGAAACCACAGGAAAGCATGGAATGAATTCACCAGTGGGAAGAGTTATCCTCGGAGCACTTTCTTCTTGTTCTCCAGCCACAGTTCTTTATTAAGAATACTATAACTCCAAGTTCAATATAGTGATGGACCTGATGGTACAATTATAACTAGAGAAGAACCAATGTAATGGAATGATTTAAAATATGATCAATCCCGTATACAAACAGATAATAACTGCCAGCTAAGTTATAGGTTCTCATATTGGTTTTTATACTAGTTGGATTCACTTGATTTAGAATCTTTAAGTACTGCTACTTCATCTCTTCCTCTGTTTCTCTCTCTCCAGTGAGTATTGATTATTTATATAAAGAGTTTTCTTTTCCACAAACAATTCTTACTTGAGCCATGTTGCTGGTCTCTTCATTTAGTTTGTTTACATCTATATCAACAAGAGGAAAGCAGTAGGGAAAGAGTTCATTTTCTAACATAATTATATTTGAACTGCAGCAAGGTTCTCCATTCAAAGTTTTCGAGAAAGGCCTTGGACTTTTTAAGAAGGATTCAGTGGAGGAGGTATTACGCAAGCAGATAGAAAAACAAGAGTATTTTGATGATGGAGGAAATGGTGGAAGTGGTCTAGGTGGAGGTGGAGGTGGAGGTGGAGGTGGTGGCAGTGGCGGACCAGAGGATGGAAATGTTTGGGATGAAGTAGTCCAAGTGGTATTTGGAACAATTGGCTTCATATTTCTGGTACTCTCTCTCTCTCTCTCTCTCTCTCTCCCTGGGCTGAAAAGAAAGGCATCTATCCATTTCTTTAAGCGCACATAATGACATCACTATATGCTGAAGCAACTTAGGAATTTAAAGGTTGAAGTTGCAAGATATTCAAATTTAATTGCCCATTTTCAGTCGGCATGCTTATGATTAACCTTATGGGATACAAGTGAATTTTATGTTAAAGTTGTATTACATGATTTATATTTATATCAAGGAAAATATGAAACAAGGACTGCAGCAGTTCACATCTTTGAGAATAGTGACACTAATCCAAAGGTTCAAGTTTAAAATGAAACACCGGTAGGTACTGAAATCATATGAGGAATTAAGAATATTATCCTAACAGTCAATCAGCATCCTCTTGTTATGGGAATATGATGAGCGATGACCACAATTCAATTTGGTTGAATAGGACATTCAGATATGTGAATAGATGATTCTGAATAATTGACTTTTGATCAGTTCTATTTGGTCATTGATCTTTTGTTTGATGCCTTTTTTTTCCCAGTATATGCTGATTATTGAAGGTGAGGAGATTACTACCTTTACAAAAGACATCATCAAGTTCCTGTTCACTCGGCGGATGAGTATTCGTCTGAGACGATTGATAGATGACTGGGTAAGGACTTTCCGGAGTATGACGGAGAAAAAGGAGGAGGATCCTTACTGGTTGGAAAAAGCAATCATTAAGACTCCGACTTGGTGGGATAGTCCGGCTAAGTATAAGCTAATGTACAGGCGTTATATGGCTTCGAGATCCGATGATTATGAGTAGCTTGATAACTAAATTCTTGGATTTCTTTGACCTCTTTCCTTTATCTGGGTTCAATTGTTTTCACTTCTTGTTGTTGTCGGAATATTTTTCGCTACACAGCAATTTTGGTTGATCTAGGAGTACATAACGAAACCTTTGATATTAGATTGCTGAATCTTGGGATATTTATATGATTGTTCATCCTCTTCTTTGTGTGCGTGTGGTAACTTGTAGTATCTTAGAGATAAATGTCGAATCAAAGGTGACTGGGTTTAGCTCAACTGCAGGAAACGCAGCACAAGATTACAAACAAAATAGTAACAGCGGGAATTTTTAAACTGAACTAAAGTAATTGATCTTGCAGCTATATTTTTATAAGCATGTAGTACTATATTCAAACCAATTATGAATCTTTATTTGAAATCCATAAATTTCTATTGTAAGAGACAAATGAACTGCCAAAGCACTATTTACACTGATGGAAAGAATTATTCTCTCTCATTTTATTGCTCTAAATTATAACTCAACAAAATTGATTACTGAACTGGAATGAAAAGTGTACAAATTTTAAAGAAATTATTTGGTTTTTTATTGAAAGATGAAACTGAAGCTTGAAGATTCCTTGCTGATTCCGAAATCATCCTTAATCTTTTAACAGAAAGAAGTTGTAATATTTTGCTCGTCGTCTGTTGCTCAAAACCTCAAATACATGACACACATTTTTAGTGATTAGACTGAGCATCAAGCATCTTATAGGAATTACAAAAACAATAAAAAAGTAAAATAAAACATACCAACCTGATATTAGCCTAACCGAAAATTAAAGCATGTTACTCCCTCCGTCCCATCCCTCCCATAATTATTGATCAGTTTGAGTTTTCATTTCTAGTTCAAATTACACTGAAAGTGAAATCTCAAATTAGGCCATAATTTTGAGACGGGGAGAATATTAAATATACAACTTTTAAAAGCTGACGGATTACTGAAATGCAACTTTTTAAACTGAATCTACTGATGGAAACTAGCAACATAAAATTCCTTTAAGGAAATCAATCAACGAACAATTCTTTAAGGTTATATATATATATATATATATATATATATATAAATGATAGAAAATCCAAAAACAAATAAGAAACGTGTTTACAAAACGAGAAACACATAAAATACATAAAAAAAAAAAAAACTGTCTTTCAAGTAAGGGAAATTTCACAAGCTGTAGATGCTAAGGAGAACTCCACTATATCATTACGTAGACTTCTCTCCTTCATCTTGGCAGTGACGACAGTAGTACTCAAATCGACCCTTTCCATAACACAACCACGTTCCAGAACATATTTCAACATGCTCATTTCACTTGGGAGGCCTTGAAACCTCGTATATATATAATTTTAGTGAGGCTGGATAATAAGCACTTGGGGGTAACAATAGGATCACTCCAGGAAGTTGGATCAGATGATAGTAGCAAACCTGTAATATTCAAAACTTCCAAATTGATGCTACAGTCAATTAGATTCATCAGGCAGCTCCATTTACAATACGAGTCCAACTGAATAACCCAATTGGGTCAATCTCTCAAAATTTTCCGACAATTGGTTTGCGGTCTTACTAAGAGACATCATGATTCCCACTGATAAGTTCGGAGACTTCACACGTGTTTAAATTCTTCAACTAACGTAACACTCCAATCGTCCATATCATCGATTCTTCGACAATGCCATCAACAGAACGTCTTCGCAGCTTTCCTGTTCGATTCTCTCCTTTAACCAATGCCATCGAACGAGTCACTACCATGATTGCTTGTTTTTGTAGTGGACTATTTTTCTTGTGGAGAGTTTCTCAACTGGAAACCTAATTGGAGCACAATTTCTAACGTTATTTATTGTAATAAAGATTAGATTGATGTGTACTCTCATGAAACCAAGCCCGACAAACAAGTTAACAACCAACCCGACTAAAATATTGATTGAGATTATAATGGAATATATCTACTTTCTCTATTCCTACTCTGCTACTCCTACTATATAACTTAACATTAACACTGAGGAATCATATTTTAGGATAGTGTGGTCGTAAGAGTTCTACATCTTTTATTGAAAGAAAGGTATGTCTTTGACATCTAGTTTTCCATATTTTGTGATTACATAAATAGACAAACTTTCATAGTAAGGCATATATATGTATCAATTATTTGGGTTGATCGGATCGGTTTTACGCACAAACAAACTTCCATTGGTATCAATCAGACGTCCGGGACAGTGTATTAGACAAGTCCCAAAAATTAAAAAACCTGATTTCAACATGACTAACATTGAAGAAAACTACAACTCACTCTCATTCATTATCTGAAGCCGATTCGACTGGGTTTAACTATCACCAATGACTTTGGAACCTCCTTACATGCTTGTTTGGGAGTTTAGTTTTAGTGATGAATTTGACGATTGTTGGAAAAGAAAATCTAGTCGATGAAGGGATCAGAGCAGTAGATTTTGCGATTGTATTTTTTTTTTTTTTTTTTTATCTGAGTTTGGATTTTCTTTTCATCATCTAATAATCCAAACTTGATCATCAATTGGGTTTTTTTTTTCTTTTTTCTTTCCAATGCAGCTAGCGATGTTGGATACCTCATCAAGATGTTAAACGGGAAGCCATAATAGTGTACTTATTATGCTATGTTTTTTTAACTGCCCAGAAATTCTTACATTGTCCAACAAGTCGAAGTGGACCAGCTTCGAGCTCCACCAAATCCATCCACGGTCAAAGCGTCGATTGATGATGGCTAGTTCCTAGTGGTAGGATTCTGGTATTAATTTCATGCTGGAGTATAATGGATTTAATTTATGTACTAGTTTGAAGTATAAGAAATTATCTTCTTGTGATACTAAAATGATAATTCATTATGTGGTTGATCAATAATTGGTCACTGCCCGTATGTATGATGTCTAGTATACGAGGAAATTACTATTACTTTTGCAACCCGATGAAACAATCGCCGAGGCATAAATTATACACTCCCTTTGTCCTAAAAATAATAATAGTCCGCGATCAAGTAAAAAAAAAAAAAAAAATCCATTTTCATGTTTATTTCGTGGTCAAACATGCACTCTACTCCTCAGAATCGGCATTGATGCCTTCTAAACATTGAGAAACTTTCCATTGGTTGAGATTTGCCATCCTCATCCAGGCGTTCTGCTGCCTTCATCTGAGTTATCCTGGTTGTTATAGCTTCAAGCAGTTTCTTGCCATGTTGACTAATACACGCAAGGCTCAAAATGCTTATTATTCTAGCTGAATGTCTTGCGAAAATCTCAACTCTTTGATTTTGCACAAAATATCACATTGAGCTGTCCTCATCTTAATTTGCATTCAGACATTACCAGTCACTCTCCATCTGGCCTCATAATCTTACCGAGATCTCTGGTCTTTGCATCTTTGAGGTGGTCGTGTCCGCGACAATGTCTAACCTCATCCCACTCACCAAGAGATTTGTCAACTGCACCCTTTGATGCTGATACATGTGTCTCGATATCTTGCAGTGATGCCTGTCCACCTTGTTCCGGAGAGTTGCAATCTCTTTCTTTAGCAGCCCTGTAACCAGCCTGCCGATGCAATGACCATGTGTTTTCATTGGGCCAGTAGACCTTTGTATTTTTCTCAAAAGTAAGTAAATTCATAAGCCGAGGGGTGTTTTCTGCATATTTTGGCAGTCATGTCGCCAACAAACTCTTCCGTGAAGGTTTCATTGCACTGATGGTTCTCAAGTAGATCACAAAACTTGCCGATGATGAAATTACTAGGCCAATATACATAAACCTCCTTTCCCAACTGAATACCAACCTTAAGTTACACAGTAATCCACATCTTCAGGGTCGCTTGAAAAACTACTAGTTTCTTCTTCAACTTTGATTTCATGCATTAATTGTCTCAATGTCGCGTAGATCTCTTGACAATGAGCGTGTGAATGATCTTCTGCATTGAAAGAATGAACCTCATGTTCCACTTCCATCCAACTCCAACCAGGAACCTTTTTCACACCTCTTGTCCTCATTAGCTTCTTCACACTAGCTATTTCATCCCATCTCTGAAGATGGCCGTACAAGTCAGAAAGAAGGACATAAGTACAATGTTCTCCAGGCTCTAAATCCAGCAAGCGACTTGCCACCTCAGTTGCCATCTCAATGTCACCGCATTTCCTGCAGACACCTAATAAAGTTTTCCATACCATAGCATCAGGCTGAAATGGCATTGCTTTGACCAGCTCCTTTGCCTCCACTATACGTCCAGCCCTTCCAAGGAGGTCAATTGCACATGCATAATTTTCCATGCGTGGTGCAATCCCATACACAGGTTCCATTGATTCTAGAAACTTTATACCTTCATCTACCAATCCTATATGGCTACATGCAGTCAGAACTGCCACAAAGCTTATGTGATCCAGCTTCACTTTATTCTCAATCATTTGAAAGAAAAGGTCAACTGCAACTTTTCCATCTCCATGTTGTGCATAGGCAAACATAATTGAGTTCCAAGTAATAGAACTGTTCCCAGGTGATGCCATAAAAGTCTTCCAAGCATCCTCAAGATTCCCACTCTTAGAGTACATAAATATGAAAGCACTTGCCACGTACTCATTTCTTTCAAAGCCTGATTTCAGAGCATACGCGTGAATCTGCTGACCCAATTGCAAAGATGCCAAATCTGAGCAAGATCTAAGGGCAGCAGACAAAGTATAGTGATCAATCTCCATCTTGTTGAACAGTATCTTCAAAAAGATATTCAATGCATCCTCACTCAACCCTTTATGTGATAAACCAGTCAAAATAGAGTTCCAAGAAACACCATCCTTAATCTCAATAGAGTCAAATATTTTGATAGCGTCGCCCATGTCCCTGCTGTTTGACTTCAGATACATTGCTATTAATGAGTTAGATATAGCTGTAATTTGTTCCAATCCTCTCTTTATCACCAAGGCGTGCAAAGATTTTCCCCAACTCTTTTGTGCATCTCCAGAACAAGCACTAAGTATGCTAGTATAAGTATAAAGATCTAATTCCAAACAAAGCTGTTCCATTTCGAGGAAGAGTTTAAAAGCAAGCTCTACTTGATTATGTTCTAAATAAGCTGCTAGCATGGAATTCCATGTAACTAAGTCACGGTATCCAACAGCACTATCAAAAAGTCTCTTAGCACTTTCCAGAGACCCACATCCTGAATAAGAAGCTATCCCGGCATTGAGCACAGTGTTCTGATATTCCAACCCCAGCTTCAAAACTTTGGCATGGAGCTGCATTGTCAATTTGTAAAACACAGGGTCGTCGAGCAAAGTCAGAAGCGGCACAAACGTGCCATCCTCAAGGGGCACCCTTTCCTGTTCCATCAATTTGAACAACCGGAAGCAACTCTCCTGATCACCAATTTCTGCATAACCAGCAATCAAAGCATTCCAAGACACAGAATTACGCTCGGGCATGTATTGAAACACCCTATAGGAATCTCCAACTCTACCACACTTGGCATACATGTCTAAAAGAGCACTACCGGAGTATACATTCCCTCCATATCCCCACTTAACCACATCTGAATGCACTTGTTTCCCGACCGATAGACCACCACTGACAGCAGCACCCTTGAGAATGCTGCCAAAGCTATACCCATCAAATGCGAACCCATTAAACTTCATGGACTTGTACAAGTCCCAGGCACTTAAAAAATCCCACGAATTCACATAGCCAGCTATCATGGTGTTCCAAGAAGCAGTATCCCGGTAAGACATTTCGTCGAACAGTTTGAGAGCAGTATCCAAATCCCGGCAATTTTTATAACCATTAATAATCTTATTGGCCGTGTACACATCGCCAATAACTGCTGCTTTAATAGCATAGCAATGGGTTGCAGCTGTCACTCTTGATAGATTAAGCACTGAGCTCTCAATTAGAGGCTGCAGTGCCCTCATTTGAGTTTAGTAAGTTTCAGCATGAAACTGGGCATCAAAAATTTTCTCTACTAAACCATCAATCCATGAAAGCTGAAGAAATCCGAAAGTTCCAGTTCTTTGTTAAAACTTTTCTATTTCAAAATCAGATGATGTCAGTATGGCCGCTTTCCGCCAATGAAATCAAACGAACATCATCGGGCCTTGGTGGAGCTCTTGTTAAAGACTTGAAGAAGGCCGGGAAGTGAAGAGGAAATTGCCCAATTGATCTGATGTTGTCATCGGCGCGAAACTTGATGAGCGGTTTTACATTTTCTTACCGACGCCTGCGAATTCTAATTTTTTGAATAGTAATGCGATGAAAGTCTTTAATTGGGATCTTGAACTTTGCCCCCCCATGAAATTCAAAGACTACGTAAATTCTGAGATTTTACACGAGTGATCATGTTCTCTTTTCTTACTATTTATAAAATAAAACTAATGTTGTGCCCGTGTGTGCTGCAAAGTAAGGTTCGATTTTTATCTTCGAACTATGTCTTTAATGTTAACTTTGTAGGAAAATTTTAGATGTTTGTATGAATGAAGAATGAAAATACAGTAAACATATCGTTTATTTTCTTTTAAAATAATAACTTTGTGATAAAATGCGAATATTACCCAAAACAGATAATATGAGAAAAAATCAGACATTTTTTTATCTTAGTTTAAAAAGGAAGAAGAAAAATACTAGTAATAAAAGCCATCGTCGTAACTTCTTATATTCTCTCGAAAATTTCCTTGTAAACTCTATTTGTCGTACGAGTACATAATTCACCATCCTTTTTACAAATAAGACATCTTCTAAACTTGACTCTAAAAAAAGTAGCGTAGATCTGGCATGCATAAAGATTGCACAACGTAAAAATAGACTCTGCAATTGCGACGGACCATGACTCTTATTATTTGTCATCACAAAACAAGCGATAATTAGAAAATGTCTTCGCTTTGAGAAGATTGGGAATTGTCTTGGATACATTAAAAACCAGTAATATTTTTAGCTACTACTTTAGTATTTTTTAAAAATCCATTGAACTAATTAAAAAAAAAATAAAGAGGAAAAAAAGAAGAACATATAGATCTCACTCTGTCTTCATTTTCATATATTTATATTCATTTTTGATAGCTTGTTTAATCAAACAAAAAGAAAGAAAAAAACACACACACATTACTTATTCAAAGAGAAATTCTTTCAAAATATTATTTAATTATAAAAGGACCGTCTTTTAGGGGGTCTCACTATATTTTCATCTTTAATAACACATTATTCCACATCGTTCTACTCAAAAGGTTTCGAGTCATTGGTAGGTTAAAGATCTCTAATGGTTTTGGTTGCTATTTTAATATTTTTTTGACAAGCCGTTGAAACAAAATAAAAAAAAATAAAAATGAAAAACCGACGGAAATTATTGCCGATGTCTCACTAAAACAGTCCATTTCTAGGGTCAACGTTGTGGGCATTCCTCACTTTCTTTTTAGATATTTTCAACAAGAATGTGAATATGGATCTTCAGGTCGACAATGGAGTTCCAACTTGTTCAAATCAGAACTTCGAACCTGAAAATGACCTAAGATGGATTATATGGCATGCCATGGCTCAAACTTGAGAACAAAAGGTCTTAAGGCAGTGTAGGCTCTTTTCACTAAGTATTGAGTTCTACAAAGAAAGATATCGAAACATAACTTACTAATATTCATGGCAAACTAGATGAGTAAACTGTAGAGTGCCCTACATCTTAGGAAGATAACTTTTCCAAGACATGACATACTTTGAAGTGAGACATCGGCAACGCAGTTAACAGATTCAACAGAAAATTACCCACTATTCTATTGTCTCCAGAATGAATTCTAGTTTAAGAAAACGTCGATAATAAGCTACGTATATGGATATGTAATGACAAAATCAATGCTCTGGTTCTCAACCATGATCCAGACCAATTAAAACATTTCCATAAACTAAGCCCTAGCCTATACATCATGAAACTAACTGACAATACCACTGCATAGCAGCCAGCTGAACATAGTTACGTTTTCAGCAGAAATCCATAAGGGATCACATAACCAAGCCCTTCCTACAAGTCATCAGGGTAGGACCATATATAGATACTCAGACATCATTAGCTTCAGGAGTTCCGCGGATTTTCATGTTCTCAGACAAGCAAGTAAACTAATCTGAAACTAATTCATTGGCATTTAGATCCCTCTTTAGCAGCCTTCTATTTCAACTTTCATTCTTGATAGACCTATCCAAGAAGAAACAGCATCAGTAGTTATTAAATTGCGTCCAGATTGAATTCTGAGGAACAACAATATAATTCAGCTTCTATCCGACTTATAATCGAAACATATCATCTGCTTTATCTAGGTCTAATAATTTCAAATGAATCCCAAGGCACCAAACACAGTTTAAGAAAATCTAACCATTATTCAGCAAACACCACTCTTACATTAAAGAAAATCCACAAAACCACAAATTTCTCAATCACCAAGAAACAGAAACAACATTAAGACAGGTTTGGCATATATGACAAGTAAATTTCTCAAACTAATTTCATCGAACATCACTCTCTAAATAAGTAAGAAATTAACAACAAAAACAACATCGTAATTCTCTTTACTAAAGAAACAAGGGCCAATTTTTCAAAGCAAACACCATAAAAGTGAGAGCAAAGGAAATGAAAAAGTTTGGAGAGAGACCTTAGCAATGGCTTCAGTGTCGCCGAGCCTCTCGACAGCTCGATTAAGGGAAGCGGGGTATGCCGGGTAATGAATTGCGAAGGCCATATTGTTGCTCGGCAAATTGCCAGATATAGTACCATCCTTAATGATACCCATGGTTCACTTCGCCGGAGCTAATAATACTCAGTCACTCACTCCGGTTGTCCAACTGTGATGGTATAACTCCGCCGCGCCAGAAAGATTTTAGCTGAGGCTTCCAAATACAGCAGTACTGCATGCTGCCTCTTCCTCAATCAAAACAAGGATGGCAGTTTTTATCTATGTTGTTAAATCTTCATTGATAAAGGGTTGAAGCTCGTGTTTTGCACCCTCCGATGGTAAGTTGATTGATTCATTTGCGCCATATGTTTTTGCTGTTAGAAAAAGATTTATCGATTGGTAGGTAAAATTTGTCTCTTTTTTTCCAGCTCTAGTGCAATCCTACAAGTGCTGAAGAGGCTTTTTCACTGAACAAGGGACAATGGAGCATGGAGAACCATGTGAGTTGAAGTTGGAAATGGTGACACTATTAATATTTCATAAATTAAAGTCAAAGTTTGGATTATATGAATACAATTTTTAAAATATCACAGTAGATCCAATTTCAAGAAAAAAGCAAACTACTTTTATATTTCATCCTATATCCTACTATACTAGAAATAAAAACCCCCCTTTTAAACACCTCCTATAATTGCCACGTGACATGAGAAAAGTATTAAATTGCCCTTTTGTCTAACCATAACTAAATTACTAAATCTCCTTTGCACTTTACGTGATACGTTTTTTTTTTTTTTAATTTTTTCTTTATGTTTCATTCAATTAGAGTGATTTTCTTTTCTTAATTATGGAGTCTAAATTGAATTGATCAATTAGGTTTTTGTTACAAAGTGTCAATTTTGTTTTAAGCGTATACCATTCGGATGAAATTTATTACAAAGCTATTAAAAATTTCTAAAACTAAATATTGATTTGGCACGACCAATGGAGAACATCAATAAATCATCTTACTAATATTTAAACTTATTAGGATGCTTTTATATTTTGTCTAACATTTATTTCAACACATATATTCGATTAAGTCTATTTATATTTAATAAGTAACACTTATAAAACATTTCTAAAACATACACGGCGAAATACAATTTCTTTTTTTGTGAAATACAAATATTTCTATGATCACACTTATAAAACATTTCTAATTCCTTCAAACATTTCTAAAATATATCGCTCTAAATACAAAATTTTATTTTTTTTCAAATATAAACATTTCTAAGATCTACAGATAGACTGGGTAATATTGCGCGACCAGACATCACTAGTATTCTTATAAAAGAATTACCATCAATTATATTCCAATGATAAAACAATATTTTGATTGGCTGAGAATCTCCGGATGACATCAGCGATTTAAAGAAAGGGGTAAAAAAGTCAATAGATAAACACTAATTTCTCAAAATTAAAAATTAAAACCTTGGCAGTTGGAGGTGATGGAACTGATGGCGGTGGTGGTCGTCGATTAAGGTGTTAGATTTTGGGTTGTGGTTCATATGAGTGGGCTTCTGAAAATCAGACCTAGGTTTTAATTGTGGATGGAGATGCTGCGGAGAATGATGACTGAGATGATGGAGGGATGGAGACGGGCGACAGAGATGGCGGCGGCAATGGAGCTCATTGGGTGGATATCTCCGAGGTGAATTTCTTACTGAAGCACTTTTTTTTGCCCACTGAGTCGCGTTTAGCACTAAAAATCTTTTGTGTCATGTTTCTGGATTATATATCGATTGTTTGAAAGGGATTAATCCGAATTTTTTTTTATTAAATCTTTTAAACCTTTGATCTGGTAAGAATTTAACTTTCATCGATCCATGTCACCTAGCATGCTTTAGTTCTCTTTTTATCTGCTTTTGTGCTATGCAGAACATGCCCAATAAAAAAAAAAAAAAAACTTTTTTTGTCTTCCCCTCCTATTTGATCTAATGATTTCTTCAATGTGGGTAAGTTTAGTATTTCGCTTCAGTTTCGTGTCGAGCTTAATGCTTCCGAGGTATAAGCTATATGCTATTCCCATTAAGAATATGTCAATCAACTTGTAGCGTGACCATCTCTTTCTATGTAAGAGATTTTTTCACAGAATCAACGCATGTTCTTCTATTTTAATGGTTCTTACAATTAGTACTCCCACTGCCCCACTAGGTTATTGTTTGCTGATTAATAGCTATTTTACACAGATTAATAGCTGTGTCTTAGTATAGTTGTTTGAAAAATGGTATTGATTCTACAGGAAGACTCTTTCAACTCTTAAAGTACTGTAAGTGCCACAAGTGGAGCTGTAAATCGGTAGTTGAAATTGAAAAACTGAAAAAGTTAAAAGGGCAAGTCAAGATCAGTCAGTTGTTAGAGACTTCCAAACTCACTGGGTATTTATATTGCTCTTTGAGTAACCGTTTGAATATCGGAATGGGCATCCGATGTTGGGAGAATTGATGCATTACAAGCGTCCGCTTAGCAGCAGCCAAAGGAATTTGAATGCAGATTGTACCAGAAACGTAACTCAAAAAAGCGTAAATGCAGAATACCCCGTGACCAAATATCAGAAGAAAAATGAATCTAATGAATCTTCATTAACATCTCCATATATATGATCCTAAATCTTATATGCATAACTTCAATAGAGTTTTTTATCCAAATAATTTTCAATGAAAGGACTTGGACAAAAATATATGTCCTGGAGTGGTATGGACAAATCTAGTTGTCTTTTGGCAAATCCGAATCTCCTTGTATTACAACTATGTGATGAATCGATTCTATTAGGTACATTCGGATTTGTACAAATGGATAGATTCGAATTTGACAAATCCGAGACAACCACCAAAAATAGAAAAAAAATTATTTTTGTCCACATCTTTTTTTGAAAATTTTTTTGACCAAAGCACCCAACTTCAATAAAGGGTCAAGGAAGAGGGATGAGCCGGATTACCTCTTCAGATCCTTAGATAGATATGTTGATCCTCGAGAACGTTGAGGTTTAAACAATTCATGGATTGGTAACTATGAAAGTTTTCATCATATGGATATATCATAAATTAGTTGATTTGAGTATTTGTTTTTTTCTTTTTGATCGATCTTTGAAAATTTCCAGAATGTTTTTCCGCTTCTGCATAGGGTCGGTGTTGTAAATTTCCCTTCATATTTCATTTCTGAGAAGATATAGTGTTCTTTACTCTTTAGTCGTCGAAATCTGAAGTTTATACAGTTCTGAAGGAGAAAATCATTATATATAGTGTTAAATGATTGAACATTGCAGTTTGTGGGTTTGTGAAGTTAATTACATATTAGGTTTTCAGTTTCGGCAAATATTTGGCTTTGAGACGTTTTGTGCAGCCTTGTTTTTGGTAATATGGTATCATTTATATCAATTTCATGATATAGATAGCTTCTTCGATTATCAAGGGTCAACTTTAGGGATCTATGAATTTTGGGTTTAAATATAGTCCTAGGTTGAGACTTGAGACACTTATTTTGCTAGCTAGCTTGGTAATCTCCTGTTCCTCTCTGCCGATTCTCTGCGTCAATAGTTTCAAGTATATGGATTCTTAATATGATGAAAAAGAACGTAACAATAATAGTAAGAGAAGAAAGGAAAAGTGAAGACAAAGGAGAGGGCAAGAGTAGGAGAAAAGATTATACGTGAGATTACTACTCTTCCAAGTTTCACATTTTTGAGAACTAATGTAATTTCTAACAAGTTCATTAGTGACTTATGTAGTATTACTTAGTCTTTATATAATGAAAGACCCCGATGTGGGGTGGATGTTTTTCTCACACTTTTGAATAAGAAGTTTATGAAATGTTACTCTTTAACTACAAATGCGTTGCAATATAAATCTTATGAATGTACATAGATGTGCAAAAGTATGTGTACTCTGAATTAATTTGCGAATGTCCTCCAAGGTTGATCTTATTAGAAGTTAACTTCCACAACCTAATGACTTATATTTTCATCTCTACTATTATTTATCTTGTCGTTCAATGCAACAGTTGATTGTCTACGTAGTAACAAATTTTAGATATACTTTACCGCAAATACCAACGTACATCACCGTGAAATACAAGATGGGAAACAAGACACCTGCGAGATTGTACTAAAACAGACAAGTAACAGAAATGATTTTGAAGCACGGAGATGAATATACGCCCTACAAAGACCAACAAGTTCAGCTCATTTACATGTATGGAGAATGGAGACAATACCTTAAACAAAATCAAATTGAACTAGGAGAAAGGCTACCGTTCAAACTCGAGACCAACGATACAAATAATCACATAACATCAGTTTGGACAATAGAACACATGAAGTTTATCAACAAAGACAAATAGTTTAACCAGCGATGCCCCTAAAATATTCTCCTTTGTTATATTTTTATATTGTTACTAAATTATTAAAATATTATACTTTGCAACCAAATTATTTTCCTATTACTTCTTTGTTGCATTTTTTATATTGTTATATTGTTATTTCTTTAAGAAAATAATTATTTATATAAAAACTGGTCGCGCAACGCACGACAAGAAGAAACCTAGTATTATAATAAATATTCCTAACTTTTGTATTCTTGTTTTATTTAGTTACTAACTAATCAGTCAAACATCAATTCATTAATATTTTCAAGACCAAAATTTATTATTAATTAATAAATTAATACATATATTGATAAATTAGTAACTTATTAACTTAGAGAAATGTTGTTGAAAAATAAACTTTCAATTTTTAAGAGACGAGGAGATAAAGTCGAGCTTTGATTATATGAATTTAATTTTTAATTTATCACTATAGATATAGATTTTAAGGAAGAAAACTATCTTTGTATTCACATTTTAATAAATGTGGCTAAACTTTTTATCTTTATAAAGGTTTTTGGAAAAATAATTATTTTGTTTATTAATCGATTTTTTTTATATTGGCCTTGTCTTAAGACTATAAAAAATTTATAAATTCATATATTGATTTATGGAGTTTTATTGTATGTACATAAGGGGAAAAATCATGACACCTTTTCACAGATATAAAAATTTATACACCCGAGAAAAAGAGATTTCAAATTACATGTCAATATTATTTTTTTTAACAATGGTTAAAGAAAATCAACTTTTGATTTTTTATTAAACTAGAACTTTTCGTGATTTTGAATCCCTTGATCTTAACTATTTAATTTATTCCATTATTAATATTCACAAAATATGAAACCTTACTACCTACATTGATGAAATGTTCTAAATTTTTTCAGAAAACTCAAAATTTTAAGTCTAAAAACTTGTTCTTTTGTTTTTTCACTTTAATCTCTCACATACATTTTTTACGTATAAAAAACACCTTTTAAATTTTTAAATAACTCATTGTCTAAATTTGAAAGTTTGAATATAGTAAAAAATTCATAAATTAATAGTGTTAGGCTTACAAAAATTTATTGACTGATAAAGATTATTGTTTTACCCATAAAATAACAATTATTGTTTATTAATACATTAATATTTTATAATTTATTTTTTCCCAATTTTATTAGGAAGCAAAATACTCAACTCAACCCTAATTTCCATATGTATTTATGGTCCTATTGTTTTATTTATGTGTTGAAAAGAAAATCCTAGATATAATTTTCTCATCTATAAATTTAAAGAACAAAAAATATTCAATAGCTTTCTACATCTCAAGCCTTCTTATTTTTTGATCATTATTAATTTATGATCTTTAGGGGATCTACATTTATATAGGAAGTTTCTGAAATTTATTATTTTATTAATTTATCAATTTTGTTTGATTTTTTTACTGATCCCCGGGACCGAAAATATTTATTATTTTAAGAATTATTGATTTATAAACTACATAATAAGGAAATGTAGGATGAAATGTGTCACTTAATGGAAGTTGATTAATATTTTTCCCTTAATGGAAACAGCTTTCACATTGCCGTAATAAAAACAGTCCGCATTTTACATTTGACAGTGCTAGTAAGCAAAATTCTTGAATTCCGTATCTTTAATTTGATTTTCTCGCCTGCATATATTTGGGTTATGTTAGCTGAACTGCAAAGTTAGTCCATGTTCCTCCCTATATCAAATGGATATAGCCAGCGAGAGTTTCGGCAAAATATATAAATAGGGGCAAACGTACCTAGTACTTTCTCTCTTCCAAAATTGTTGTCCAGTTTAAGATTTCACTTTTAGTACAATTTGAACTAGAAATGAAAATCAAAATTAGACAATAATTATGGGACGAAGGGAGTACATGGAAATGCAAAGCAGCTGATGGCCGATTGAGCACCATTTGATTAAATCCCTCAAATCGTACAATATTAAACGTTAGATTGAACATCTCTATCCGTTTGTATCATTTCTGGTGTTAAATACGATCTAATCTATTGTTTACCCAAATTTATATACATTCCTCTAGCCATTTCACAGACCTCAAAAGAATGAATGAACAACAAATCAACAAACAATTAAATACATAACCTAATTTTTGCTGGTGAAGTTCTGAGTGCAACTTCTGCGTACAACTATGCAGAAAAGCCAGCTTCCTACTTGAGCTCTATGAACCTCTCAATAGAATATTCTCATCCTCGTTTGAGCCACTGGCTTCTCTCAATAGCAGATTCTCATACCCGTTAAATCCACTGGCTTCTCAGTGCATCTTTTGATTTATCTCATCTCCCTCAACTTCGTTACTTCGTTATCTGCATCAACTAATTCGCATTTAGCTTTTGTTCCAACACACTAATGGCTAATGCATCAAAAGAATGTGCTAAAAAACATCGTGATAATTTGCTCGATAACTAGTAATGATATCCAACACAATGTTCATAACTAGGTCATACATCCCGTATTAAGCAGTCACTACACCATTCATAAACTGGAAAGGTATGGAAAGAGATTAAGCAAAGCTGGAGTAAAGAACACTCACAAATGTCTTATGCTAAAATTCATCAACCGTTGTTTAAATCAATATTCATCACCGTCGGAGTAGTTTCCATCACTATATTGCTCATATATCTCATATTCACCATCACTGTTATTGGCAGCAGGCACTTCATTTTCTCCTGTTGCATTCAATGGAAAACTACCAAAGAGCTCCTGCAAATAATTTCTTGACATGTTTCCATGGTCTGTATCTGGAGAACATATAGGACAAACCATGGTGCTTATCATATCAGACATCCACAAATCTCTTTAGCCAACACTCAACTGGTTGAGAAAAAACTTTTTTTCGTTTCTTTTTTTTTTTTTTTTTTCCAATTGAAACTGGAAATGTACATATTGGAGGTAAAAGTGCATAAATGGAACTCTACTTGCGAGGCAAAGACAATTTAAAAAACAGGACATTTTTCCCGACGAGGGGGTTAGTATCGGATGGAAACACTGGAGAAGGAAAACATACTAGTTAATATGGCAATATAAACTGTTCTCAAGGATACAAGAAAGGTCTGGTGGAGAAAGGTTCCCGGCCAGGGGTCCAATCTGAATAAAAAGCAGGGCCAAGAAAAAAGTAAAGATGTAAACACATGGAAAAAGAAGTAAAATTAAACAAAATGTTAGAGAATTCCAAGTAATTAGAGAGCTAAGATACTAGTGAACCAACTCACCTGCTCTGGGTCAAGAACCTCTTCAATGTTGTCATCTTCGATTTCATCATCTTCATCATCTTCATCATCATTGGATTCCATGTCTTGATCTTCCATAACTTCTGTGAAATGAAAATACTCATCACAGTTCAGGGGAAGCATATTCCACGTCTTCCAGTCAAAGAAGTCCCATGAAAAGATTATGAAAGAAATGGCATCAAAAGCGAGTATGAAGAAAATGGGGAATGTCAATGTAGGAGAAAATGAGTTCAATGAGAAGGGAAAAGGATATTGACCAATAAATTTCCGCTTAGAAACAAGTTTTTCGGGAAAGAAATTGGCAAAAACAATGCCTGTAAAGACATTCAACAACGGACAGGGAAGCAATATTTTGTATACAACTTTGTTTAACCTTTATTGGCTTGTTCCATGTCTTCAGTCACTTTCGAGTTCTTCGGAAACATGTGTGATATTTTTGACCTTTCAAAACGAGCAGAAGCTGTTTTCAAAAATGGCTCTGCACCAGCCTTGGGATAGACTGACAGAAACCTAACAGCAACACACAATCTCAAGCTATGAAGAACATGCAACGGGAACCATCCTGTTGCACACTGCACGGCAAAGAAGGTCAGTTAAAAGAAAGATTTGAAGACAATAAGTGACAACTGTGAGAGATATGTAAGTCAGCTTTCACGAAAATGTTCTTCAATAAGTGGTGCGTGGGAGACTCAGAGCAAGTAAGAAGTTAAAGATACTTACATGAATCATTTATTTAACAGAACAAATGCAAATAAAAAGAGAAGAACATCATTGTTGATAACATATAATATAAGCAGTTAACGTTTCATACACTGCATTCAGATAGACTTGCAGGTTTTCGTATTTCTTGTTGAATGTAATCATCAGCGAGTTCAAAAAGCTGAAGGGCAGTTTGGCATTTAAGGGGAAAAGTTCGAAATGCACATATATCCTCCCATCTCTGTTTCAATCTGCACCAGAGAAATATGGGAGAGTTAACAAACTTGGACTATGGCACATATAGAAAATCCAGATGAAAACAATAGATAGAGGAATTATATCAAAAAAATATCATTTAACAATTCCATCTCGGCACTATAGAAAGTATAACACATTCATTTGTCTACGGATGTCAATTAGTGCCAAAAAAAGGGTACTTGAACTTGTTGAGAGCATGGAATTTTAATTCAGATTAGAAATTGGGCTCTGAATGGTCTGATCCTTATCACTTGGCAACATATATAAGTTAGTTCAAATAAAGGAGATTTATCACATCAAGAGCATGGAAGTCTATTCCAGATTATAAATTTGGAATGAGGTAGAATAACAGATAGAATTCTCGTAACCCCAGCGAAAACATTCACGGGTTTAATCCTTTTCCTTTCTCCTCCCAGGAGGTAAAGCCCCACTGATCAGCGAGGCAATTCAAGCAAATGAATACTGTTTCAGTAATTTAAAAATTTTACTAAAGCTTTTGCCCCAAAATTTCACTTTGTTCTCCACCACTAAATTCCCTATTGGGTAATGCAATGTTACCATTATCAGCAAGAAATTACATTCCGAATTAGTGTCATTTTCAGATTATACACAATGAGATAAAGACGCTACAGCAATTTAAAAGAGTTTAAAACTAAGATAAAACTACACAGCAGGAAGAAAAGAAAAAAAGAGGAACACAGTCGTTACTTCAGGTAATTACCACCTCAACTTCTGATCAAGGATAAGCATTAATAGACCTAAAAGAAAAGAATGCAATTTGGTTCTCCCAAGAAAAGTAATCAACTTAAAAGCTAATAAGGAAAAGGACAATGAAGAGATAAGAGTAATCGCTAAATATACAAAGAACAAAGACAAAACCAACCCTGACGCAGTATTTGCTTCACAATAGCTTCTCAATGGTGGAGGCACGCGGAAATCAGTTTTTTGATATCTGCACAAGCATTAGCATCTAAGTGAACAAAGAAAGCAAAAAATAGCAATTGCTTGAACTTGACATCAATTTGAAATGAAGGTGATTAGCTGACCCAGATTTGGGATAAAGGTTTAGTGATAAAATGAAGACATGTTAAGTCTGAAAAATAAGTAAACATGAGTTTCTTTCATAGAACACTCACATCCGAGACTCAGGATCTTTGCGAGGATCATATCCTTTCCTAATCCAGAACCTAAGAAACGGTCCATTTGAAAAATAATATGCTGCCCTGAAGAGAAGCCTGCAAGCCAGAATGGAACAGCAACAAAAGTTAGAGAAACTATATGAGTGTGAGATCGTGTTGTTCCCATTGACTCTGAATGAAAAGAACACATTACAACACAGTGAGAAGATATGGGATACCTCCTTAACATATTTCCTCCAAATTCTAGACCTTTGTCAAGTAAGCGTTCTGACAATGAATCTTTAATCCATATAGGTCGTTCTTCAAATAACTCACACACAGCTTTCTGCCATTGCCACTGTTCTGAGTTTTCAGGAATATATCTCTCCCAGTTCACTTTCTTTGGAACCTGTATGAATGTCAAGGTAACAGAGTGGAAAGGAACACACACAGATCCCATAATACTGCATCCAAATCACAAGTAATTCTAGCAAAGCGTGCAACATGAAGTAAGTTTAGATGGATCAGAATCAGGCAAATCATGACTTGCAAAATAAAGAGGAAACCGAATCATCCAGGGCATCTCTAAAGTGACGCGATCTATAGGTATTACAGGACCCATTTTTTAGCCAAATGCAAAGGCTTCTCCTAGTTGCAAGTACAAACCACATTATGTTATTTCAATGTGTCAACCATTAATTCGACTATGGACCAAGAAGAACAAGAAGCAACTGGTTAGACTACAATAACCATGGACTGAACCAGACAAAGTTACATGGTAAAATGGTGGATGATATTGAACTGAGACTTATGCCAGCTACTTGATTGATCTCTTCCCTAGTTGCCACAAGTTTATCAATCCAACTATCAATGAGCAAACAAGTTTCAATGCTAGCAGATGTTGAGAAATCATTGTTTTACCATATTTAATAAATACAGACTAAGAACATCTATATTTTTTTCCACAAAAGGGACACAAGTAATATGAGAAAGCACAAGAAACTAGGATCAAAATCGACCAGCATGACAAGGATATCTTTGATGCCAAAATCAAGGGCAAGACTTGGCTCTATAGCCCTCTGCATAAAACAAATATAAATCATTAGCAAACAGAAATGAAAAGAAAATAAAAAATAAAAACTAACCTTAGATACAAGAAGTGCTGCAAAAGACTTGAATAAATCAAATAGGCACCATAATCATGAGGAGAATTAGAAAGTGATTACTGGAAAAGTCAGGTAACCTCATAGGATGAACCATTTTCAGGTACTACTTTATTTAGGTCATTTTTATAAGGTAAAAAAAGTGTGTTTCCAAAGAAGCGGGCTCTTAATCTTCTTTTTTCAAATCAAAACAGGCTCTTATTCAGGAATGCACTAACATATGGACCAGTTTCCAAAAGATTTATTCAAAAGCAACAGTACCTCCCATCGGTGCTGGCCAACTGCCACGTTTCTCCTTCTCAGGCTATTACTTGCACATGGTTTTAACCTGCAAGTAGCAACAATTAAAATCCGTGCCAACAACTTCTATCATTATTTCAGTATCACATCTGCATTAAGCGATACGAGCTTGGATTCCAAAACCTCAGATGTACAAAGAATTTCAATTTCAAACCAATCTGCAACAGGTAGGGAATCAAGAGATACTTTCATTGAAGCTGAACATTAATAACAGACCATAAAGAAAGTTAGGTGCCTTTTGAAAGAGATCCCAGAGAAGGTACTCATTCGTGCTACTAGTCTAAGAATGCGAAGAAAAATGATCATGGGAAATTATCAAAAGAGAGTAGAGAAACATGGAAATCTTGTAAAAGTGGGAAAAGCGGGAATTGTGCTGTAAGGGGGGTACAAGACTACATGTATCAGAGTTACCATGCAGAAGAGGCAATATGCTAATATTTTATCCATTTTGCAGTTGCAATATTGAAATGAATACAATACACAGAGTTTGGACTTAACAATGATAAGACTCCCATGAAAGCTAATTAAAACACTTACACTACTTTTCCCGGTATATCCTTCAGAGAGAACAATGGTGGTATTAGAATCATCAAATCTTCCTGATCAACATCCATAAGACCGTCTTTCTCTACAACCACAACAACATAAGGAGATAATAATTATATTAAGATACATTCCATTATTATGATCAATTCATAAAACAAAAGTAAGAACGACCATAATCAGTCCAGTTTCTCTTCTTTTGTCGGGCAGCATTGGCATGAACAGCAACAACGTGTTGGTAGTCTACCATTCCTGAAGAAGCACAAGCATATTAAAAAAGGTGAAAAAATAACGAAAAAGGGGAAAACCTCAATGCTGCCATAATATTAATAAACCCCACAGATACCCAACACTGAAGGGGATAGAGAACATGAAAAGGTAAGACTTGAAGATTTGAGTGACTTTACTGATGATGAAAGCATACTCTTACCAGTAAATCGATAAGCGTCACGCATGTGAGCAACAAGATCAGCAACGAGGTGTTCTTGATCTTCCTCTGTTTTCTTGTACTGAAGTGCATCTGGAGAAGAAATATTCTCATGCTCAGCTCCGCCGATGGACTGAGAAATTCCTCCATTGTCACCATTGTGGGCATTCCTCACTTTCTTTTTAGATATTTTCAACAAGAAATTATTGCATGCATATAGTTTTCCGAATGCAGGGTGTGAATATGGATCTTCAGGTCGAAAATGGAGTTCCAACTTGTTCAAATCAGAACTTCGAACCTGAAAATGACCTAAGATGGATAATTTTAGGCAGTGTAGGCTCTTTTCACGAAGTGTGAGTTCTACAAAGAAAGATATCGAAACATAACTTACTAATATTCAAAGCAAAATATGATGAGAAAACTGCAAAGCGCCCTAATACTTAGGAAGATAACTTTTTCAAGACATGAGCTACTTTAAAGTGAGACATCGGCAACGCAGTTAACAGATTCAACAGAAAATTACCCACTATTCTATTGTCTCCCGAATGAATTCTAGTTTAAGAAATCATCTATAATAACATATATTTGGATATGTGATGACAAAATCAATGCTCTGGTTCTCATCCATGATGATCCAGACCAATTAAAACATTTCCATCAACAAAGCCTAGCCTATATATCATGAAACTAACCCACAATACCACTGCATGGCAGCCAGCTGAACATAGTAACGTCCTCAGCAGAAAACCATAAGGGGCCACATAACAAAGCCCTTCCTACAATTCATTAGGGTAGGACCATGAATAGATACTCAGACATCATTAGCTTCATTAGTTCCCCGGATTTTCATATGCTCAGACAAGTAAATAAACTAATCTGAAACTAATTCATTGGCATTTAGATCCCTCTTACGCAGGCTTCTACTTCAACTTTCATTCTAAATAGACTTATCCAAGAAGAAACAGAATCAGTAGTTATTAAATCGCTTCCACATTGAATTCTGAGGAACAACAACAAAATTCAGCTTCTATCCCACTTATAATCGAAACATATCATCTGCTTTATTTAGGTCTAATAATTTCAAATGAATCCCAAGGCACCAAACACAGTTTAAGAAAATCTAACCCTTATTCAGCAAAAACCACATTCAAATTAGAGAGAGAATCCACAAAACCACAAATTTCTCAGCCACCAAGAAGCAGAAACAACAACATTGAGACTTTTGGCATATATGTTGAGGCACATAGAATCGGCCACTTCTTTAGTATCTGGTAGGATTCAAAAAGAATCATGAAAATCCAAAAACAATAACCAACTACTGTAATTCTTTGCTGTCGAACATCTAGACAAGTAAATACAAACAAAAAAAAAATTTAACAACTTAAGTAGCGTAAATCTCTTTACTGAAGAAACGAGGTCCAATTTTCCAACACAGACACCATAAAAGTAGTGCGAGAAAAGGAAATTAAAAGGTTTAGAGAGACCTTAGCAATAGCTTCAGTGCCGCCGAGGGTCTCGATAGCTCGATCAAGGGAAGAGGGATAAGCCGGGTAATGAATTGCGAAGGCCATATTGTTGCTCGGCAAATTCCCAGATATCGTACCATCTTTAATGATACCCATGGTTTTCTTCGCCGGTGCTAATAGTATTACTCACTACTCACTCTCCCTCCGGTCATGCAGCCCCTCTTCCTCAATTGATGATGGCAGTTTTTATACGTGAACGGGTTGTAAGAAATTTCATAAATATACAACGGGTTATTATCAAATACACCCCCAAAGTTTGATGCAAAATCTAAAACATCCTCACTATTTGAAGAAATATCATATACATCCTTTGATGGGCAAGTCAACTATCTAAACAGTCCTCGCGCACCTTGACTATGCAGTGTCAGGGGAAGAAAATATCTGTAAGTTCACTTTTACCCTTCATTAAATGGGATAAATATAAAAGGCTAACTTTTATATTGCTCTTATGTTACACAAATCATCGGAACCGATAGAAGGTATTCTGTCCAAAACTCAAAACCAAGACAATATCTAAGAAGAACCAACCAATGAATCTAGTTTCCGAATATAAACCCAAATCAATAATCTTAAAGTTGTTCGAGAATGAATTGCAAACACAGCTAGCACACTCAAAAATAAACTCAAACTCAAAACAAATCATTTTTCAATTCATAGTGGTTAGGAGTGTTCATGGTTTGGTTTAATCCGATCAATCCATCCAAACCGGCCGGCAATTCGGTTTCATGGGTGGTTTTTATTTATCATTTTAATCCGGCGGTTGCAAAAGTTATAACCGAAAAAACTGGTTCGGTCTCGATTTGGAATATTTAAACCGGTGCTCAATTCGGACCGAGCCGTGTATATAACTTTTTTTTTCATACATATATTTTACAGACTGTAATTTTTAAAAAGTTATAAATTGGCACAACTGGTTATGCATGTGTAATGTGATGAGATTGGTGTGGGTTCGAATCCCCTTCCACTCATTTACAGTTTGTGGGCCTAATTGCTAAAAAGTATCAGAGACCTAAATTTAAGCTTAAACTGTTAAACCGTCCAAACCAAACTGTTCCATCCGGTTTGAATTGGTCCGACTTGAATATGTTATTAGTTTGGTTTCGATTTGGGCTGTTGCGCTCTAGTCTTATCTTTTACAAAATCCGGAATAACAATAGTTAGAGCAATATTCACCGGATTCCATCTTTGTCTTGAACCCAATCCAGTATAAAATATATAATTTTTCATTGAAACTTAGATCTTAATTTATAATGGTAAATTTAGTGTCCCACGAAAATTAATATATGCTAAGGAGCAGAAGAACTGAGGTGGTGATGGTGAAAATTGGTGTTGATGATGGAGGAGGGGCGGCGGCAATAATGGGAAGATGAAGAAGACGACTTTCTTTTTCTTTCTCCACGGCATAAGGGGTTTTCTTTCTTTTTTTCTTTTTTGAGTGAATCTTAACAGGGAGAAGAAGAGTTGACGGGAGGTGGTGAGGGTTTTTCGGTCATTTCATTACTCTTTGCACTTGACTTTCAACTTTGTTTGGTCAAGGGTGCATATGATATTTCTGCAAACAATAAGGGTGTTTTAGATGTTAGATCAAACCTCGAAGATGTTTTTTATATTAACCCATATACAACTAAAATTTAGGCCTCCAATTCACTTCGGAAGTGAACTTTTAGTTATTAATACTACTCCCTCCGTCTCATAATTATTGTCCATTTTGAGTTTTCAATTCTAGTTCAAATTGTATTAAAAATGAAATCTCAAATTGGACAATAATTTTGAAACAGAGAAAGTACTTTTTTTTCTGAATGTTTTGTATTCTCTCCGTCCCAAAATTATTGTCCGTGAATAATTATTTCGGAGGGAGTATTAGTGAATAATTTGTCACATGAATTATGGATTTTGGTTTTGATTTTCATAAACATTTTTATGCTGCTTTTTTTTCTTCCCCAATTTCTTTTTTCTTTCTACAAGGAATGAGAAAATTTAACTTGTAGATGTATTGCACAATAAAAAGGCGAGTAAGATCATTACAGAAGCACGATAACAAAACTAGGAAACTGGATTTTATTGAGACCATTTTGGGCACCAAAAGATTGAGGAAAGTAGATTGAAAATACATTACACAAACCCAAAATGGTCGTAAACTAACCTATCCGAACATTGAAACCCAAGCCATTGCAAAGAGAGTATGGCATTTGAACTGAAAACCTTATTGTCTATACTTTGTCTTGCCTATCAAAAATTGTTGAAACTCATAGTTAGCAGCATAGTCATTTTCTGCACTACAAGATCAGCATTTTCTTCACTACATTGTTTCCTATCCTCAGCCAGCAGTTTAGATATTTCTCTATTGGATTCAGGAAAGAGGCTTTGCACGGGTCCTCAGATCCTCCTCAGATTCCAAATAAATCATGAAGACATAGCCCAGAATCCAAAGAAGAATGTAAATGAAAGGTGTCCAGGATAGACAAGCAAGAAGACTCAAAATGCTGCCAACATACTGAGGATCCTTTATGACTCCAAATGGAAACTGTGTCACCCAGGGTATGGTCTTCCCGAATCGTACTCCATAATATGTTCCTGATTCTCCCAGCAATTGATATACCCTGTACTTGATAAAGTGAGGATAAGTTTATTCCGAGATCAATGCATACTCAAAACCAAAGTATATGAATGAAACAGATAAATTCGGTTCTGCACTTCAACATGCTCAAGTATCCTAATCCAGTCTGGTCCTCCAACAAAAGAAAATCACCATGTAATCGAGATTTGAGGTGCTTACAGCATATCATAAAAACTTCCAAGTGTTCAGTACTACGCATATTTTAGACAGGTTTCCCTAGATACTCCCCATGATTCATAACCAGTTTTCAAAGGTCTGTCTACTTAAGCAATCCACATTTTTCATTGAAATGTGTTGGAAATTATATTTCACAAATCACAGTAACTGCATTTATCGCACAGTCAATTCAATACATGAATCAACTCTTTAAAGATTACAAACAAACACAACCAACCTTGATCAGCCACCAATACAACTATATCTATCAGGACTATCTCCTGGAGTTCCCCTCTTCTAATGACTTCACTAAAAGTTTCATCGAAACAAAGGAGTTCACAGAGGTTGAGGCTTAAGACGCAATAAGTGCTGCACCTTTGCAACAAGAAAACAACTCTCTCAACTTAGATTGTTGTTGGCTATTCAGGAGCACCATAAAGCAACACCTGACTTCTACATTCTAACATACATGCAAATCGCACTTGCATTTGTGTTTCTCGGTTTCTCCTGATTACTAACAACAAGAACTACATCCTGAATGACCACGTAGCATAAACAAAACTCGAATCCGTTTCGAAATGATCCATGAATTGAATGACTTCTCCAGCTTTCAATTTCATTTCTAAACAAAGTTCGACATCAATGATACACAAAATCATACATAAAACCCATAAAAATCAAAAAATTGAATCTGGGATCTCAAAAAACCCCGCCAAATTTCAACTCATACCAACATTTCAACATCAAACACATAACCCAAATCCCACATTACAAAACCGACAAAGCAGGAAACAAAATGAATAAAGATTGCATTTTTGCCCAACCTGAAGTTCAGGAACTGGCCGAAAACAAAGAGGGGCCAGAAGTAAAAAGGAGGTGGCCACGAAATTGTTGAAACTGAGAGTATTGATATGAACTGAACCAGCTTGAGAAAATGAGCAACCCAGGCCATGATTTTACAAGGGTCACGCCCTTTTCCACACAGATTCACCCAAGTCTGAGGCTGTGTCCATAGCCAGTAGTAAAATGGAAATGGAGAAATAACTCCCAGGCATGCTAACAAACCCATAGCCCTTCTTCCCCTGCTTCAAAACCTCTTGTTCTTCTTGTTATGATCTCGCCAAAATGGAAATTTCTTCTGTGTTTCTGAGTTCAGTCGGTACCAAAAGGGGGAAAAACGGAATATACCAGAAATTAATTTTGTTGGGCGAAATGGGCTTCCCCTTACGGAGTTTAATTTAGTGGATCAAGATTGGTGAATTCCTGGCCCATTAAAATTTCTATTTTTTCCCCCTTTTTCTCTTTTTTTTTTTAAGGATGAATTTTACTATTTTACCAACTCTTGCTTGGCCAAAGTGGTAAGGTGCTTTGGTTCCCTTAAACGAGGTTTCGAGTTCGAGTCTCGTAAATGAAAAGAGCAATGTTGGGAGAGCTTTCCCTCCGAAAAGAGATCGATCCGACTCGGTGTGGATTAATCTGAGTACAATGCAATTAAAACACCGTGCGCAGTATGAAAAAAATTATAAGAGGAAGTTATCTCATTTGTTCTTTCTTTTCCCTTTTTCTTTTTTTTTTCATCTTTAGGAAAATGGCAAACTTTCATTGCAACAGAATTTCTTTACAATATTCATTGTACAGTGAAGAGTAGCCTAACATCGCTTAGAATTTTATCTCTAGATATTGACTTTTTAGTCCGTTTAATTAAAAAATTTTATCCTTCTTGGGAGTATTTTAAATTGAGTTCGGTAACATTTCGTTTTCGTTCAATTTTTGTTTTCTTTTTAATCAAATTGACCAAATAACCACAAAATTCTTATCAAGTGTCCTTGATGATCGAATCTGATCACCTGCAAGTAATTAGTGATATTTTAATCCGTGTAATTGAACATTCTCGTCACTCTTCAAGCCAAAAGTTTACATCAGTAACTTTTTTGCTTTCTTTAATTCTTTTTTTTTGGTTAAAATTGTAATTCAAATTGACCCCATAATCACAAAAAAACTCACCGCTTTTCATAAAATGAGGTAATTTAATCTCAAGTTATTGACTTTTTAATTTTTATCCGTGTATTTAAAACTTTTCATCACTCTTTATTCAGGCCATTTTAATCGACCTCGACCACTTTTTTTGTTCACTTTCTTTTTATTTTTTTTTTTAATTTTTTTTAAAAAACAATTGTATTCTCCTCCACCTTGTTCATACATTTTAGCTTTCTACTTCGGATTATGTTTTTAAAACAGAACGAATATCATAACAAAAATATCTTCCACACAAGCAATTTCATAGAATGCTATGTTGTCTTGTTGAACAAAGTGAAGTACGATTTAGAAGGTATTAAGGAAACTTCCTAATTGAATGGTTTCAATAGCCATCACCACAGCTTTAATTTATGTAAAGCAAATGTGAGAAGGAAAAAAGATTTACGGAACAAAAAAAGCAAATAAATCTTTAGGGGAAAACACACACACACACACTGAAGAACTGAATAATATCAACCATCCAACATCTGTCCCGGTTTTGTGTCAGCACCGTTCTTTAACAAATGCCATTAAGCGGATCGATGATAATTGAGATTATTATAAACAGATTATGTTTGTGATGATCATTTAGGCATGTTCATGGCTATAAGAACCATCCACATGTCCACCATTATTAAACCTTAAATATGTGTTAGGAATAGTTTAACCCAATCCAATAATTGGCCTAACATTCGTAATTTTATAGTACTAATAAACATTAAAAATATCTTATACTCATCTATATTTTAAAAAAAGACTAAACCAGAGAGACTAATAAAAGGCATGAAAAAGAAAAGAAAAAGAAAATGTATTTCATCGATCCTTGGCTTCTTCTAGGGCTCAAGGAACCCTCCCAATTGGCTATGAACACTTTTATTTGCTTTATGGACTTCCATTAATTTTTCTTCCTTAAAAAATGACAAAAGTTCTAATACTTTTTTTTTTTAAGCTCTCACTAGAGTAAAAGAATAGTTAAATAGAATTATAGAAGTGAACATCGTCAATCCAACTTTGTATATGAATTATATTTTCTTAGCAAAAAATAAAAAATAAAAATCAATGTGTAACTTACGGTTTTAATTCATGAAAGTAGGTTCTTGTTGTTTCATTTTATGTAAGATATATATGACCAATCCACAATAAGTGAGACTGATTAACCTTAATGATTTGATTTATTGTGACGAAATGAATATCGATGACAAGTGTGTTTAGATATTAGGACGACCTAAGATCGACCACAAGAGCATCATTTCAATATCAACACCTTTTTCTTGTTCCATTAAGATTACAATGTTCAAATTCAAGCAAGAAGAAGATTAAGACTAAGGGGAAAAGCCTAACCCAACAAAAGTACTTCATGTTTACGGAAGCTAGCTAATTTAAAGTTGGTTAAATTTTTTAGTACAAAGTGCTAAAGATTTTTTGTTTCTTTGGAAAAAAAAATAATCCCACTTTCACACTAACGCCAAAGATCATGGGGGCACAATAAAATTGGATCAATTATTGGATACATTTTGTGTAAGTAAAAAAAATAAAATAATAAAAAAATGAAAAGCCATTGGCGAATCACCATTCCTCCAAAAAAGAAAAATAGTACATGCAGCAATATGAATATGAATATGCCAATACGGATAGACATGTTTCGATCATATGAATTTATTGGAATTAACTAATTGGAAGAAAAAGTAGAATGCTTTACCCTTCCAAAGTTGAGGTGCATGTCTTCTCAATAGCCACCAGTTTTCTCATATATAAATGCAACCATTCCATCAAAGCTTATTAGCCTACGATACATAACTCGATCTTTCCTTAAACAGCAAAAAAAAAAAATATTTTTCCTTTTTTTCCCCTCCAAGTATTTGTAGATATATAGCTATAGCCTATATATACTTACTTATGTCGTTATCATCATCAATTAAAATAGCTGCAGAAGAGAGTGTTTGCCATCCATATTTATGGCCGGTAAAAGAAACACCGCCACAGCCGGTGGCGGCGGTGGTGGTGAGGGTTTACGATAAAATGAGGGATAAGACGGCGGTGGTGGAGTTGGAGAGACGCTGTGAGGCTGGCAAACAAGGGAAGCCATCGGTTGTGACTGACATTATGGATGATCCGACCGCCCGAATAGCCAACTTCCCTTCTCGCGTTATGCTGGTAATTATTCATTCATTAATTGACTTTTCACATCCATGCATATTGGGGGGTTTTTTTTTTTTTTTTCCAATGATTATTGGATAGACAAATATTAACTACTGGTCTAAAAAATTTAACTGCTTTGCATGTTTTTAATACGTTGTTTTCTTTCCACGATCTCCATTTCATTTAATTTGTGTATCTTCTGGCGATGTAATAATGATGATGATGAGGGTGAAGCTAAGTGTGGAACTACATGTTACGAATAATTGGAAACGTTCTTCGTACCAAAAAAAAAAAAAAAAAATGGAAACATTAGTTGATTGATAATGGATTCATGCATGCATGAGCAAGTGAGCATCAATGCCTTACTTCACCAGTGACATTAGTGGAACTACATAAATTTTTAGGTTTTGTAGATCTCTTAACCAATAGAAACTGATTCGATCATATTTCGTTTTAAAAGTTTTTCTCAACGATATCCTTTACAGGTTTGCAAAATAAGGGCGACTAAAGTTTTGCATGTGTATTGTTTACAACGCCTTGCAAATCATTTTTTATTTTTTATTTTTAATTTGTAGCAACTGTTGTCGATGTTATTGTCCTCGATGTTATTGTCTTTTTCGTAGTTAAGATTAATTAATAAAAATAATTCGGGATGAAACCTCTAACTAATTACTAATACATCGATCATTTATTTTAATTTTCGGAATAGCTAGGATTTTGTTCATCATGTTGTGATCAAACAGGTTGCTGAGTACGGATACAATAGAGAAATTGTTGGTGTAATAAGGGGTTGCATCAAAACCGTAACAACAGGGAAACACTGCAACGAGTTTCCTGTCTACGTAAAATTGGCTTGCGTTCTTGGATTGAGAGTTTCGCCTGCGCACAGGTACTTATTGCTTATATATATATATATATATATATATATATATATATATTATATTGCCAAGGGTAACTTATATACTTCGAACATGGTACCTACTTGAAACTATTTTGTTTTCCTCATATTAATGTCGATCAAGATCACAATAATGATCAAATTTACGATTTACACTTTCCCCTAGCTATATAGTACATTTTAGATTATTCGTTTTTCAGTGCTTTTAAGAGAATATACTATGGTTGTGAAAGTGCTTTTCCTCAGTTGAATCCGGATCCTTCCCTTTGATAACATTTGAAATTCACTCTTAAAAATTAAAGTAGTACTACTTTTCATAAATATTCCTTGAATAATAGAATAAGATAATTAAATATATTTTATTTTCTGAAGCTACATTAGCCGTCCATATTCAAAGATCAATTCGACCCACAAAAGAAGAAGATATACCCTCCCTTTTATACCGGAATGCCTCAATCTGAATAGTTATTTCCAAATCTTATCTCCCGCCTCAAGAATACATTCACATTTATCTATGGAGAATCTTGAAGCTAGCTTCTCTAAAATATAATGACCTTGATTCCTTCGGTGGCTTTTAAAGAGAATGTTTTTTTTTTCTTTTCTTTTCCCTTCCCTAGCCATCCATTATAATACTCTAGATAATTGTCTCCAATTTATTACCAAGAGAATAATCTACAAAAAAAAAAAAAAAAAAATTCCTTATACCTTAGATTTTCATGTAGAATGGTACGTAGAACTCAAAAACAACACTTGAGGCAAAAATACGAAGTTATATTCAAAAGGGCCAGCATAAAAATAATATATATATATATATTTATTTATTTATCTTGATTCTTGATTAGTCTGTTACATTATGGAATAATTTTTGGTACGACACCTCCCCTCAAAACCAGCCATTGTGATCCGCACTAATGATAATTAACTATGAAAATGTCACTTGCTTTATGAGTTCCATTCACATCCGTCACTTTCCAAATTAGCAAAAGACTCAATAAAATAATCTAGATCCTAACTTTATCCCTTTAGAAATCTTTAAACTTGCTTTTGGAACAATGTACTAAATGCATTTGATTTCACAATAACATATTAATTTGCAGGCGGCTTGGAATCGGTGCGAAACTAATTCAGCATCTGGAATTGTGGTGTAAAGAAAATGGAACTGATTATGCATATATGGCCACAGATTGTAGCAATCAGCCTTCTCTAAATTTGTTCACTGTAAAATCCAACTACATCAAGTTTAGGAGCCCTACAGTTCTAGTTCAACCTGTTCACGCTCACTACAAAACCCTAAGCTCGAAAACATCATTGATTCGAGTCCCTCCCGATCTTGCCGAACCAATGTATCGTCGAATTTTCGCTAACTCGGAGTTCTTCCCAAAGGACATTGACATAATCCTCAACAACAAACTTAACCTAGGAACTTTCATGGCCATTCCAAAAAGTGTGCTTTCGAGTTGGGATCCTAAATTAGGGACATTCCCATCTAGCTTTGCGATACTAAGTATATGGAATGCTAAAGAAGTGTTCAAGTTAAAGGTTAAGGGCGTGTCATCGCTGAAATACGCCTGCAGTGTAGGAAGTAGGGTGTTGGATTCACTTCTTCCTTGTTTAAGGCTACCTTCCATTCCTGATGTTTTTCACCATTTCGGGTTCTATTTTTTATATGGACTTCATATGGAAGGTAATGATGGTTCCAGCCTGATGAAGTCACTTTGTGAATATGCTCACAATTTGGCAAGGGATGATAGGGGGATTAGGATATTGGTTGCTGAAGTGAGCCAGAATGATCCTGTTAGAGATGCAATCCCACATTGGAAAAGGTTTTCATGGGATGATCTTTGGTGCATTAAGGAACTGAATGCAGCAAAGGGAAGAGAAAACAGCTCAAAAGTTGAAGCCGAAGCATGGATTAGATCTAGGGCTTCGGTTACTTTTGTTGATCCGCGCGATCTGTAAGAGGTTTCATTATCATTTCAATTGTATATCCCTAAGATTAATTGTTAGCTTGGAAAGAAAACAGCACTATCGTATAGTTCTAGTACTGTTTATCATTCTGCAACAATGTGCTTTCTGTTTTCCAACTAATTTTAAGAACATGTCCCTTTATTCTGCATAGACTGCATACTATACTGAGAAAAGTTCAACCATGAAACTCAACTCTGGAGTACACCAAACAAGAAAAACAGTAAATTAACAAACTTTATTTCATGGATCGTGTTAGCGTTGAAGCAGACAATCCGACATGTAAAGTGACAGTCAAAACATGAGTCAATGTCAATTGAACTACTACTAAATAACCAGTCATGTCTGAATTAGAACAAAGTTAATGGTCCCCTTACATTTACAGTAATCAAAGAAATGGCCTAATCTGCGCTCTTTCGGCTAAAGATCTTCTTGTTCAAGTACAATTATGGCATGTTTTAGAGGTAATCAAGCAAATGACTATCCTAGAATTCCGGGAGCTTTAAGAACTTTTGGATAAGTGTATGGCATTTTGGCACATAAAGAAAGAAAGGCTCCTTAACTTTAGTTCAGTTTTTAGGAATTGGTTTTTAGGACCACATCTGCATTAACTTGGTATACTCAGCTTAGCACCCATAATATATGCACGTTGTTTCAATGGAACTTCGTCCATTTTCCAAAGAATGCTCATAGTACAATGCACTGTACTTAATATATTCAGAGGGAGACGGCATACGGAGAACAAAGACACTCAAAATTGCTTATTCGAATGCTAAAAAAATCTCTTCCGCCGTCCTAAAAAGCTATTCAGCTTTGTATTTAAGATCAAACATTCATGGAAGTCAATCATTTCACACACAAAGAACTGCAGGCTGAGCATAGTAAGTATTAAAGTTTAACACGCATTAAATAATAAGTATTAAAGTAAATTCTGCGCTGATCAAGAAGAAAAGGACCCTTCTGCTCACCTAAAATTTTTTAAGGAAAACAACGTCGACTTAATCTTTCAGATATTTTATGTCAACGAGTAAGCCGACGAAAACGATGTTTTTGTAAAAAAAATTTTTTTACGGAAAAATTTAAAACTGCCTCAAACGCCGACCTCTCGACTCAACACACACCCAAACTTCCCACCCCTAACTCTTATCGATCTTCAAAGTTCATCCAACATCCAAGAAGAATGTATGTGTTTCTCTTTGATTATTTGTTCTTGTGATCAGTTTAGTTGTCGACCACTAACTTTTTATTTTTTTATTTATTTTTTAATTTTCGGATTGTAAGTTAAAAACTAAATACAACCCTAACGCGACAGTGATAAGACGAGTTTTCATAAAATTTACTTAGATTACAAAATATAATGGAAGGAGTACGAACTAATTAGCCACAATGAGAGGTTGTAGATCGCTTATATACATTGTTCTGTTGCAATAAGTCATTATGTTTCGTCTAGTTTCATAACATCGCCATGTCATAATTAATGCAATAAGATTTGTTATAATGAAAATCTTTAAAGAATGTTGCATTGAGAAACATGAAATAATGCGAGTTATACGTTCATTAGAAACATCACCAAAATGAACCTAATCAGCATGGAGCAAACAAACACAAGTTATGGCCCGCAAAAGAACCTAATCAATGCATTCCAATTATCAAGTCTTGGAACATTGATATGGTTGTTGACATAAGGAAAAAAAAAAAAAAAAAAAGCTAAGATAGGCATTTTCCTTTTTTTTCCCCGTAATTAAAGAGCAGAAAAAAAAAACAAACAAAAAATACTCGAGGAGTTGTTGGATAGGCATTTTCCTAAACTCGAATACCTGAGAACGGTCAGATGATTCGAAAGGAGTTGTTGGATCGTGTCGAGCATATTTTCATCGCCACAACCTAAATACAATTTGAGAAACTTTAAATTCTTGCAGCCTGTTACATCCAAGATACCAAATTATTGCACGCGACAAGAAAGATACTCGAGGTTTGGTGCTTCTCGTATACAAATTTCTTTGATTTTGTGGTTATCATCGATTATTTCAACCTGTTTTAACTTGTGATGCGATCCTACCTTCAAAGCCTGGAAACCACAAGAATTGTCGATCCAGAGGAACTCAAGCTGGGGAGAATTCATGATTAGTTTTTTAAGTAACTCGTCATCAACTTGACTGCGAATCAGCCACAACTTTGTCAACGAAGGAAGATGTATTTTCATCATTAATGTGGATGAAGTAGGATGCTTCGCTCCTTAAAGACGAAGGATTCGTAGAGAACTTGCAGAATACATGGGTTGAAGTAGATCAATCCTAACTGTAATGCGCAAATATATTTCTCGTATATGATCTTTTTCCAGCAGTATAAGCTCAAGTAGGGATTCGATCTCGGGTTGCATGGAGAAAGCAAATCCATAACTGATATCAAGGACGAACTTTTGTACGCATAAACCTTTGGTTTGGAGGTTCCTAACAAAATTTTGAGCAGAAGAAAGCATGGATCTAACTCAAGCCGGCAAATGGACGGACTTGAACTACTTGAGATTGGTTTTTAATGGTTATCAGCTTAATGGATAAATATTCATCCATATTCATTAAATTTAATGGACTTAGATAGGTATTAAATATTCATGGGTATCCATGGATATCCATAAATACATACCCATGGATATCTATAAATACATTTAATGGACTTTTTAACATAAATAGTTACCAATGTAATAAATATGAGCCCAACTAAATAAAACGAAATAATAAATTAATTTTTACACACCAATATGAATATTATGAGTCCAATAAGTTAGAAAATACAAGTGTATATTTTATTTAAACAAAAATCCAAATGTGACCCAGATAGTGGTGAAACATAAAATTTATTATTCTCCTATATTAAAATTCATGTTTGTACTTTAATTAACAAAAAAAAAAAATCAAAATTAGACCCATGTGTCGTGGCCCGGTTATTGGGTCGACCCAACTCGACTCAGTTAACTATTGCTTGAAACATGACAATTTGACATTTAATGAGTTTGAAAATACGAGTATAAGTTTTATTTGAACCAAAAAAGAAAATAATAATGATAAAAAATTCGCCCGCTTATCGTAACCCGATTAATGGGTTGACCCAACTCGATTCATGGGTCAATCTAGTTTGATCCATTGGTCGACCAGGTAAAACATGATAGAAAACATAAAAATTATTAGTCTCCTAAGTTAAAATTTATGATTGTATTTTATTGTCCAGTTTGAGTTTTCATTTTTAGTCCAAAATGTACTAAAAGAGAAATCTCAAACCGGATAATAATTTTGGGAAAGAGAGAATATATCTTCTCTTTACTTATGATAATGTTTGCACAAATATAATACAGCTACTACTAGTAGTATTATTATTGATTTCGGAAAGGGATTAGTATATAGGATTATGAAACCTTTCTAATACGTATGGTTCAAAGATTTGGAAATTACCACCTTCGGGGAAAAAAAAAAAAGGGAGAGAGATTTGGAAACTTTCTAATTATACTTCCAGAAATCCGAATATTAGTTTAGGGATGATGTTGTTTTTCGTTTGCATTCGTCTTCCTAAAAAGCTATTCAGCTTTGTACTGAAGATCATTTCAGTGTTCATGGAAATCAATCATTGGGTGAGCATATTAGAGTTAACACACATTAAAGGAAAAAGTAACTCAGTCACTTGGAAACTACTTCAGCACTAACCAAGAAGGAAGCAGATAGTTTAGCTGTCGAGGGATTGGCTATACACTCGATAACTGGTAAGGAGTCTGCTGTGTGTACCAAAGCACAACCTCGATCCTCATCAAAGTGTAGTTTGCATAGAAAGAAGATCCTAAAAGTAAAAGAGCTAGCTCATTGCCACGCCTGAGCCTTAGTCCGGCTGGAAGTTACATATTTGAGGCTTTTGCGAAACTTGAAAATAAGGATGATTCATCTTGCAATAGAACCCTTGGATTTCCTTGCTCAACCTTCAGGAGGACAACGAAATTGACAAGTGAAACATATCAACTTCGGTAATCAAAATTCATGATTGATTAAAAGGACAAAGAAGCATATTTTCAACAGGATTCTAGATTAACGCAATATTGGTTTCTGGAATGTTTGCATACCAGGGCCCCCTGATCTAAAATCAGGATATTGTCCATATTAAGAACTGTTGAAATGCGATGAGCAATTGTTATTACTGTTATTCCTCGGCATTCACTGGATATTACATCCTGTAGTTTTGAAGCAGTTTGAGTATCTACATTGGCCGTGCACTCGTCCAAACAGAATACCTAAAACACAGTAGTATTAGTGTCCCTAGCCCGAATGTTATTCACAACATTCTGCTGTCAGATGCGCACACTGATAACAAGAGCACACATTTATATTCTTATACCTGAGAAGATTTCAAGAGTGCGCGTGCTAGGCAAAGAAGCTGCCGTTGGCCAACAGAGAATGATACTCCAGACTCTCTTACGTGAATGGCCAGACCTCCAGTTGCGACTACTTCCTGCTTCATATGACACTTCTCAAGGATATTCCAGATCTTTGTATCATCATTCATCTGTAGTGGGTCCAGATTAGACCTGAATGACCACAAGGAATAACACACCTCAATATAGAGCAACTTTAATATAACTATCAAGATATGATGACGGCTAGTATACCTCAATGATCCTTCAAACAAGAAGGGACTTTGGGGAACAACAGCCATATGAGAACGAAGATCTCTTAGGGAAATTCCAGCTATATCAATTCCATCCACTATTATACAACCCTCACATATCGGGTTCAGGCGAAATAAGGCATTCAAAATGCTTGATTTACCAGCACCTGTTCTTCCAATAACTCCAACCTGAAAATGTTCATGTCCTTTTCTATAAGTTGAAATTGTGACCAACTTCTGTATGGCAAGGCTGTACATTTTTACACTTCAGCAACAGATGTCTAAAAGCATAAAATATCAAATGCAAGCCATGCAATACTTATTTTATGAACCTTTCAGCCGTTTTCAATGTTGAATTTGAAAGTTCCCTCATCAGCCACGTATTTCAGAATTTGGTTTCATGTCTGACATTTGTATCACCCACCACATATTAAAGACTTCTTATGATTTTCAGAATACAATCTCAGATATGCCCTGGGTACCAAAGATCAGATTTGGAAGAGGCAGCGAAGGAAGAAATGATGGTCATGTAGTTAATCATGTGCTGACCTGAGTTCCTCCTGATATCTCAAAAGATACACCACGTAATGCCGGAGGTAAAGAGGGCATGTATCTAAGTGTCACGTTCTGGAACCTTATCTCCCCTTGAGATGGCCAATTTAGAATTAACTGTTTATTTCCAACAGTTTCTTGTGGAATGTCCATATACTACAGTAGAAGACCAAATCATTATGTCAAGACGAATGTATTACCGACAGAGACAGACACAAATATAACACACTCAAGCTTAATCTGTTCCATACTGAATTACCTGAAGAACCCTTTCCACAGAAACCATCTCCTTCTCTGTTTCAGTCAAACTTGTCAGAAAGCTACCCAGCAATGACACGATTGGAGCTGCATATGAGAGAGCTAATCCAACCTGATCATGAAGGACCTTTTCTCAGTTACTGCAGTGAAGATGCTACTGTGGTGTGTTTCCGTACATGCCAGATAGAGTCTAAATGATGACTTTAGTGAAAAAAATAAATTAAAATAAAAGAGGATATAACAAGGAAAGGCAGTGAACTCACCAGTCCTGGAGTACCTAAATCGATTGGAAGATGTCTATGAGACCCAATAACGGCCATCACAGCAACAAACGAGACAATAAAAGCTGCCAACAACTATGACAATGTCATCTGTTAATATTAACAGTAACAGGATAATGAATATTGAAAGGGTTCTGAAAGGTTTTTGACCATTTTGATTTGGCAGCATCTTTTGCAAATGAACTAAAATCGAATACTATAACTTAAACTCTTCTAATTCACTAGAGAGAGAGAGGGGGTGAGGGAGGGAGAGAGAGAGAGAGACAGAGAGACAGAGAGACAGAGAAGAATCTGAATTTCATTGAACTGGAGTCAAACTTTTCATACAGTGGTGGTAATGAATTTAGTGCTAGTACCTGAAGGCGCAAGGAAAGCCACAGACTTGCTGTCACCTCAGAGTATGAAGCTCTCTGATATAACCTTACATGCTGAGTGAATCGGCAGAAGAAAAAGTCCTGCAAAATACATCCAAACCAATTTTTATTCCTGCTAGTCTTGTGCATAATAGCTTAAAGAAAAAGACCATAAATAGATAATCTCTGCACCCTAATTCATTTCTGTTACGGTACTAAAATTCTAAGCAGTTATCCAACCCATATCATGAAGCTGACGTCATCCCGGAGGTCAGACAGTCTAATGTAAAACACGTATAAGAGGAAAAACATTCTAAAATCAGAAAAGAATGGAACAGACTGATTAAAAAAATAGAGATATTTTAACCCCAAAAAGTAAAAGATTCATAGGTAGTACCTCTGATTTGAATGCCCGAATAGTTGATGCTCCATCTAATGTTTCAGTGAATGATGCATAAATAGGCGAGCGAGAAACACTATCTAGCCTTCGTAACTCACGTGATGTTGATCTGTAGTAGAACTGAAGACAAATATTTAATTAACTTTTTAACAAGAATCTCACAAAGAAATGATTATACATCAGCAAGAAACTCCAAGTTGGAGGTTCTTTTTCATTTTGGGCAATGGATGAGATATTTCAGATGTTCAAACTGTGCTATTGTACTCTATGCCTATTACTTAGTTAAATAATAACTTCATTCCTTCGCTTAAATGCATTGTTCGATAATAAGAATAAGAATTATTGTCCTTTAACTGGTTGCAGTTAAAGGAGAGCAAAAAGTTCTACATCCTATTGCCTGCCAAATTGCAAGCCCAGCCAAAGGAATAGCCTTTTTACTTGAAATACTCTAAGACGAGATCTAAAGGATGCCAATGATGGAACATTTTTGCAGACATGCTATTGAAAAGTACCTGTAGTTTGCTGTAAATATACCAGAATGGTAGTAATAGTAGTAGGAATGTGACCTGAAAATGAATTTCAGCATCTTAATCTGTGGTACATGAGTTAACAACTAGATATACTGACCTTGACAGATCAAGATGACATCTGTTACAACATACCATACCTGCACATATGACAAAACAATAGCTATGCCCAAGAGGCCAACAAAATTGGCCAGGAGGATGTTGAGAATGAATGGAAGAGCATCATCGATAGTATAAAGGTCTGAAGAAAATCTGTACAAATGCATTATTCGGTTAATCAACAAAAAGGAAAAGAACTATCTTCTGTGTCCTGGAAAATGATGTTACCTGTTAAGTATTCTCCCTGTAGGAGTCTGATCAAAGAAGCTAACATTTGCATTTATAAGCCGATTCAACAACTGATCAGATGGCAGCTTGTAAACCACCAAATGCAAATGAAAATGCCCTCACTAAAGTCAGGGTTGAATTCGCCAGACAGAACAAACAGAGAATTTCCTGCATGGTGACGAGGGTTGAACTGTCATCAGGTTTTCTCACTGTTTGGAAAGGTTTCATATAATGACAAACATATCACTTCTAATTCATAACGTTGTCTCATGTATTTATTTTTGAAAAATATTCAAAATGGGTGAAAATTTTTATCTACATAAATTAGCTCGGTGGCATAGTTGAAATAGCTCAGCAAAAAATTTATACAAATATATCGTTGATAGAAATATCCTGACGAAAGAGTCGACGAATGAATCTTTTGTGTCAAAACTCAAAACTTCTTCAACCTTTCTTCTCGAATCTTGACTAAAACCTCCCAAACTCCCGCCTTCTTATCTCCACCATCGCATCGTAAAAAGCATTTCAACAATCTTAGTCACACATGATAACACTCATCGATCATCGAATATTACCCAAGACGAATTTATGCAAAAGTGCTTGGGGGAATAGACAGGGTTTTTCTGAACCAATGGTGATCTTAAGGAATGAAGTTAGTACCCCTTTTTTAAAGGGGGGAAAAAAAAATGAAGTTAGTACCAGATAGAAGGCTGTAGAGTAGTGTTTGTGTCTGCTTCCAGTTGTATCAACCCAATATGAAAGCCAGAGATCATTCCCATTACGCGAAAATTGCATCAGAATTGCAGACACGCATGTCAAGATTGCAATAAATCTGCCAGCGAATTCTGCATATTTTCTGTAAAAGATGGATCAATATACCATCAGGTATATATGCCTCATGTTTATTTCTCGGCCGTATATGGTCAAGACAGGAGTCACTCACTTGTACACCATGAGTTCCACTCTTCCTTCTTTCCTTTTCTCAGCTTCTATAGAACCTTTCAGATCACCCAAATTGCACACAGAATCGTCCTCCTGGACTTCCTCTTGAACTTCAGTGATAGCAGATGACATTTGCTCCACTTGAACTACAGAAGTAACATTACAGTTGTCTATTGAGGGAACCGCCAAGTAAGAAGAAAGAGATAATTCAGACGGACTTCCAACCCATTTTACTGTTCCCTTATCCAATTCGACCACCATATCAGCAGCATATATAGCCTGATTCAAAAGATAAATTGCTTATCTGTCCAATAACGTCACCACAAAATTGAACCTTTTCACAGTCTACTTAGGACAAGTAACAAAAGGGTTAAAGCAAACACCTGCACATTATGGGTGCAAAGAATGCGTGTCTGGCGGTTCATTAAAGGGCCAAGAATGGCATTATGTAAGATTGAAAATGCAACATGAGCATCTACTGCACTCAGAACATCATCAAGCATGTATATGTCGGATCCACAGTAAAGAGCCCTGTCAAACAAGAAACACACATGAGAAAATAAGATTGTTAATTCTGTCGCATCCTAAAACGGCAATGATTATGTTGATAATATCTGTCTACCTAGCAAGAGCAAGACGTGCTTTTTGTCCTCCAGACAAATTGATTCCTTTCTCTCCTATACATGCCATATCGCCTCCCACCATCATGGAAACATCAAGATCAAGTGCACAAGCCTTTAATACATCTGAGTATCTGATCCAAGAGATTTAAGTCAGTTTCGGCTCAAACTTACAAAGAGTAAGCGGACAAGGACATACTTCCTTATGAAGGAACATATCAGAAAAAATCAGTTTGTGGAGTCAGCAAACACGCAGGACGTTAATGATGCATTCTAATAACAAGATTACCTTGTCAAGTCATAATCCCTACCGAACAAAATATTGTCACGGATAGTTCCTGACAGAATCCAAGGAATCTGCTCAAGAAGATTTAATAAGCTTCCAAGAGATGTTGTTAGAAGAACAAACCATTAAGGGACAAGTTTTCAATAACCTGTGGTACGTATGTTGTGGATCCACTGAGATATTTTGTTCCATTGACGAGTCTCATTTCACCTAGAATCAGATTAAGCAAGGATGATTTACCAGATCCTACCTGCAAGAACCACTGCCTATTAAATTGAATTGATGGTATGTATCATCAAGAAAAAGTAAATGAGCAATTTCATCCCAAGCAAAAAAAGAAAAGATAAGATAATAACTTTGAATAGAATTGCCACATTTTTTCAGGATATAATTGGTATGTGAAACAGTTCCAAGCCACCAGAAAAGAAAATTAGTCATGAAAAGTACAAAAATTTCAAAAGAAACAGGACGATATAAAACAAGACAAATGAAAAAAAAAAAAAAAAAACTGCTCTTTAAACTGGCCCTTACAAAAAATATTGTACTGAAAGAACAAAAGTAAAAAAATAAAACAAATAAAGACAGAATCTTAAGATTGCTTGCGTGCATGTTTTTGATTTTCTGATTTTGTTTCCATGCTTAAGAAGTAGAAACATATAATAAAATACTGTTTAACTGATGGAAAATTACGTCACCTCTCCAATTACAGCAACCAGGAAACCACTGGGAAAGCGAAGATTAAGATTTTCCAACACCAAACTAAATTCTTTCTCAGCACTACTTGACCAAGTCGAAGACGCATCAGAAATTATGACAGCTATATTTTCAGAATCACACTGGTCATTGGCTAAAATGTTGCCTCTCTTTTCTAATTCGAGCTTATATTCTGAACTGGACAAAAACTTGCTTAACCTCCCAGAAGATATAAAGGCCTGGAGCATAAGATGAGAAAGTTACCATGTAAGATACTATCATTGGCGACAAAAATGAAAGCATATACGCCAGGAGAACTTACATCAATTAACCCATTAATGACCCAAGGAAAAGAGTTCAGTGGAGAAATTAAATTATTGAATAGAGCAAGGCAAGTAAAGACCTGCAAAGTAGTACAATAACTTCAGGAATATCAATTACTGAGATAAAATAGCTTTGTCATATTTAGTATGAATGTGTTCATACCGTTGCTGCATCAAGCTGATGCCCCATCAAAGTATAAAGTCCGAATGTGGACAACGAGAAAAGAGTTGGTGTTGTAGCCCAAAAGAAAACGCACCATGCATCCAAGTATTTGCGGGTCTAGGGAAGAAACAAGTTTTTAGACGCAAACCAGAAAGGCTTATACTCTAAATCAGTGTTCAACATCTGCTGTAGATTCCTTACTGATAGATATTTCACTTCCAGTGATCTTGTCTTCATCAACCATCCAGCAAATAGAATCTCCCAGCTATACATTTTCAGAGTTCGAATGTATGTCAAAAGTTCAGCGGTCCTCCTGATCCTGTAAAACATAGGACTTCAAGAGTTTACAGCAGAACCTTGATGTCTTCTAAGATGAATGATTGGAATACACATACTATGTAATTATTGAATACTAGCAGTATAGAACAATTCGGACATACGGCTTTTCTTTTATAAGTGTCTAGAAAGACAAAAACAGAAAACCAAAAAAAAAAAAAAACAGTGCACACACCTTTCATCCTTTTGTTCCATCATATTTTTGGTAGCCTTTGCAATCAATTCGGCAATCCATTTATTGACTGCACATGAGTTGACCAAAGGAAATATTAAATATCAGAAAATTTGAAATAAATCTTCCATGAAAGGGACGTCACTAGCATAACCATCATGGTGTTTCAACTTGAAAATTCATGCTCCTAAAGAAATTTTTCCCTTCCGAATTAACACGGCATAAATGCATGAGTGTGAATACATGTTGATCACTCCACCAAAGAATCAGATACAATTTGTACAAAAACTGCTCATGCCTAATATGTCCAAGTAAACAATCAACAAGACAATCAGTGAAATTTCTCACCTGGTATTAAAAGGACAGTTATTGCAATTCCAGAAAGAAATGCAAACTTGACTTGTGTGTAAAGTAGATATAGAGCGACTCCGATCTGCAGTGGCAAGCTGAAGATTACATGATATTAGCAGCAGCAGTCTAACTGACTTCAGCCCGTGAATCAATCAAAATTTTAGAACACACAAGCATCTAGGAAGTACAGACAGAGTTAGACTGCTAGTAGAGTTATAGATGACGAAGGAAGTTTATAACAGCGTAAACCGCGACCTCCACATATCATGGAAACTGTTGCATAGGTTTACAGTTCTATCAGCATCCACAGACATGAATGTTTGAATCTCTCCTTCAGAAAACTTTGACCTTTCTGCAAGTCTGACGTAGAGGCACTGAAAAAGTTACAAAGAGAATTACCACTTAACAGCCTGCGCTCAAACTTCTGCTCCAAAAATTACATAATGAAGCCAAGATAAAAATTGAACATGAAGTTAACACCAGAAGAAAGAACTAATCCAATAATTCTTCCTCGTTCAGTAAGGTTCTTTCTGTAATACTTGGGCAACAGTTGTGGGATTAACACTTATCTTCATAAAACAGAATGATAGAGATGACAGGCAGTCATTAACAACACCCAGACTGCAAATATGATAATTATGGAAATGTTCGAAGGATACGTACCTTGTGGTAAATAACACTCATGATACTGGCTCGGAGCTTCAACTTTAGTTTGCCAAGATGAAAAGAATATTGTGTATCAAGGAAGGATCTGCAAATTGCATTAGAATATGACTATGAATATACTTCATCACTAACCCGTAGGCAAATGTTGGAGAGGATACAAGACAGCACAATTTCAAGTAATTTTAATTTACAAATCATCATTGAGACAAGCTGCATCAGTATCTAAGAAAGCCTTTGCACCTCAACACTATAAACGACAAAATCAAAAGGGCAAGAATTACTTTAAAATAGATGCTAGGCCCAAGAATACAGCAAAGATGTAACCCTCATAGTGCCCGGTGCCTGCTAACAAAGAAAAGGGAAGTTGTTATGCACTAAAATCGATCAAAGACAATCATTGTATTAATTTAATCAATATTGATTCATGAGAGAGAATGGAAGATATCAGACAAAATATGTAGCAAGAGAATGAATCGACTGAAGTATAAACCTTGCTGGAGAAACCGAATCAGCTTATTGAGAAGAACTGGTCCCACAAACCCCAAACAATCATTAATCACCTGCATTTTACATTTTCACCAAGTTTCATTTATCATTAATCACGTAAAATCTCAAACCTTAAGACAAGACTACAATGTGGCGATATTCTCGGATTTCTTCTCAAACAAGTAGTTACATGCCAAAACAAACATCGGACCAAACTTCTAGTTGCATGGGATAACTTAGGCTCATTCAAGCCTCTAGGTTAAAGAATGATGAATTATGACATCAACTTTTAACACTTTCTTGAAGATCACATATGTGAAGAAGGAAGCAGCCAAATATAAGTCCAGCAGTTAGCTTAATTGTTTCACTAAACTTTTTAGGACTTCTATTCCAGTTAGTAATTTTGTTCATAAAGCTTAAACTTTATTATGTTTCCATTTGATTCTTAGCTTACACAATGAGGGAAATGTCATTGAAATTTAAGCACCTTTAAGAGACCAAGTCGAAAATATGGCCAACCATAGACCCCACAAATGGCTTTGATCAAAGAGATACTAGCAGAGTCAGCACTTTGTTGCTCTTCCCAGGACTGTCGCATCAGGTAATAGCAAGATAAAGGTTCCAAATCTTCTGGTAGTTCAAGCAAATCATTTGAGTCAAGCTGCCTCTTTACACCACTTTCGAGTACAGAGTCAATGAAATTGAAAGTAAAAAGATGCCAAATTTTGAGCAGAAGTCCCTGCAATAGTTGCACAACAACAGTTACATTTACTAAATTATTATACATATGTACAAGATAAATGAAATTGAAAGGTATGCGTTTACAGAAAATCATTTTACACCGCAATCAAGTACGGAATCAATGAAACTGAAAGTAAAAAGATGCAAAATTTTGAGACAGAACTTCCTGCAATAATTGCACTACAACAGATATGCTTACTAAATTTGGCATTTTATATACATGTACAAGAGAAATGAACCCTGACGAGTTGTAGAAAAGGAATGTTGACTTTCTTCAGAGGTCTTAAAACCCTGGACTTCCCAAAAACTAGCAAACACACCCTTCCCCAAAAACAAAAATCCCCACTGGCCCTCCTCCAATTCCGCAGATTTTGCATAACATCATGATTACTAGAACCAGAAAATATTTTTATGACAATTCAGAAATGAAAGAGAAAATACCAATTGATACAACAACACGTCTAATAGAGTTAGGAGATAATAACATACGGGCCTTGTCTGGCATTCTTTGGTGTTGCTTGTGCAAGGAAGAAGTGGCTCTTCCATGGAGTTACTTCAGCATGTAAAAAGTTCATTGTCAGTCAGGGAAATGAGCAATGACACCATCATCAGACACACAAATTGAAGTACACTTTTATCAAAAATTTGCCATAGTATAGAATATTTTAGAAGCCGCCCCTCAAGAAAGAGCAGAAGATACGATATATGTCCAGTTATCATGCAGATAGCAGGAGGTAACGAGAATTCGAGGGGACTTGAGATTACCTGTCTTTGTTATAAGATGCCCAGTTCATTCTTGTAATGTTAATCAAGATTCCAAACATGATTTCCAGCAAAGCAAGGAAGACCTCGCTAACATACCTAAAAACCTGTTAAACTTAAGTAAGACTAGAATGCAAAGATCAACATAAGTAATCATTTCTCCTTAATCCACATTCCTTTTTACTCTGTATCAAAGTTTGTTTAGTGCAAAATCTTCCGGGCAGATAACAGATCTCTGCATCTTATTCTATTTTTAAATTTTTAAATTTTTTTTTGTGGGGAGGGTGGGGAGAGATTTTGCATCTTATTCTATATGATGGAAAGGATAAAACATTTAGAAACCACAAGTATGTTTTCATAGTCTTCATGATGTACAACCTGAGGATCCCAGTTCCCAGAGCATATTATTCCAGTGTAATCAAAATTTTAACATATGTAACCTGAAGTTATGATATAGTAGAATAGTAAACAGCATTCCAAAGCTTTTCTAGGTCAGTAGTGAAAGGTTAATGCAAGAAATGCTCTATAGATGCTATCAAGAAGAATTGCATTGTTTCACCTGGTGATCCATCAAAGTAACGGATAAGTTTATACCTCTGGAGAAGAGAGAACTGTCAGTAGATGAGGAATCAAGAGAAACGGTTTCAATATCCACCAAAGGCACAAGATGCAGTTGCCATAAACAACAACCCAGCAGTCACAAGTTGAAGCAAGTAAAATTGCAACCTATTATTTGCAGCAAAGGAAAAAAAATAATAATGAGAGAGAAAATATAAGTAGATTGAGAACGTTTGTCGAAATACACTGTTACCAAGAGTGACTAGAGAAAAGCAAGGCTTACCCAGACAGCAAACCGGGAGCCACTGAAAAGCCATTGATGATTCGAAGCAGAATAGCCATCCAGGCTTTCTCTCAGCATCAAAACCATGCAGAGACATGACATGAATGCTCCTAGAGCAGGAACAACATAGGACAAAACCCTCACTGGCAGGCATTTCTGTGCAGTAAAGTCAAAAGAAAATAAAATTTAAAAATTAAAAAAATAGTCCAGGCTGGGGGATAATAACCTTTCAAAAGCATTGCAATGTTTGATTCTCAGTGACAACAGAACATCATGCCAAAATGATAAGAAGCCAAAAGTGAATTAGTACTACTAAATAGAAGGTGTGAACTGTGAAGGAACTAAATGAATGTGTTGGGATTTTCATCGATGATAACCTACCCTTGTATTGTCGTTGATGCCTCTTTTAGTAACTCCAATAGTGATCATAAAAGCCAATGTCACCAAATTAGCTCCAAAACCAAGAACTGTAATTACTGCTAAGGAAAAAAAGAAAAAAAATAGTCTAATCGAAATAAACTCGGAAACTTGATGTTCTGAAGAGCGTAGTTTTAAGGATATATGTCACTGAAACACTCTGAGAAACTCTTGCCATTCCATACCTGATAAGAAATAACAAGAAAAAAAGGAGTGTCCAATTAGTTTAAGAACAAAGAAACATTTCTGTCTTGTATCTAAGATCTCTATGAAGTTAACGAGCCACAAAGTGTGAAGTTTTCAACGCTGAGTCCATTAGGAATTTCCCAAAGATGCAATCTTTAAGTTCCTAATCAAAACAAAAATACAAGGACAAACATACAAATGGAGAATCAGGGCAAATGCGCTTCATGATGTCCATATTACCAAGCCTTCTGAGCAAACAAAACACCCACCAACCCACTATCAGTTCAGTCTACAGGGAAAAGAACCAGAAAGAAAAAGGAGATGATTTTGAGCCTAAATCCTAACAAAGGGAACCATAATTCAGCAAAAGCATAAGGATCAGTTTTTCTTTCAATAAGAAGAAGCAGAGAAATCAATGAATCATTGGCATGTGAGATTGAGAGGGTCAAAAAAAGGGGCAGAGGAGGGGTTTTAGTCCTGTTTTCAGGGGTTTATTAGAACAGAAATTCTGCAACATGGGCACAAATCGAAAGATATTTGGTGGAACCCAGAAAAGGAATCCCTGATTAAAGAGAGGAGGTGTCAGGTGGAATCTGTCAAATTGATCCCGCATGCAAATCTGATTTCATGCTTTTACACGTGGAACTTCAGTGGCACTCAAAGTGCAGTGACACTGCAGAGCGAGCCTCAACTCCCACAAAGAATCTACTTTCATTGCTTTTCTTTATTTCATTTTAATCCTCTCATCTGATGATCAAGGACTCTGAATCCCATCAAAAGCTACTCTCTTTAAACAGAGTACTTTACAAAAAATGATGCTTTATATCCATTGGGATAAAAAGCCATATTAATCCATCTGATTTCTTAGATGGCTAGGTACATGAATTCTTGATGGTTTGGTTTATTGGTCACTTTTTTCACCCTAAGAAGAAAAATCCAGACAAAATTTGGTAAAATTATTATATTTTGTTTGCACAGTTTGAGGATAAAAAATGAATTAGTATTGTATATATGGGACGGATGATTCATTATTTTTCCAACAATTGTTTCAATAAATTAGTGTCCCTCGATTATGATGTGTGTAAGCACTAAGCAGATTCAGAATAGTAAAAGCAAAGGAAGAGAACATCAAACCATATTTCATTGGTGATCCATAAAAAGAGTCATACTCCCACAATGCCAAGAAACCAAATAAGTCCCTCCTCCAAATATTTTTACAATAACATAAGGGGCAAACAAAAGAGATGTTTTTAATTAATTTTTCTGTCTCAAAATGATAATATTATAAGTTAAATTAGTGTGAAATATCATAAGTCGTACTAGAATAATGTTATTTATTTCGGAACACAGTGACTATGTGTGTTTTATAAAGGATTAAAAGGATTTTTCTGTTTTGTAAATGTTGTAATAAATGATACATTTTAAAAATTATTTTATGAAGAAAAAAAAACTCCTAAAAATTCCCTTTCATATGCTTTTCAAATTTTTTGGTCTCGTGTAAAAAAATTCCCATTTTCGTTTTTTCTATCACTTCATACCGTCCAACCGTTATCTTTCCCTCCACCACTCTCAGCCACTTCTGACCACAACCACCATCTCCGACCTCACACATGGCCGTTCCGACGGCCTTCAAACCGCCGCGTCTTCTCCCTCCGGCATCCCTCTTCCCTGCCTTTAGCAATTCTTCTCTCTCTTCATCTTTTCCTCTCATCCTTTCTTTCTCTTTGCCGCGAAAAAGGCCATCTTTACCGGCGGTCAGTTCCCCAAAATATACCACCATCAAAGCGGCACGTGCTACTGCAGCCAATGAGTCTGATCCCAAGCTCGGGGTTGCTCTTTACAAGCCTAAAACCTATGAAGTTCTAGTCTCTGATGCTGCCAATTCTTTGTTTTATGCTCTCAACGACGGCAAGACCCGCCTCGAAATCGAGTTCCCGTAATTCTCTCAATTTCAGAGCTCTCTTTTAGTTGAATAAATTGGTTTTTCTGTTTCCGGCTAATTGCCATTTTGTTATTTTAGCTTATAGCTCTTGTTTTTTTCTGGTGGGGAGTTTTACAGGACATGGAAATTGTAGCCCCCTTTTAGATTCTGATGTTTAATTTTCTTGATTTTACCTTTGTGTTGACATAATTTGTTTTTTTCTTCATGTGTTTACTCTTTCTCTGGATATGGTGATTCAGTCCTTTGCCTAGCAGCATTTCTTCTTACAAGGTAATTTACAGCTTTGTATCTTGTTAGTCCGCGTCTCCTTCTGATCATGTTCTCATTTTTTATCAAATACCATTGTTGTTATTAGATGTTATTTGGATGTTTAGACAGTTGGGTATGCTTATGTTCTTATTTTAGCTTGTAATCTGCAGGGATCATCAGATGAGTTCAGTGATGCCAACATTCAGCTTTCTTTGGCTGTTGTAAAGAAACTGCAGGAGAAAATGGAAACAAGAGCTTGCATTGTAAGAACAGAATTTTTTTTTTTGTCTGTTTTTTTGTACTTCTGCTTAGCATGGAGCAACAAGTGACTGTTAATTGCTATTTGTTCTCTAGGTTTTCTCGGACAAGCCGGAACAACGGAGGGCAACTGAACTTTTCAAAGCTGCTCTTGACATGGTAAGACAGAATCTCATTGTGTACTAGGAATTTTTCTTCTTTTGCCAAAGGCAGCGGGCAACTCCACTGAATCGCTCCACATTAGATGTTTCAGCTTTGTCTTTTATGTATGAGAACCCTTAATGTCTTATGATGTGAACCGTATAGTTCGTCTTCTTTCCTTGGGACTTCTCAATAAGTTGTTGTATAAAGACTCTAAAACTTTAGACATACTGTTGTGATTCAGATCTATATTAGTAGCCTGAAGTTTGTTTCTCATTTTTCTTGTTGAACTGCATGTACTTACATTACCATATCACTTGCAACCAAAATATTTTGGGTTTGCATGCGTAGATTCTCAGGGATTAACTGGTTTAGTTGCATGATTCTCATTGTACCACCACCAGATTATTTAGTTTTACACAATAATACAGACTGAATGGTACTCCTTCTATCATGTTGAAGAAACTTTGTTACCATACCATACGCCATTTAGATTTTTTTTTCTTTTTTTCTTTTAATTTGTTTGCATAGTTTCATGAGCTCAATTGATGTTCATTTGGAAGATACAGGAGGATCTTTACTGTAAGGTCAAATATTTTCATTTGTTAATTTTTTTTATTTACTTGCTCATTCAGATTGAAGGTATAAGTGTATCATCTTTGGATGATATTCCTGTTGGACCCGTTGACACATTTTTCAGATCCATAAGGGACACCTTGGATTTTGATTTCGTTGATGAGAATGAAGGTACAGATTAACTTGCTATCAAAGTATACTCTCTTTCAGGAACAAAAGAACAAATGTTTACCTTTTGAACATTTAACTTGAAACGCAGGCCGTTGGAAGTCAGACAAGCCACCTTCACTTTACATATTTATAAATTGCAGCACGCGCGACCTCTCTGTGATAGAGAAGTATGTGGTATGCTGTCCTTGATTCTACCATCGGCAATATTCTATCTATTTATGAAAAAATGCTCAGACTCTGGTAGTAGTTTTTAATTACTGAGAAGTCATATGACTTCCATACACATGTACAGGTTAATGACGAGTGTTATTTGCTTCATGAAACAATGCAGGAAAAATTTGCCATATCCACTCCGGCCCTTCTTTTCAATCTTGAACTTGATACTTTGAGGTGATCTTTTGTATCAGATCTTACAGCTGTTTCATTCATCTTTGATTTCTCTAAATGTGACCAGACACCAATAAAAGTGCAGGGGCGACCTGGGCCTTTTTGGTTTCCCGGCAAAAGATTTACATTACAGATTTCTCTCTCAATTTGTCCCAGTCTTCTACATTCGCCCAAGGGAATACTCAAAGGTAAAATTGGTCCTGTTGAAGTGTTTTCTGCATACTTTCTTTGAATATATTTTACAGATTTTTGTCCTCTGGTATGGAAGACAGTTGCAGTGGCACCTTATGTTGTCAACTACAGTGGAGCGCTATTCCGTCAATATCCTGGTAAGATAAACATTTTTTCTTGCATTCCTAAAAGACAGTTCTTTGTTCATCAACTTTCTTAAAGGTGTCCTCTTATGGAGGTAATCCAATAAGAATTGCACTTTGACCAGTCCAGACGTGTTAGATGTTAACATGTAACTTCAACTTTATTTTTAAGTGCTCATTCTATCATGTGTTACCTACCCAACCATAAGAAAATAGTGGTTGGGAAGGAAAGGAAGTTGTTGGACAGTTGAAGTCACCATGTTTTCACACTCTGATGTTATCTGAAACTTGCAGGTCCTTGGCAAGTGATGTTGAAACAGGCAGATGGCTCTTTTGCTTGTGTTGCAGAGAGTGCAACTCGTTTCACCCTTGGTGAAGTAAGAATTCTTGTCCCTCTTTCCTCCTGCCTTGGCAGCCTCAAAACTCTGTAGAATTAGTAAATTAATGGTTTTTGTGGGGTGCCAGACAAAGGAAGAACTACTGAGGGTCCTTGGACTGCAAGAGGAAGAAGGCAGCTCACTTGAATTTCTTCGAAGAGGCTACAAGGTTCTTGCCTAATGACAGTGATATCATTTTTTGTTGTTTTTTTTTTTTTTTTTTTTGGTTTTGGGTTTGTTTTGTTTAAGAATTTCAAAATCCAAGCCACCTTTACAGTTACCTCTGCTCTTTTAGAATCTTCACTTTTTCCCTTCTAACGATGTTGCATGATTCTCATTGTAAACACTAACTAAATGCAGAATGCCACATGGTGGGAAGAAGATGTTGATCTGGAACAATCACCGGCCTGGCGGAGTTGATATGCCCCTGTGGAAGAATGAGACAACTCTTCCAGGATGGAGATGATATTGTCTTGAAATATGGCATGAAGAGTGAAAGAGGACTTGGTAGTTCTAGATAGGTTGTTTACATTGAATATACCTAGACCTGTATAGTGGAGCGAGTTCACTGACTGCCAGCTTCCCAAGTCCTTGGCACCGGAAATGTTCTCTTTTATTCTAAAATGTTTTTTAATGTGTCAACATCAACACGGGGAGGGAATGATCTTCTGGAGTAAAGGAAAGAGCTTTTGATCCTTGAAAATAGATTCCATAGGCTTCTCTATATTAGAAGCTCCGATTAAGAGCAAAATTGAGAATACATTGTAAAGAATGTTGTTCTATATTCTCTATACTAGATTTTATGTTCTTGGATTTATGTACAAAAGCAAGAATTGCAATTTATACATGATACTTCTGGTTTCTTCATCTTTTTCCTCTCGAGTCTCTGACCCTTGCTGCCTCCTAATGTATTCCTTTTCTACAGTTATGATTGTGCGGCTGACATAGAACTCAAAGTATCTATATCCGATGATAACTAGGTTATAGAACTTTAGCCTGTTAAGTACTCTTCCTCTATCAGGAAGAAGAAACAAATGTCATTTTGTACAGCAAGGTCAATTAACAGAATATGTATTTTAACTAGGTAATCTACACAGCGTGTTAGTAATTGGCATCTGCACTACGGTAGGAATCAGAAAGTTTTTCCAGTTGGATCCATCAAATCTGCTTCAAAGTCAGGTTCAGAAGGCTTTGGCGGATTTATAATTGTGGAGCTACGATTTCTGTGAACACCACGTAAAGCATTAGCAGCAAATTTTGATGCGTACATCGTTGCCCCGAAACTGTGGCTGGGAGCATTCTCCATTTCATCTTCAAGCCGAATAAGCTCAGCATGCTTCCTCCTTGCATATCGACGCCATGCAGCCTGTATAAATGTGGCTGCCCAAGTTCTCCATTGCTGCGAGTAAAATCGAAATGTATGCTGAACTTGCCGGCTATGTATACGTCTAAATTGACTGGTGATGAATTTCACTTCATCAGCTATCAAGGCAAATGCCTCTACTTCTGTTAAGGCCTTGACTGTACGGGTTGAAGGTGGTAAATTAGCACCAGCCTTAGGATCCAGCGCCCAAGTCAGGAGCTCCTCTCCACAAAAATCGGCTTCTTTCAGATAACCTCTGTTGAAAAATCCACTTCTTCCACCATCTGTTGTTACACTCTCCAGACGGCCACGGATGATAAACAACATCTCGTCCACCGGATCCCCTTCGCGGAGAATGTAAGTATTTTCTGTGAACAAACTTGGTTTAAGCCTCTCGCAGATGGCATCAAGCAGTCTCTCATCCATATTGGCAAACAAAGGCACCTGGAAGCTCAAAAATCAAACTGTCATCAAAATGAATGTTCAACAATTATACGGTTATCAAAATGAATATTCCTAGCAGAAGCAATGCAAAATTGTGATTGAAACTTCAATTGTTTAATGCGTAAAAGGTATAGTAGATTTATGGAAAACAACAAAGCAAAATCACGGGATGTATCATATGTTGTACTCATAAGAACTAATCAGAAATTATATGTCCGTTTAGTAATCACAATGGATGTTGCAGAATCCAAAAACTTGTCAATTACTCACCCTTCTGACCAAGTTTAAACAAAGATGTCGCTTGATATCTCGCCTGAGGTCTTTTGGCAGACTCTGTACCAAGTTCTCTTCATCTACTCCTCTCGTTTCCATCCATTTGTATTGATCATAGCGCCGAACTCTTTCCCTGAGCTCTGGAGGAAGAACTCTGTGATGCATCCATTGCTCAGAATCTCGTCTTTTAATTCTCATCTCCTCAAGACGGACTGTCATAGATTGAAGATACGTCTGTTGCAAAAGAACACTTAGCTCTAAACCTTAATCAAAGTCACTCAAGAACTTTTCACCTCTCGGAAAAAACCAAAATATATAAATAAATGGCACAGGCAGAGTTGTTCAACTTCAGGTTTACCTGCATGTTACCAATGAGAAGAGCAAACAGGATGAGGCCAAAGATTGCCATGGCTATGGAGAATATAACCTCTCCAGGATACGTACTCGTCTGAAGCCCTTGGCCAAGAGTACTGTTGAAAAGAAAACATCACATGAGACTGGAGATATTTGTACATCCCTCAACTACAAATCTCATAACCCAACACTTCTTTAATTCCATTTTTTTATTTAATCATCAATTCATTGCTTTGTTTACCAATACTTAGAATCCAGGTGAAAAAGTCATATGCTCTCTCATTTCACCTGAGATTTTGCAGGCCCCACCACAAGCAGTAGAAGTATTTAGACAAAAAAAGCTCAGATTCAACAACTCCGGATGTCAAGGCTTGTGCATATATCCCATAATTAAATGCTGAATATGTATCATTGATAGCACAGCGAGGTTTCAGCACGGTATCCGTGATGTTTTTCCATTCTGCAACATCTAACTTTACATCGCCATCACGAGTGCAATAAAGAAAATTTGTATCACAGACATTACTACTCTCTTGACAAGCAGTTTCCCAACACGTATCTCTTCGCTCCACCGCTAACAGGTACCAGAAAGCTCCAACTATCTGTAATTCATCAAACAAAAGGGAAAAGAAAAAAGAGTAAAGAATGCAAGTAGATTATCTCCTGAAAAACAGTTGATGCATACCATCTACTTCGCAACTGCAGATCTACTCACATGACTAGAAAGTATGAACCACAACAGGTAGTATACAGCACCAGCCCAAGCGGTTTCAGCAAATACACCAGCTGTTTTCTTTAACTCTGACATTAGTGGTAGAATCCGAATAAATCTAGGTATATACTGAAGGAACACGATGATCACGAGTGCTTGTTTTGTAGCCAAAACATCTGAACCCTTTGATCTGTGAAGAAATCTCCACACAACAATCTGCAAGCAATAAGAAATGAAGTGTTGAAGGCTAAGTTCATCATGTTTTAGTGAGACACAGACTCATTGAGACGACATAACAACCATAGAATTCACTAATGCATTTATTTGGCTAGACATTGCAGGTACAAGGAGATAATTAAACCTGAGGTAAAGGCAGCACAGATAGAAGATCCACACCAAAATACCGGTGTATATATCTACTTGCTATCTCTTTTGGGTCAATCACAAGTTCACCCCGGCCAAAAACTCGAGATGATGGTGCAATGTAGGCTGTACGGAATTGGAGAACCATCCTTATAACATAAAATGCATCAACCAAAGTTCGAAGAGTGGTAGTTGTATATGCTAAACTTTCATCCAAGTGAAGGCACATTGGGTTATTCTTAAAAACAGGAAGATACAGAAACAAGGGATCTATCGAAACTGCAATAATACATGAGCAGACCAAAAGTCTATTCCATAATAAGAGAGATTTGTCTTGTGGATCAATTATTTTCTTGTCAGAACCTTTAAGATCTTCTGGAAACATAGCACGGGTCACACCGGATCTTAGTGATCTGCCAAGAGTCAGTATACCTTCAGATCCTCTTTTCACCCCTACCCTAAATGATTTCGATGATTTCCTATTGCTGGACCGACCTCCAGAGGTCAGTCCCCCTAGGCTAAACCCAAAACTAACTTTTTTCCCAGGCATATCTGCACTTTTAAATGATAAATTAGAGTCCAAATCTTCCAACCTGCAAAAGAAGAAAATATTTGTAAAACTGCCAGCAAAAGATCCTTTCTTTCACAAAATAAAAAATCCAAAGACAACCATCTAATAACCTCACAAATTTCTCCTTCTTGCCACCTACATACTGAGACCTTTGGGTGCCAAACATTGTGAAAAACTGAGATTAACATAGGGAATGAAGGTAAACTTGCTCAATCCATCTACTTCTTTTGAAGAAATCTCCACTGCTTGCAATTGATTGGACATCACCATAACTGCAAATTTATAACATATTACACTTTACAAAGTTCTATTTAGGCATTACATCTAACACAATCTGTGAACTAATAATGAATCCAAATCACATAGAGAAAAACAGCATATTTGAAAAACGAGATACCCAAGAGATTTTCCTCTAGGTAGACTAAATTGAAAAGGGATATAGCTTGATCATACCAATTTGCATCCATCCAAAAGGGATCATTTTTCTAAGCTCTAAAAACATTGAAAATTTTCAGTTACGATCAACATATTTCCTAATTGGCGATATCAAAAAGTAACGCCTTTTCATCATCTGGGAGGAAATTCATTTTCAATACGTTGATCAAGCAGACAGAAGATTCACAATTCAAAACTTTCCGGCCACAATTTCTAACAATTGAATTTGATTGCATGGGATACCATATTATAAATAAATATGTATATAACCCAAAAAAAATAAATAAAAAAATTGTCAAAAAGAACTTACAGAGGATTAAATAATGCGTTTGAAATTTTGGTTCTGAAAATGCCCTGAAATTAGGTATTTTGTTGATTTTCTGGTATATTGTGACAATGTGCGAACGATGAGAGAGAAGGAGATGGTATAGGGAAAATTTGCGCGCCAAATGGGGAAATATATTGTCCTTGGATATTCTTCTTACTAATACTGGCATGCAGACCGTTAAAACCGTTAATAATTACATCTGATTTCTTTTTTCTTTTTTCTTTTTTTGCATATTCTCTGTGCATCGATCTCTTTGTTCGGAAATAACAACATTTAAATTCAGTCCGAACTAGCATCACTGAAGTTTCTGATAATATCTAATGAACTGATACGATTCGTCATGTGTTCCCCAAATTTCATGAGTATTAGTAATAATTACAAGTAATCCAATCACAATTAGTTGTAAATCCACAAGTGACTCTCCAAGAAGGACTTTTCTCAATATGGAACTGTTACAGGGCTTATGATTATTAGATCATTCGTTATTTGTTATTTTTTTCTTTTTCAAAATTATTGTCCGACTTAAATTTTTTACTTTTTCAGTATAAATTATGTTACAAATACAAATTCAAACATGGCAATCGAGAGATGATTCATAGTGTTCGATTCACATTCATGCATGGACTAAGCTGCGACGTGTAATAAAGCTAAGTGGCAATGATTTTGTACTTCTTTTTATAAAGATGACTTTTCTCTAATGACAATCTTTTCACGACCGAATATAAATAAATCAATAGAGACAGAGAGGGTATTTCTGAAGAATATGATTGAACTTCTAGAAAGTAAAATCATAAAAAAGGCTTTCAATCCGTGAAATAATAAAGTTAATTTAACAAGGACCAAGGATCATGCTTCCACCCGGACCTATATACCATGTTTTTTTATTATTTATCAAAAGCGATAATCAAACGTATATGCAAATGTTAGTTTCATATGGTTGAAAGTTCATTTTTTATTACTTGAAACTATTTATGTTTTGAAGGTGATAAGTTTTTCTTTTTTTTTCTAATCTTGTAAAGAGCAAATTTTCTTTTAAATGCAATTTTTTCTTTTGGTTCTTCAGCTCTGTAAAATAATTTTTTATCATGACATATATTTATGCTTTTTTTTGGGACGAGATAATGAAAAGATGAATTGATATGAAACCACCACATTAGTAGTTACTATAAATGACATCTTACCTTCCTCCATGGTGGTAAAATTAAATGGTCCAACCATTGCCTCCACTACAATAGATCAAAACATTTCTTTTTTTTTTCTTTTTTTTTGGTACAATTAAAGAGGCTGAAAGACTTAAATTACTAAGTTATCATACATGAGTATGAGCGAAATAATAAAAATAACAATATTAACTTAAAAAGTCAAACTCCTAACAATTTAAGATGTTATAACCTGCAACAAAGAGATCTCGTTATAGTCCAATCCCGACTTGGTCAAGTTGACCCAACATATCACATTTAACATTAAATTCAACTCGAAAACCTAAGTTCAAGTCAACCCCTTAATACTTACAATCGACTTTATTCATAACGAAATATAAGGTAAGAGAAAGTATTATTGCTCACGTGTTACTTGGGACTGTAAATCCTAACGCCACCGCTTTATTCATGGCTTCATCATCCAGTAGACCACAAAAGTCACTGTACATCATTCGGTCTCTCTAGGGTCAAACTCATTTGATGTACGTTGGCCTCGGGTGTTTGAATTCATGCAAAGAACCTTTCCCTTTGATCCATGAAGTCTTTTCATAAGTGGGAAAAAAGTAATAATTTTTTTGAACTTGGTGTATGACAAATTGACAAGAAAGAAAAATTTAACATATGGCCATTATGCGTCAGCGCTTCTAATCTAAAAACTCGAGATTAGGGAAGGGAAATTGCTGTTTAACTTGTTACAAATCAGCAGTCAAAATAAAACGGCAAAGAAGATAATTAATTTAATCATTTATTTCAAATGGTGCTAATTAAAGGGCCTACTTGCATGGCTGAATCATGCTCGATCACAATACATTCAAATTTTAAAAAAGAAACCTGTTCAATCTCATTACTTTATTTATTTATTTATCTGCGATCAATAGAGCATTTTGTGTTGTTTTTGCTATCTTGTCTAGTACTAGAACCTTAGTAGATCGGAACTTAAGCTGAAAGAAGCCAAAGTATCTCCGTCTTACGTTGGAGTTTGGTCTAGAAATCCATGTGGAGTTTGGCAGGAAGTCAAATTATTGGGAAAGTGTGTACGTGGATGAAATCACAGTCGTCTCGTTCGTATTGATACTGTATTTTTAAAGGGTTTATTCATCCATTCAAGATTAATTAAGTTCGTAGTTTTATACTGTATTGGTTAAGACTTTCCTCTGAAAATTTTTAAAACTGAGAATGTCCATTATTATAGCTTTAGAACATTCGATTGAGGCATTGAATTGGGTTTAGGAATAAAATCAAGTTATTGGTCCTAATCAGATTTATCAGAGCACATAATTAATGTAACTGTATACATTACTTGAACACGCATCAAACGCAATCATGAAAGGAGACATTCTGTTCCTTGCCGCTTTCAATTCAAAATTAGGAAAGAACATCAAATTATTAGAAGGAAAAGAAAAACGAATTTAAAAATGAACCCGGCTCATATTAGATTGACTATATAAGGTACTTTTGGTGATTAGCACAATCATTAGCCATGTCAAAGAAAAATTCGACAATAGATTAAAAGTATTGCTATGTAAAACTTTGTTCTAACTTTGTAAGTAATGCAAAACACAAGAGAGCCCAACTTTCTTACTTTAGTCCTCTTGTGTCCGAACGTTGTTTATATGTTATCAGTATTTTGTATTTAATCTCACATTAAAAAAAAATAACAATTGAACAATCCAAAAAAAGGAAAAAAAGATTATTGTTAGGAAAATTCGTACTCAACTACAGATGATGGTAACTACTAAAGCAAAGTTAAAGATTAAAGAGTCGTACTTATTTCTATTTAAAAAATTTCTTACAAGTCAACGAAGGGAGAAAGAAAAATACAAATCTTTCGAGTCTTAATGTAATACTCTTCTGATCCTTAATATAAGATATTTTAATTTTGTTGTAGGTTTCATCTAGTAGGTTAGTATGCATTTTTAATTAATGAAAATAATCTTTAAAATATGTTTTCACATTCATTGTATTCTTGTGATTGTTAGAAAATATTTTTAAGATTTTTTTATTAATTAAAAATACGTATTAGGTGAAACCTAGTATAAATCAAAATACTTTATATTAAGGACCTGCGGGAGTACATTTAGAAATGTGATGCTAAGTTTCGGAATTGATGAAGAACAACGAGATTAACACTAAAAAATACTTTACTTACGTCGTGATAATAACCACGTATCTTTGGCGTATGCATGAAAGTCAAACGTATGGAATCTTTGCTAAGATAATCATAAAATCGACGACAAAACTGATTACAAGTCATCCCCGATGGTGCGTAACTGCGTGTTCAGAATTCATATTAAACTTCAAATGGGACTTTAAGAAAAATTGATGATTTAGGTCGGATATGTTTCGATCGTTTATTTAATAATCATCCCATAATTATTGTCCGGTTTGAATTTTCCTTTTTAACTCAAATTGTAATTAAAGTAAAATCTCAAACTGGACAATAATTTTACGACAGAGGGAGTTTGTTTTTGCCAATTAAGAATGACTGGGATGGAAAAGATATTAGTATTCATGAAAATTTTTGAAAAAAAAAAAATTACAAAAAACCTCATCAAAACTCGGAGTGTAGAGAACTTCTTGAAATCAAGAGTATTATTTCGGTGTGGTATGAGTCCATTTCGAAAGAAAAAAAAATTAAGATAAACTTTTCTCCTCAAACAGAATCAGAAGTGTATTTCAAGCTAATGTCTCTGGATAGCTGATTTTATTTTTATAGAAATTAATGGGATTCCACCTCGAAATCAATTGACAATGAGGGTGCTTATATACTGATACAAAATGTCTCCAAACACTAATGTATGATAAATATCAATTAACGAAGGTGCTTATATATTGATACAAAGTGTATTCAAATACTAATGTGTGATAAATATTTCAACACTCCCCCTCAAGCAAATGGGCTTGGACTAAATCACCAGAGTCAGGAAAATAAACCGTAGAATAACATCACAGGCCGCGGAATAACATCGCGGACTTAAATTGGGTCACGGAATAACATCGTGGACTTAAAATCACCACAGACTAAGCCCGCTTTGATACCATATAAAAGCTCATAGGATTCCACTTTAAAATCAATCGGTAATTAAAGGAGTAGCCCATAGTGTTAATATATTGATACAAAGTGTCTCTAGATACTAATGTGGGATACATACTTCAACAGTTTTTTTTTGTTTTAACGAAATTTAATGAAGTTTGATATCTAAAATAAATAAATAAATAAATAAATCAGAAGTGTATTTGATCAATTTGATGTTTACAAACTTGTGTCAAAAAAGAGCTGGGAAAAGTGGTAATTGGTAAAGTGACATAGTCCAAAACAATCCAATACAAATGTCCCACCAAACATCAAAGCCCAGAAAAAAGTGATAAACTGTTATTATGTATATCTGCAACTTCACCACCCACCACCACCGGTCCACCACCACCACCACCATCTTATGGGGTTTCCCTCCAAAATTTCTTCCCCATTGTCTCACAGCCTGCGCGGCTCAAACAATCTTTTTTCCCTTTAGTCAAAAGTTCCAATGGGTCCCCAAACCCACAATTGCCCTTTGCTTTTTTCTTTAATCATTTTAATCCCCCTCCCCATTCCTGGCCTAACTTCTTCAACTCATCAACTTACGCGAAAATGACAAAAACAAATCCGACCGAACTCACGATTTCACTTGCCTTAAATACGTACGTATGACTTCTTCTCTCTCATTTCTCATAGTGCTAAATGTAAACATTTTACACTTTTTTCAGCACTAATTTAATACGCTACAAAGTCCATCTATCATAAACTAATCAAACACTTGATTATCCAACTGTAAAGCAAAGTGGTGGTACTACTAAATGTGTATGTGTAATAAACGGACCGAGTAAAACGCTAAAAACTCCTTTCATCATCCCAGACATTTCTGATTTCTGCCATTTCCACAGTATTCTTCTAGCATTTCTTTAAGATATCCCATGAACCATTTTCGTCGAGAACCTTGAAGCAAACATCATAATGCCTTCAAGACTGCTCCTTTCCTCAGATTCAAGGCCTAATAGTAAACCCACTGTTGTTTTTCTTGCAATCACAATCTCTGCTTCTCTAATCATTTTCTTTGCCATTCTGTATTTTGTGTACTATTTGTGGTACTCATTAGTCCACCGTTCCCGGACTAGCCCATTTGATTCCGCAACTTCACTTGTAAAGCTGCAAAGGTTCACATACAGAGAGCTCAAGTCAGCCACCAATGGGTTCAGTGAATCAAATTTAATTGGTAAAGGAGGGTCAGGGACTGTTTACAGAGGAAGTCTTAAAGATGGGAAAATGGTAGCTGTGAAGCTTCTTGATTCAGTTTCTTTGCAGAGCGAAAGGGAGTTCCAGAATGAACTGCAAGTTCTTGGTGGGTTAAGATCACCTCTTATTGTTAATCTCTTGGGTTATTGTGTAGAGAAAAATAAGAGACTTGTTGTTTATGAGTACATGCCTAATCGTAGTTTGCAAGAATCTTTATTTTCTGAGTCTAATTTGAGTTTGAACTGGGCTAGGAGGTTTGATATCATCTCTGATGTTGCTAAGGCTTTGTCCTTTTTGCATCTTGAATGTGATCCTCCTGTAATTCATGGTGATGTGAAGCCTAGTAATGTATTGCTTGATTCAGAGTACAGAGCTAAACTTTCTGATTTTGGGTTGTCAAGATTGAAACTTGAGGTTGATTTTGGGGCTGATTTGTTTAGTCAGGACTTGGGGAAGAGTCAAGAATTGTGGAAAAGTCAGGAACTTTCTGGGAATTTAGGTACCGGGGGTGGTGGAACTGATACACCTGTAATCAATACTCCTGTTGAGAGTCAGGATGAAGTTGATTTTGCTTTGGCTTTACAAGCGTCTTCTTCAAGAAACAGTAAAGTATCACACACTGTGAAAAATTTTGGTTTTGCTTCTTTGAGTTACAATGATGATGATGATGATGATGTTCTGAATGAAAATGGTTCTAAGAAAGCAAATGGTAAGGGGAAGGAAATCTCAACCACCGAAAATGGTGGAGAGAATTGGAACAAGATTACAAATCAGGAGGATGAGCCGAAGAGAGTAGAATCTAGTCAGTTAAACTTGAATCTGAATGCTGGTTCAGCTGGTGATGATAAGGTTATCGGTGTAAAACAATGGGGGAAAGATTGGTGGTGGATGCAGGATGGTAGTGGTGAATTGTGTAGTAAGGACTATGTGATGGAGTGGATTGGGAGCCAAATTTGTGAGTCTACAACTCCTGATTGGGATGAGGAAAAGAAATGCTTTCCTGATGAAAATGTCTTGGGTAATGCAATACAGCCTAATATGGTTGCAGAAAAATTGGGGAATAAGTCACAAGAAGCTGGATTTGGCTATCCCGGCAAAGAGCTTGAGGCAGAAGGATCTAACCAGTGGACAACACAGAACAAGAATCATAAAAAGATGCAAGATTGGTGGAGAGAAGAGCATCTTGATGTACATAGCAAGAAGAAAGCTAAGGTCTTCAAGGTTGGTATTAAGGGGAAAAATGCCTTCAAAGCTCTACATTTTGGTTTAGGTAAACGCCTTTGCTTCAAGACGCGAAAGAGGCAGCAGATAAGTGATGTAGACAATGATCAAGGTGAATTCAGCTTTAGAAAAGGCTGGAAGAAGAAGAATGCCCGTTCAGTTAATAGTGAAATGTGGAGTGGTGATCTTTTCAGCAGGGAGTTAAGCAGCACAACCAGCATGAGGGGCACTCTCTGCTATGTAGCCCCAGAATATGGCGGTTGCGGGTATCTACTGGAGAATTCCGATGTTTACAGCTTTGGAGTTCTGATCCTTGTGATTATATCCGGTAGAAGACCATTGCATGTTCTTTCCTCTCCAATGAAGCTTGAGAGAGCTAACCTAATAAGCTGGTGTCGGCATCTAGCTCACGCCGGAAATGTACTAGAGATCATTGATGAAAAACTAAGAAGTGATTACAACAAGGAACAAGCAAGCTTGTGTATACACTTAGCCCTTGCTTGCCTGCAAAAAGTTCCCGAACTGCGGCCACAAATAGGGGACATTGTTAAGATGTTGAAAGGGGAGATGGAACTGCCATCATTGCCATTTGAGTTTTCACCCTCTCCACCTTCAAAACTGTACAGCAGGTCAAGAAGAAGACTGAGAAGCAATCCTGAATGAGTTTTCTTGTTGATGAGATCTTAAATCTTAATTGTTCATTGTTGTTTAACATACAAGGGAGGATGGATCCAATGATCCATGATGTAATCTCACAAAAGGCTAGCTTGCCAATTGGTTTTAGCATCATTGTCTAATCTGAGCTTTAAATTTATTCAATGTAAATAGCTGAATTCCTGTTTGACCAAAATTTACTAGTTGTTCCTTCATTTTTTGTTTGAGATTGCCCGCTTGTTTTGCTGATTCTGGAGGTTTACTCAAATTCCAAAGGGCCATCAAGCTTCTAAGAACAGGACGAAAAAATGAATCTTCTTTTGTAACTCTATGTTATACAGCATTTACATCAGATTATCAGAAGGGAAAAAACTTTCAGTTGGCATGAAAGTGAAAGTGAAAAGGGGAAGGAAAGTAAAGGTTTTGGAGTGATATCCTTCTTCTTCTTCTTACTTTTTTTTTTTTTATTTTTTTATTTTTGGCTTTCATACATGTTCATAGGATACTATAACATCATTCTCAGTTCACATTTATCCAGATGTACTGCTGGAAAAGAGCCGAGAAAACAACAGTTTGGTCCACTTTCCATGACGCCATAATTCTATGTCAAGTTATGTTTTGTCCCGTCTACTGTTAGATTCCCCTCTAAAATTCCTTACCAGTACTTTTACCTCGTTCCAAAAGAATTTGATTCAAACAGAAATGAAGGGAATACAATTATTCAGTGATGTTAAAGAGATGTTTACTTTGAATCGCAATATTCGGAGGAAGTATTATTTTGGCTTATTTACAAAAAAAAAAAAAAAAAAAATGTCAGCAGAAGCAAAATAAATTAATGGAATAACAAGAAATTTCTGTCTAAATTCATACGAATGTGAAATTGTCAAATATATTCTGTTTTCGTCATCATCAGGATTGAGTGAAATGCATTGACATCCTGAATTATTTTCATTCAGACCTTCGTAATCTTTCTCCGCCCCGTTCTTAATCTCACCTACCTAAGTAAGTTTTCCACATTGGGGGCCAACCAAATTGTATATAGTCTTAACTCCTCCGAGAGTATTATATGACTGTGGTCTCAATGAACTAATTCATTGGACTACCAAAATTGTCAGAAACTCCCACAAGATAGTGACTTGTAAAACGTTGATTCAATTATTATATAATCAACTAAAGAATTATTTCTGGGAATTTTCACTAAATATTTTATATAAGTATTACACAAACTAATATACATAAGTGCAACCAAAAGACCAAATGAGTAAGGTAATCAAAGTTTCAAAAAAATAAATAAATAAATAAGAATAATAAGATAATCAAATTATGAAAAATGTAACAATTGATTTTTTTTTCTTTTTGCATACTACTCACAATGTCCTAAATGCATTACACTCAAACTAATTCATCCGAGCCGGGTCGGTATCCTTTCGGAAGGAACGCTCTCCTAATATTGCTCTTTCTATTCACGATACTCGAGCCCGAAACAAGTGTTGGTAATGCAACAATTGATTTGAATCCAACTGAATTCAGAGAAGAAAAAATATAAACACATTCAAAATAAAAACTGATAAAGCAAATGAAATCGCACTCAGGCCCAAGCCCATCATCAAAAGTGGCCCCAAAAGAAAAACACCTAAAAAGGCCCACAACAACAGGGTATCAAAACTATCATCTAATCGCAATCCAAATCCACACAATTGGGCCCATCATCCGGACCAAAGATTGGAAAAACCCAGCACGCGCCACTGCAGCCGCGGCGGACTTGGTGGATGCATGGGCGACGGAGGACCTCGGCGGCGACGGAAGCGAGTGGACAACCACCGAGACCTTCATCCCGTTGAAGCACCCGCCGGTCCCACAAATGAAATAATACCTCTGAGCTTTGTTAAGCGGGATGAAGTCTTTCCCGCTGCTCCAGTTCCCCAACGCGCCCGCCGTCGTACAGTTGTCATAACCGGTCTTGTTCACTTCAAACACATTGTACTGCGTCTTCTGGTACCTAAATGCTGCAAAGACACATTTTTTTTTGCATTGACATGAAAATTTGTTGAGAACCCACAAAAAGAATGACAAATTGACACAGGAATTCAGACTTACAAATGAGATCTCCGACGTAGAAAGTTTGGTTATTAGCCCAGAGAGTGTAGTTTATGCCTGGGTTCCAGCCTTTGTTGGCACCCACAATGTGGTCAGTGCCGGAGACGGCGGTGACGGCGACGGTGACTAGGACGAAGAGGAGGAAGATGGCGTCGGGGATAAGGCGGAGAGTAGTTGAAGATGAGGTGGACATTTTTGGATGACACTTCGGAGAAAGCTGCTTCTGCTTAGTTGGGGACTAGTAATAATACCTGTAATAAGTAAAGCTACTGACAGATGTGTAATAGAAGCATTTTATTGAGGTTCTCAATAATATCTGCAATTATATCAAGAAAATTGTTGCATGATTTAGAACAACGTTTAAACTTCCAAAGTCATAAAAATGATTAATTTTTGTTGCGAGAAAAAGAAAAATTATTCTACAAGGATAAGGGAGGATCCAAGAAGGCAATGGCGTAGAGATAAGGCAAAGTTTCCTTGATTACATTAGCTTAGTATATAATCTTTTTTCCTAATAAAATGCTTCTATCAAATTCGGGAGATTTGAAGTTTGTGGGATGAATACAGGCTCCAGTCAAGTTGACAGTACCTTCCACATTTTTTATTTTATTTTTTTTGGGTGAAATAGAAGTACCTTCCACATTCAACACTCAATACGAGAATTCATTTTTGATTTGGTAGAAAAAAGTGCCATTTTTTTTAAGAAAAAACTTTACTAATGTAAAGTTCTTTTAATTACATTGTCTCTGTCCTAAACCTACAATAAGAATTGTCATTGACGAAAGCTTTTTAATTGTACTGTTTCCATCAAACCACACTTGCTATTTTATATTTTTATGGAGATCAGTAAGATTTTGGGATATAACATGAGTGAATTGGCTGAAAGAGCCATGCCTGAGATCATGCGTCCATTTCATCGAGCTTCAATGATGATTCTAAGGCAGAGGTTAATTGATTCGGTCCCTCAATTTGAATACAGTCCTTAGTCCGTACTTCACTGACTCACTTCCCTCAATCTAGGCATTCTTGGTTCGGTTTGTTAACCTAAAGTTATACAGAAGCATTTCCTCATCCACAATTTGAAAATGCCATTAAAGCTAAAACCAGTGGACTATACTTCTGTCTCTACATTACTTTTGTGCTTATGGTTACAGTATATGTATAACACTCTTGCAAACATATGTATCCTATTCTGATGAACCCAGATTACAACATCGTTTTCATATCTTTGCAGAGAATGCAGAGCTAACTCAAATAAAATGTGATTGGTTGAGCTTACCTGTTCTAAGAACTCAACAAAACTTCAGAATAGAATATCCTGTCCATAGGAAGACCTCCACTCCAAATTTCCATAATTGAAATTTATCATGTTCATCAGTCAGCAGAGTCATCTATTATGATTAAGAAGATTCGATGAACTCGCAAAAATTGATCTTCCCCCTCCAGCGTATTGTTGAGGAGATTTGCCAAAAAAAGAAATGATAATCATTGGGGAGAGCGGTAGAGATGTACCCACTATCTTTTGCTCGTAAAAGTAAACAATGGATTTGAATGTCCACGTTTTACATTGTTGCTTGATTTCCTATGTCCTTTGTTTCGAAGAAGAGTCCTTTTGCTTTTTCCTTGAGACGATAAGTCATCTTTCTCATTGTGCTTTGCAATATGGTCTCCTTCAAGATCCCTACTGCTAACTGGTTCTTTTGATAAGTTGTCTTTTTCATTGTGTTTTGCTTCACTTGTATGGTCTCCAAGATCCGCAACGCTGACCGGTTCTTTTAACATTTTCTCCAGCTTAGGGTCATTAGGAAACCCTTTGGATGTCATCTCGGCGTACAATTCCCTAGCCCTGACTAGCAGTCCGCACTTCACCAAACCTTCCACCGAAAGAGTATAATGTGCTACATCAGGTACTATCTCATACTGTGGCATTTTTAGCCAAACCTCCAAAGCGTTTTCAGGTTGCTTGAGTTCAAAAAATTTGGCCAGAATGTGCAAAAATGTACTCTTGTCAGGACCAATACCAGCTTTTCTCATATGCTGAAGAACTTCAAGAGTTTCTTCAAAACTCACACCCGTTAGCAATGTGTGGTATGTATCAATGGTTGGACTGACATTATCCTTGGTCATGATAGCCACTACGGATCTTGCCTCCTCTACTTTTCCTGCTTCACAAAGTGGCCTGATGATGTTGTTGTAAGTGGTGGAATCAGGAGTCCACCCGGCTTCTTTCATTTTATCAATTACGGCAAGAGATTCCTTCAAGCAATTTTGAGAAGCTAGAACATAAGCCAAAGAATTATATACCTCAATGCCTGGTATCAATCCCCTTTTCTTCATTTCATCATACAGTCTCAGTGAGTCGAATAGATTCCCAATTTTTGAGAAGCATGCAATCAAGTGTCTATAAGATGTCCCATTCGGCAAAATACAACACTTTGACATCTCTCTCCATATCCTCTTGGCTTCAAAAATATCAACAGCTACATTACACCATCCGTTGAGAATAATGTTAAACCCCTCTGTTTCCAGTGGAAAGAACTTTTTGTTGAGAAACATGAATTCTTCGGCCTCTTCAATGTTTCCATGCTTACACAGAATATTTAAAAAGGTGAAGAATGCTTCCTGATCAGGAGAGAAACAAACCTTCTCCATAACTTTGAATGTTCTCATAGCTTTGTCAACAGAGTTTGCAGCCACATATCTGGAATTGAAATTTCAGCAGGAGAAACTTAGTAACTGCCAAAATAGCAAGAACCTCCGCTTTTCCCATTACAAGTTTAGTGTTTAGTCTTGAAATTACAATCGCTTTATCAGTTCGTGTGCTAGACAAACAAAGAGATTAAGTATAAGAAACCATTTTCCACCTGCAGTTTATCTGGACGTAATAAGAGAATAGCAAGGCCAGCAGCTAGCCCAAGACACAAATTCCATTCAATTAATGGTGATATCTACTTGAGTAAAACTCTTCTACAACAACCAAATAATAGAATCCCTACACGTAGATGGAAAGAAGCAACTTTAACCCTTTGATGAATCCTATTACTACTTCTTGCAAGAAATGGACCCAGAAAATAGAAAAACAAATTTGAAGTTTATGAGAAGGCTCGGAAGATATACCTATCAATGATGGTGAGTATAGCTTGTTTGGTATCCTTTGAACTTCTGTGCAAGTCATGGATCAAAGACCAAGCAGTACCAAACTTCCTATGATTCCCCAGCATCCATATCATCACACACCGGCATCTTTCATCAACGCAATCCCATTTTTCGCCCCATTTGAAAACCAAATAAGCCAGCTTCCATTCTTCTCTCAAAGCCAAAACAGCTGAAAATATCAAATCTACATTCGGTCTCACACTAGCCTGATCAAGAAAGTCCAAGGCTTCATCTCCCGAATCCAAGTTGGCAGCTTTCCGGGTTAATTCAATCAATTCTTCGACGCCCAGTTCCGCATCTTCATGGGTTTGTTTTACGCACTTACTAAAGTCGAAAGTTTCATATCGATTTTGAATCCAACAGTTTGTAAGCGTGGAGAAACGGAAGCTCCGCAGGCTGGTGTTATAGGTGTTGATAAGTGTTTGATGAAATGCCTTATAGAGATTACGCGGCAAAGAACGAGCTCCGGATGAAGATGGAAGGGCGAAATGGGTTGGATTAAGGAGTTGAGAGACGAAAAGTGAAGAAATATGTGGGATTTGGAGCCTTCTAAGATGGATGATTAATGCCATCATTTTTCATCCATCGCTGAACTTAACAGCAGAAGGTGCCTTTGGTGCCACCTACTGGCGGAAATATAGACAATATAGTTTGGCGCTAAAGGCAAAATGAAATAATCCCCACAAAATGTGAGAAAAAATCATTATATTTGAAAAACAAAAATACGATAAAAGCAAAAACTCTTCTCAAACTATGTCCCAAGGACTAATACGCTCTCTGAGTTGTTCAAAATGATAAAAAAAAAAACTCGATTGACCGCTACAAACTCAAAGTCAATCATCCAAAAACATAAAATGACGAAAAAACCATAGAGCTAATATTTTCAGCATGGGAAAAATAACATTAAGAACAGTAATAGTATAGTCACATCTCCTTGAAACTCTTATCAACCCCTCCCCCTCGCAAGATAAAACAAGATACATCAATAATTATTTCCCACCATATAATTAGTTTGGAATTTTTTTATAAAAAAAAATGGGCTAAGAAACTCAATCTTACAATCCAAAATAGCTTTCAACAATATATAATGAATTTTCTTGATTAAGGAATTCAATCGTAAAAAAATATTAGAAATGGAAGGGGAAGAAAAAGTGGTGAACGAATTAAGAAAAGGAAAAGCATTGACAATTAAATTTATTATTTTTCTTCTTCTTCTTTTTTTGGAAGGAATTTGATGCCTTAAAAGCCAAACCCTAGCTAGTCTATATTTCTGACTTTGGGACATATCTTGGGGGTTAAATGCCCTTATTCCTAAAAAAAATTAAGATTTAGCAAGTAAAAATTCATGTTTAGTGGCAAAGTTTTTAGTTTCACTAGATTTTTCATGCACTTGCCGTAGAGCAATTTAGAGTTAATCATTAAAAAAATGTTTTGATATCGGTTCAATATAATTTGGACCTGTACAATAACACTACGATAATTTTGGCATTTTTGAAATGGAGCCTTAATTTCAATTAGTGGTCTGCTTTCTTAGATTATTAAAAGTAAACAAAATGGGACAGAAAGTATTAAAAATTGGAAAATTCATTGTACAAGGGATCTTCTGATATTGTTAATGTCATTTCAGTTTTGTTTTAGTATATTGTGGGTCTTTGAGCTTTCACAAGCCATTGAGAAGTTGGAATCATCGATAATTTTTTATTTTTTTCACTCTCTGGGAAATGACGTATATGGAGCCAAAGAAAGAATAATATAACAACATACTATTCATTATTCAATTACTGGTTAAGGTTCAAATCGTAAAAGTCAAAAGATTATCATTTCCTTGTTTCATTAATTTACAATGTGTTAGATTTTTGTTCTTTGGTACTAGTAATCTTTACCAAAATTATGGTACGTACAGTAGATGTAAAGGACAAGTTTGTTACCAATCCCTAAGAATTCCAATTTTGTTTTGTTATTATCGTTTCAAAAAAAATTTTAAAAAAAAAAGAAAGAAAAAATTCAGGTTTTCTTTCTTTCTTTCTTTCTTTTTTTTTTTTTTGTTTTTTTTTTCACTCATTAGTAGCAGTACTTATACCCACATGGTGAATCAAAATCCCAAGGACTAGCCAATTGTTTGATGTCTTTATTACTTACAATGTCATCGTGCCAATTTTGAATATTTAACAAAATTTAAATATTGGTGAAAATAGAAATTTAAATAGATGCTTGACTTAAAAAAAAAAAAAACATTGCCATCGTGGGAGAAATACCAAACCTTATAATACCCAACACCACCAGTTGTGTTGTTGCGAGCCTGAATCAGTAGACCGTACTCACCAACGTCCGCAATTAGTTCGCCTTGAATGAACGCTACGAGCGTAAGGTTCGTGTCGGAATTCCGGAGCGCTGATTCAATGGTATGGGTGAATTTAGCGTCAAGAGAAAAAATTGTGATTCACAAACACAAACGCCCGGCGGCGGATAGGGAACACAAGGAGAAGGTGCTATTCAGCATCATGCTTATTAGCACGAGAGATTGAAACCTCGTTTCAGCCTTTTTTCTTTCTTTTTTTTTCTGTAAATGAGATGTCTTTTAATTGCATATGAGTTCCGTATGTCAATCCTATGTGTTTTATATGTATGTGTGTATATTTGGATGAAAAAGTTTTTGCTCTCTAATCTTGTGCATTAATATTGGAAATCCCCTGTGCAAGGATGACACGCACAAATTGAGAAATGGTTAATTTATTAGAAATTAATAAAATATTTAGCGATGAATAAACATATCGTAAAATTAAGGGAAGGCGTGCATAATGTGTTCTTTTTCTGCTTCTTCTCCTTGTCCTGCCTTTTTTGTTATTTTTTTTTATTTCAAAATTATTGTTCATTGAGATTTTATTTTTAGTACGATTTGAACTATAAATGAAAATCCAAACTGTAAATTCAAAACAGATGAAGTATTTTTTTTTCTTTGAACTCAAAATGGTTTTTAAATATTTTCTATAGGTGAAAAATCTCATTTCTATTAGCTAATGGGAATCTAACTGGTATGTTGTCACATTGAGAAGGCTAATATCCATAACATGTTTATCGAAAACAAAAGAATTCGATATGTGCATTATGACTGCATCGCAACTACATGTAACTTTCTTCACTTTGTTGTAAGATTAAGTGAGAGTTAATTTCTACATAGTGTTATTATCACATTATATATCTAGTAGTACTCATCTAGACGAAACTAGTTCTCATAAAAATGTGGAAAAATCATGATGCATCTTACACCAAAAAAAAAATCAAATTAAAACTTTGCAAGTAAAAAGTCCATTTTCATAGCAAGTTTAGTGGCAAATTTCTTAGTTTCACTAGATTTATCATGCGCTACTCTAGTACCGAAGAATAATTCGGTAGTTCGCCATTAAGAGTTGTTTTTTGGTATCTGCATAATATCACAATAAGTTTGGTACGTTCGTCCTTCTTTGTAACTCAAAAAGTAAAAACATCTATGTATCTACAAAAGGGTTAACACCATTTAAAAAAAAAAATACAAAAGGGTTAACAATATACCATCGGTTATTTAAATTTATTTCTGGTCAACGATATGTATAATTGTTTATTTATTTAAATCATATTGTAGTTCCTCTATAATCTAACATCACGTTAATTTTTTGCTAAATGTTGTTACCTTGGTCAGTATTTTAGTACTTTTGGAGGAGGGGGAGGAATCTCTAGGATTTCATATACTGTTGCTCACAAATTCGGAAGCTCTCTCACATTACAACCTAAAATTCAGCAGGGTGGAATGTGGCTATGAAGCTGCAGGAAGATCGGGGAGCGGCAAGGAGAAGCTGAGATAATGCAACCTACAATGGATGGTGATGGGATTATGAAATTCACGAGAATTTGTAGCTTGCTGGCATTCTTATTGGTCGAGATTGTCGGTGTTGATTAATTTAACTGTTTGACACACATGATCTTGCAGGTATTGATAAGTTGAGAGCATTTTTTTTAATAACGAAAGTTAAACTTTTTGGTTTACCAATATTCACCTTTAAGTAGGATTTTTAATGATTCCTTCTGTCGTAAAATTATTGTCGAGATTTCACTTTTAGTACAATTTGAACTAGAAATGAAAACTTAAACTGGACAATAATTATGGGACGGAAGGAGTATAAATTTACCAAATATATTTTTATTTTATTCCCTTCAAAAAAAAAAAAATCATATTGTACTTCCAAAAGTCGCCACGTGCAAACACCACGAGAACAATTTTTTGTTTCTTTGAAGTCCAAGGGTTTAAGCCCAAAATTAGAAAGCCAAACTTCAAAGCCTATTGAACAAGGGTTTAAGCTTTCAAAAGGGCTTCTCTTTTTTTTTCTCAATTGAACAGAAAGGAAAAGAACGAGAGAAATCCGAACAAAATGGCAAGTGAAGCCAACAAAACTAGTGGGAACAAGATTGGAGGAGGAGGGTTCAGAGCCAAGTTGGATCACGCCTTGTACAGTGGGGAAAAGAAGTATGTCATCGGCGGCATAGCTGTAATTGGTGTCATTTTTGGGGTTCCCTGGTATCTCATGAACAGAGGTGTGTTAATTTTTACGAGCTTTTAGATGTTTAATTCTGTAACTTCTTGTTCATCCGATTTAATTGGGGAAAGTTGAAGTTCCTCTACTACGAATGTGTTTGATTCTATTTTGCAAGTATTGGTTTGATGTAATTGTTTGCCCTTCTTTTCTGCCCCGGGGAAATGTAGCTGAAATGCTGAATTTGATGGTTGCATATTAGTTTTATTATATGACCCAAGTCTTCTCTTCTCTATGTTAGGTTGTTCTTAAAAGTTTGTTAATTGATTAAAGTAGAAGTGGTTTTAGGTGTAATTCATAAGAATTTTCCTTCCTGTTCATCACAATTTCTTGTCATTTCTTTTGATTGTAGAGAAACGAGCTTTCCACATTGTTGTTTGCTGCGTCCATGAATTTGTTGTTAGTCTTATCCGTGGTTGGAATTTTTTTTTTTTTTTAATCTTCCATTGGGTGCTGTTAAAAGAATAGGAGTGAAAGGCAGACTGGCTGCACATTTTTGTTTGCTGCGTCCATGAATTTGTTGTTAGTCTCATCCGTGGTTGGAAAAGGTTTTTTTTTTTTTTTTTTGGTTTTCTTCCATTGGATGCTGTTAATAGAATAGGAGCGAAAAGCAGACTGGCTATGAAAGCATCATGATTCATCTATTTTTAATCAACAATTTATTGAAACTGACAGTAGAAACCATAACCATGTTAGGAATGAGTCGTTTAACATGTTTGCAATCCTTCTACTTTGCTATGAGGAGGATATTGCACCTCACTGATTTGTATGTCCTGCTCTAAGAATATCTACTTTGACAATGTAATTTCTACTTAAGCTGCTTTATTCATATCGTCTCATGATTCCAGTTCGCCCCTTTATAGTGATGACTTGCAATTTTCAAAGTGAAGTTATTCTCACCATTTGTTTGATGTAGTTATCTTTCTTGTTTGGAAGTTATTTACAAGTACTATCACCTATCAAGATGGGTTTCCCGAATTTTGAGTGAAAACATATTTATACTGAATGCCAACCATTTAGTCAATTCTGCTTGAATGCATTCTTGATAGTGAAGGATTTATCCTTTACAATGAACCATCATTTGATTGTGCTTTCTGGGTTCAAACATCAGCTTCGGGATGTGTTGCAGCTGCACCTCTTTACTTTTCTATTCCACGCATCCTGGAGTTTCCTAATCGACTTATCTCGTCCCTCCCAGGCGGTTCCACTTCCCTTCATTTCATGCTCTCTATCATTCAGTTCCTGTACCATTGCTTTACAATGCATTAAAACGTGATGTTAGACCAGTGGTTGTATTAGAACTGTGTTTAGCAGAGTGGTTATGTGTCTGAAAGACATTTTTTTCTGGTTTTTACATTAGATAGTCGATACGCTTAAATAATGGTGATGGTGTTGTTCCAACATCACGGTTTACCTTTGATTATCCTGGTGCTGAATGTTTCTTAATGTCTCAGGCTCAAAACATCAATCTCATCAGGACTATATGGAAAAAGCTGACAAAGCACGAAATGAAAGGCTTAAAAGCTCGTCGACAGCTCCCAAAGTTTAGTAGCATCAATAACTGTACCATTTTGGTCTCATATGATACCTAGCACTGTCCAGTTCCATTTTAGTGTGGTAGTTGTTTCCCATTACATAGATATCATAAGAAAGCTAGGGAATCTCCTTTCGTGTTGAACCTTGGTTGGTTGTGATGGCCAAGGAGTTTTCTTTTTAAAAGAATTTAATGACGAGGTTTATGATATTACAAGCTGCCGAAAATTGTTGGACAAATTGTACAATTTTTGTTTTGAGAAGAGGAAGGTAACTGTGCCAAATCTTTTTCTGTTAAGTGTTTAGCTTCTGCTTCGTGGTAAACTTTTCCAGAGGATGGTAAGTTCGAATTTCTTTTTTCTGAATTCTTTAATACCTGTGTTGCAGTGCCCATCTTAAAGGTTTGAATCTGTCATGTATGTAACCAACAGTTCTCACGTAACTGATATACAAATAAGGCAAAAACTTTTGAACGGATCTGAATAAATATTAAGTCAAAGTAATAGGAAGTGGAACTACATGTGAACGACAAGTTAACACATGGTTTGCTCAAGCATATTTCTGGTCTCTAGCTCTGTCCTATGATCACAAAAGAGAAGTCTTACTTCCCCAGCAAAAAACTGGTAGTCTGGTGAACAAGTTTCGACAGCATATACAAAGGTGGCAGCAAGATTGGTGCCCTCACTATCAAGATTGAAATGTAGCAAGCAGTTCCCTTAGCTCTATATCTCTTTTGGAGACAAGAATTAGTAAGTAATAAAATTTGATATCAATGCTGGCTATGCGCCATTGCCCGCTATGTTTGCTTACACGAATTACAGCGGCATTAGCCTCTTGTACTTGAAAAACCACAAAAATGAACAGAACAAAATAATTCCACATACTCCTGTGATTATAAGGACCCACTTAAAAGCATCTGGATCATCAAACAATGGTATTACAAAGTTCATACCAAATACACCAGCTACAACCCCAAAGATGGCAACAACAAACGTTGCAGTTGTAAGTAACAACTCAAACTGTATAAGCTGGTTCCGTACATTGTCCTGCAGAGAGAGACCCCAAGGGTTAGGACATGCATTCATGTTTACAAAGCACAATCAAAGAAAATCTAACAGCTGTGCTACAGTTAAAACCTACATTCTTCTATCCTTCTACATTTCATTATACAATCCCTCACAACAAAAAGCTATGGATGATGCCTGAGGACTTTTAAACCTGACTGGAACAAATGGAAGAAAGCAATAAAAAGTCGGTGGCATCCTAGTTTTAACCTGTATGTCCTCATCAGTTCAAGAAATAGCTCACCAAAAATATGATATTATGCTTAATTATTTTATGAAAAATGAGGAAAACAACAAATCAAAAGACCAAAAAACAGCTAACCAATTAATACTTCATAACATTGAGGAAGTAACTCAGCCAAGTAGTACTATAATCTGACTCTTAAGATTTTAAGACAGAAAACATTTCTTTTATGGGTTTTTCCAGAGTATTTCCTTATAATTACTAAAATATCTAATGTGTTCCTTTCAGGATCCAGAACTCCAATATCACATAGAAACCAAATGCATATTAAGAGTTATGAAGAGCTTATTTGTTCACATTCCACCAATGAGAGGGAAAAAAAGGTTATCAGTATCGTACCAGCTGGATGTTAATAAAGTCTTCGGTATCATCAATATACTCCTTGAGCTGAGGACATAGAAATAAAGAGGGTTAAATAAACTGTATTGTATTGAATCAAGATATAAAGAAGCTAAATCTTTGTGACCAAGAATATACCGATGTCAACTTGTTTAAGGTGTAGTCAATAACAACAAAATAAGCCTCCAATAACATCTCCAGCTCTTCTATACTCTCCGTTTGACTTTCTGAACTTCTGACACTCTCGTGTCTGCTTCTAGCAATGCTTAAACTCTTTTCCAGCTTTCTGGAATCAGGGGGGGAAGCAACAGGGGAAACCGGAGCAGATATAGATTGTGCACCATCAATTGACCTGTACCCTATCAGAGATTGATCACCATAGAATGAGGCTTCCATTCGTCTTTTCTTCTCTGTAAGGTACATTTCAGCCATGTCTCCATCATCATCCATGAGCTGCTCAATCTCATCTCTAACCTAAATACATTAGGGCAGAAAAGAAGCACAAAGAAACCATCAGAAAAAGAAGCTTGACCAAAATAAGACACCAATGACATAACATGCATAATACCTTCTGAACTCTCCGTGTCAAAGCAACAAGCCGACTTTTCAATCGACGAACGCGTTCCAAGTTCAAGGTACTTATCTTCGATGTTAGCTCATCCAACAGAGGGTATGCTTCAATCTCCAGTTCTGATGCCTGAGTGCAGTAAGTGGGATCATAACCACATATTAATATACATAATCATAAAAGGAATGAGTGGATAATAACAGGCCAAATCTTACTTATACTACTTGTTTTCAGGTTGTGCACTTTCTAACTGCAATTTAACAATTGAAGCTTTTATATCTTTCACTCACCTGAGAGTCCAAAAAAGTACAAGCAGCCTCGAGGGCAACTTCAAGAGCCCGAAACTCAAAAGGCAAATAATCCGGGGATGTGTTCCCAAACATATTTTCTAAATTCCGGTTTCCCCTCCTGTTCACATCACCGCCTTCTGGCTGCCAAACATCACCGACCCCTGCAGCCTGCAGTCGCCTTTGAAGCTCAACTACGTACTGTAGCACATAGTTATCGAGAGAATTCAAAATCAAAACCTCGTCTGCAGTTATAATACATCGAATTTGCTCAAGATTTACAACTATGGCCTTCTCTCTTCCAAGAATGGTAGATGGGTAAACAAACAATGGATCTAACAGGCGCAAATCACGGGCAGGAAGATCACAGCGACGCATCATGCTGAACTTGTCCACCTCAATAACTTGTGAATTACCAGATGTATCGACACGGATCCATGAACGAAGGCCTTGACCACGTTTCTTGAGCCCCAAAACATCAACAGCTTGAAAGGGTTGACGGCCAGATGCAGATGGCCTGTAAGATGAGTCTCTAAGATTTATTGCGGATGCAGGTTTGGGAGGTAATAACCGTTCTTTGAGGTCAGCCATAAGATGCTTCTAAACCTGAGGTACCAAAGATAAATCCAAGAATTATAAGCTAACTTTTTCCACCTAAATACTGAAACCAAATAGGGATACATCACATTATGCCAAGTTTTCATAAGCTCAGCCGAACACAGCTGTTTTCCATATGAACAAAATTAAGTTCTTATCCAGCAATAACATAACCGAGGCCCTTCAGCTATGAAATGACTGACATTGTTATAATAGGTTTAATCATTTAGCTCGTCCAACTCGTAAGTAAAATGCAAATCAGATGAGCCAAAAAATCTAAAACAGGCTTCATGTCAGATGATTTCTGGTCAAGAAATCAGAGGAAGCCGCGGTTTATACCAAGATTCATTCTTACAAAACAGATGTCTCCAGTTCCATCAATATTGAACTCGTTTCATCAATCACCCACTGTATTGAATCAGTTCTACACATAAAATTATAGTGCAAGGACACAGAGAGAAACCGCCACAGTCTATGACTCAAATAAACAAAATTCAAAAACAAATGATAGCGAAAGAGCAATTGAACCAAACAGTGTTCACTATTTCTTGATTCCGAATCCAATACAGTCAAAATTAAATAGTCTTGGCTGATCAACATACCTCCGGACGAAGAAGAAGAAGAAGAATAAGAATCAGCAGCTAGGGCTTTTTCCCGCAGTTGAATAACCGCCGCGCCGGTTCGTTTCACCGCGAATTGGCGGAGGCGAGGACAAAAGAAAGAAATCACTAAAAATCGCAATTCCTTTTTTGTTATTTTCCTTTTATGAAAGAATGAATCCAAGAACTACGGCAGAAGAAGAATGATTGACATGGAGACAAACACCATGGTCAGAAACAATAAAGACAAATCATGGTTTGGGGTGGGGGACGAAAAAGGTTTGCAGAATCGTGTTGGATTGCGTCGGAGAGAAAGAAGGAATCAATCCAGCCAAAGAGTACTACAAAATGAAATGAAACGACCTCGTTATTGGCACCCCGTCGATGACGTCACCCTTCTCCTCCGGTACAATTATTTGCAATCATTTGGATTTTGGAGTTCTACTAGGTTCTGATTGCTTAACTGGTTCAGGATATTCACGGAATTAAATTTACTTCAGATTTTGTATTAATTACTACTATTATTAATTGTTTCTTTAAAAAAAATAAAATGAAATAAAAGGTACTACTTGGTGTAGAAGGAAAGAAGAGAACATCTATCAGCTATAGACAGCTAGTTCACATTTTTTATATACATATTTTTTATCATTATTTTTTCCTAAAATCATGTTTTGTACAGTATTTCTCACGTTTCCTCAGCTGATTCACAAGTTTGGATTGGAAATTTGAGACTTGGGAGGGTAGAGAGTTTGAAAACAATAATTGTTTAATTGAACTTAAATAATAATAATAATATAATTTATAAGATTAAGAGTGTCACAGTTATAGTTACCGTCTTTTGTTTATGGTAAGGACAAATATGAATAACTAGATTGGAAGCCATTATCTAAAAAAAGATTAGTCAGTGTTGTTGAGCCATATAAAACCTGTTCAGCCACTTATCTAGGAAACAGGAGTGTTTGATCACCTTAATTTCATCATGATATAGTAGACATGTAGAGATTTTGCTTTTTTTTTTTTTTTTTGCTTTCTCCATATATGTACAGGAAAACGATCGTTTTAGTAGTCTCACCAAAACATGTGAATTCTGTAATTTCAATTGAGACTTGTACCTTGGAACGATTAGGTGTGAATGTGTGATATGCCTTAATTGAAACATTAATTATACGACATGAATCTGGAACGTGACAACAATACATACTTTCAAATGGGAAAAATTGGCTAATCTAACTTAAATTTTACATGCGTTGTCAATTCTATCATATTCTTTTTCGATTAGTCAATATTACCCTAAGCTATCCAATCGCTAGTCGATTTTGTCCAATTTGTTTTTTTCAGTTCAAATTAACGGAATTCTATTTTTTTTAATTACAAAAATACCCTAATAATTTTAAAAATTATAAAAATGACTCCAAAAATTTACAAAAATAACAAAACAGTCTCTTATCAGTTTTTGTTTAATTTTTTTTGTTTTTTATTTTTTTAATATTTCCATAACTATAAAAAAATACTATATGATCTTTAAAAAAAAACTATTTATTTTTAAACTCTAATGTACAAATTTATATTTTGATATTTGTAAGTCATGTTTAATTTACATAAACATTTTTTTTAATAATATAGTTTAACGGTAATGATATTATTTTTTTAATCCATTTTTTTCAATCTAAAGAATAAGATTATTTAACTAAAACTAATTTTGTACAAAAAACACATTTAGCATAGATTAAAAAAGAAGTTATTGATATACTTTAATGTATTACAATTTAATTCAACAGACTTTAGATTGTATCATAAAATTTAAAAAATAATTAAAACTAAAATATAATTTTTTCTCTAAAAGGCTAAGTACGAAAAGAAAGTGAAAAAAAAAAACACCTATTTCATTTCTACATTGGCCCAACACAAGATTATAGTGTCATGGTATTTACAAAAATAGTACAAAATGTTTTATAAAAAAATTATTTATATTTATCATTGCGAGGGTTTAATATTTTGTTATAATTTTTGAGATATTAATATATCTAACTTTAGCAGAAAGTCTTTTTTTCTAAAGAAAAAATAATCTAAAGAAAATATATTCCAGTACTGGACTCCACCTTTTTTTTTTTAAAAAAAAAAAAAGAAAAATTAGATTGCCCCAGTGAGAATCGAGACATCGAACAAAGTAATTTTATATCACATCCTGAATCACCTGACCATCTAACCCTCTCGCCTTTAGTCGACCCTGCTTAAATATAGATAAAATCACTCTTCCGGTTAGAAATCGTTTAGTGAGACTTAATCTTATATCTACTCTCATGAAACAGAAAATTTGGCCGATTATTTTTTAATCTATGCTAAATTTTTTAATTTTTTGTAAAAAAATTATTTTTAGTAAAAAAAAATCTTATTCTTTAAATTGAAAAAAATGGATTAGAAAACTAATATCATTATTTTCTAGCCATAGTATCAAAAAAATTAATATATTTATGTAAATCAACCATGAATTACAAATATGTATATCTATAAATTTGTGCAGTATTGTTTAAAAATAAATTTTTATTCTAAAAGATCATATAGTATATTTTTATAGTTATGAAAAATAGTAAAAAGAAATAGAAAACAGAAAAAAATTAAATAAAAAGTGAAAAGAAACTATTTTGTTATTTTTACAAATTCTTAGAGTTACTTTTATAATTTTTAAAACTATTAGGATATTTTTATAATTAAAACTAACAAAAAATCCGTTAATTTAAACGGAAATTGGCAAATTGGACAAAATCGGCTAACGGTTGAATATCTTAGGATAATATTGGCTGATCGAAAAAGAAAAAGATAAAATTGACAACGCATGTAAAAGCTAAGGTAGATCGGCCAATTTTTCCCTTTCAAATGGCATTCCCATCCATTGTGGGGGAGTATCTAATTAGCATAATGACCTCCACCGACAGTACGTTGGGAGCGTGGAGAAAATAGATGGAGTAAGGAAAGAACCATTGATGAGTGAAAATGGTGATTTGGTTGGAGCCATTCACGAACTGCTTGGTAATTGGTATTGTAATATTAATTGGGTATTGGGAGTCAAATTTCTTCTACGAATTATACCACATTTCTGGCTGAAACTAGCTCTGGTGACTTTCAAAATGTTCGAATTGAAAAAATATAGGTGTCAAACTGTGATTAGAAATCTAAAACACAAAATTGTGACAAATCTCCTTACTTCTAAAAGTAAAACTGCTAGTATAACGCTTTACTCTCTGATAAAGCAACATATTTTGCGTAGTAAATTTGATGTGGTAACCATGATTAATGTTTTGCGTTTCCGTAATGTCTTAGCTACGTTCTTCTTCACAATTATCAAAGCAAAACATTAAGAACCAAAATATCACTTCTAGTGCAATTAACAGATTATACTCCCTCCGTCCTAAAAAATAGTCCACATTAAGTTTTCAAATTTGTACTAAAAATAATACATAACTCAAAATTCAATGTGGACTATTTTGTACTAAAAACTCAATGTAGACTATTTTTGTAGGACGAAAAAGTAATACATTTCAAACTGGCCGACTCTGAATTGTTTATTAATTTGACTAAATCGTCATTTCCTAAACAAAGCAACGAATACTTGAACGTTGAAAGTTAACAGATCGGAAAAGGTCCATAGTTTTTTAATTAAAAAAAGCATGAATATTTACAACTTAAAACTGACCAATTCTATATACATCATCAACCTCTCCATCATCTTCTTCTTAACATAGAGATGATGAGAGCATTTTTTTCATAACTATGGACTAAATAAACTAGACATAATCTTACATTTGCAGAAAAAAAAAATCATCATCTAAATGTAAGGGTTGATATGGGAGGTGTAATCCCTAATTCCAGCTCCTTCCCATCCCATCCATTCTTCCCACAAATCCCAATCTGGGTCAAACATCCCTCTGAATGTATCATCTATTCCTTCATCGTAGGCTTGCCTTTGTGGTTCAACTGGTTCAGATTCAGCCCTCAAATCATCCATCACCATCTGCAGACACCCACATACAAGAAGCAATTCCATTTAGAAACTAACTCAATACCATAAAATTGTTATTCAAACCATACATATCAAAAAGGGTTCTTTTCTACAAGTTTGGATAAGGACTCCAGTTGATGAGTCACAAAAGGGTACATACAACCAGTAAGTTTTTTGTGATTTAAATGGCATCAATTGATTGGGGGTGAAAACGACAGATTCTCTATTATTTGCACTAGTCCTGGTCCAGGTCTGTGTTCTATGTATTAAAATATTGGATTAAAAATAGTTAAAGCGATGGGTTCTCTGAGGATTAATAATGCTAATCTAATGTTTACGGATTTAAAGGTCAGCCATACATCAAAGGGTCCACCTTGAGATCCCATCATTCACAAAAAAGAAATTCAATTAAGATGCCCCCAAAATGTACTATGTCTGAGATGACAATTTCATTATACAATGTCTGCTGTGATGGTTTTTTTATTTTATCCTATCCAGGAATCACCCTGATCAATGAAAGGTTAGAAAAGGGGATATGGACACAGTAAAATCAGAGACTGTTAAAATCGAAAATTTTGATAGAACAACTTACTTCATATGCTTCCGTAATTTGATGGAATTGGACACCAGAGTCATTTTCTTTGCAGACATCCGGGTGGTACTGCATTCAAATGAAGGGATATCAAGAAACCAAGTAATGATAATGTCAAGACCAAAAAAAAAAAAAACAAAGCAACCAATTATATTATTAATTCCACCTCGATCCAGCCAGACAAGAAAATGAAGAAAAACAGGGGAAAAATCGAGGAACCCAAAACAGAGTTTCCATTCCAAAGAACAGAGTTCCAAAATACTCGCAAGATCAAATTTTTATTTGAGGTGGGACGAAATTTATGACAAAATACCTGAAGAGCAAGTTGTCTGAAGGCCTTCTTGACCTCCGCTTCAGAAGCTCCCCGGTGGATTCTCAGAGTCCGGTACGGATCCCTCACGGAAGAATAAACGCAGGAGACCCGGAATTTGCTACTATTCTTCCCGTCAACCTTCCCTTTCTTCTTGGATGAGTTCTTAAATTGAATCCAAGAAGAAGATGTCCTAACAGACCCAAAAGCCACAGCAGCTGCCATTATCTCAAAAGGGCTAAACTCAAATCCACCAAGAAAATAATAAAAAGATTCAATCTTTTATCTTTTTTAGAACCTTGAATTCCAACACCCTAATAACCCAGATGATATATAGATTAATAAGGGGATAATAGGATAGAAAAGAATGATCAAAAGGGTCTGAATCGAAACTAATAAATAATTCAAAGAACGAAAACTACGGAATTTGAACGCAAAATGGATCAGAAGGAAAAAAAGGAATGGATAAAATAAAGGATGAGTCGAGACTGTTCAAACTCGGGGGAATTTGGATTGGTATATATAAGCTTGGGGGAAACGTTTTTGTTCTTGGTATGTGTCAAAGTCACGTAGGATAGCGGGTCCTTATCCATGCTGGGCAGATTTTTTGCTACGTGTCAATCGTCAACTCTTGAATTTTCTTCTCTTTTTTTTCAGTTTTTTCTTCTTTGGAATCATTATTCAAGTCTTTTTTGTGGTGTGGACATGAGAGAGAAGAAGAGGGAGTGTGTGTGTGTGTGTGCGCGCATTTCTTTTTGAGCTGGGGAATCTTTTAGTGGATTATGCCTCATCTTTTTCCTAATTTATTTTTAGCCCAAAATTTAGTTTGGTTTAGGAAATCTTTTCCCCTACATTTTCTTTAGTTTTTTGGAAGATAAATATGGTATTTCAACAATCTTGCAAACATTCTTAGATTTATGGACCAATTTAATTGGACATGATCTTTTTTATTCACACTTTTTTCTCCACTTTCCTTTCTAATAACATACATAGTTCAATCAGCAATTGATATTTCTTGACTACAGCAAAAATACTCTTATGTAGTAACAAGATCATTTTTAACTCTACATTTTCAATTCTTCAGATTATGTTCAAATAATTTAAAAGTCGAGAATGCAAATAAAAAAATTCCTTGGTGTTCAGATGCCGGAATCTTTTTTTTTTCTTTAATTCATGAGACAAAGAAGGAACAAATCGGGGTTTAATGTTACGGACGAAACCAATACCCAAGGTCATGATGATCCAGAGAGACTTGCGGTTTCTGAAACCATCGAGATGGCCCAAAAATTTTATGAATCACCTTGTGCCATATATATTGAGATTGTAGGGGAAACAAGGTCCAAGTCCAGTAATTTTTTTAAATTAGAGATGAATGCGAAACTACATTTAAACACCTCTTGTCAATCACAAGACCACAGTTTCTGCAAACCGATTTTATGTAAATTTAAAATGATCAATCTTCGTAAAATTAGAACCGAAGATTTTCAAAAGATATGGTTGAAAAAAACATATTAATACATATTTTATGGGATCTTAAGTATAATCTAGAAACTAAGGGATTGATTTAGACATTGGGAAAACTAGTGGGGGCCGAATCAAAATCTTGTACAGAAAAAGGAGCAGACGTGGGCCGAAACCGTGACGTGTCTTTTTGTCAAACAGTAAAAAGATCAAAGTGCGTTATCCACAAAAGCAACCCCACCGCGGTCAAGTAAGCAGCTCGATTCCTGATTTCCTAAACCCTTTAAAAATAAAACGTCTCTCCATCCGCTGCGGCGGTGATGCCGGTTGCCGCACCGGCTGTCTGCTTATCTCCGCCGGGATAGCGGCGGCGACGTCATTGCACCAACCTGATAAGGAAGAAGCTGGCGTTCTTCACGTGTCAAACATGCATCCAATCAAAACAAAATATTCCAGCTAACCACATTTATTACTGAGTTCCGGTTTTCGGCACAATCCTGAACTTTATTGGGTTAATTACATTTTGGTTCCCAAGGTTCAGTCTTATGATGAATTTCTCCTCTCTGTTTGGGAATAACAATCTAATTACCCCCTTCGCATTGAACTTTGAAATGATGGGGGTGCCAGTAAACCTTGACTCTCCTCGACCAGTTTTTTTCAGTGCGCGTGTTGTTTGGAAAAGATGAAAAAATATACCAAAAATTATAAAAATTTATTCCATTGAAATACGAACACCCAAAAAAAAACCCCCATAAATTTCTCTATTAAATACCCCCAAAAATATAAAACTTACAAGTACTACTTGGAAAATGGAATAGGCCAAGGGGTGACAGTTTACTAGACAAAAAATATCAAAGTAAATGTGGTTCAACCGCACGTGTGCGTGTTGTAATGATTTTTAATTTAAATTGACACAACTTTTAATTAATAAAAAATAAAAATTTATTTATCCATTCTCGTGGATTTTGTGAAAAATTGTAAAATCTTGTTTTTTTCTTTATATTTTGTGACAAAATTGCATCTTTTTAAATTCGTTTCGAAAAAATAAAAATTTAAACCAAGCGTAGTAAATTGACACCTTAGACAATAATTTCAAAATAATATTTCTAAATTATGAATTAGAGTTCTCAACTTGTACAAATATTGCAACTTTAAAAATTCAAACCATCATGTGTTACAAACTATAACTAAGAAATAATAAAATACCAATAAAAAAGATTAACTCCTAATTAAACACAAATCTCCGAAAAATAACACAAGGTGCGATCTGTCAATTAGAAAACTCATCACAACAATCCGTACCGCACCATTACCACCACCATTTAAAAAAATAAAATGAAACCAAAATTTTTATAAATAATCTTATCTTTTGTTTCACCTGAGGAATGTAATTAGTCAGGAAAATTTTTAATCTTAAGTAAACTTATAAAATTATTAATACAAAGGGGTAATAATCAATTTTTTATTATACATTTTGACTGAATTTGTCATTATGCACCATGTATGTAAAAATAATATTGTATATATATATATAGATACATACTATAAAAAGAATAAATAATTGGAACTTTTCTGGCCAAGTGACGAATTCTGTGCAACTTTAGTGAGCAGCATCTAAAATAGATAAGTTTTTTTTCGCTCTTTTCATGTTAGTTATAATTGTTGTATTATTTTTAGTATTTTCTATATTAGTTTCGTCCTATTATTTGATTATTATATTCATTGATTTCATATGAGGATTGATTAACGTAGTATAAGATTTCTGAGCCGAACAAACTATAATCATCAATCAATTGATTTGAAATAATAGTTTCGTTGTATTAATGTAGTATAAGAATTGATTTGTTTTCAAAGGACTAACTAAGGTTTCCTTTCCCCCATCTGTTGATGTCCATGTTAGGTAAACAAATATTATACTGAGAAGTCCAAACACTCCATATATAATCAACTCTCGCATGTATACCACCTGAATCATGAATCGTTCAGGCAGACTGACTCATCAACCGATTGACTGGCGTGATAAGATTTGGACAACTAATATATCCCTCGAAATGTCAAAGTCATTGTATGTCTGACATTTAAGAAGGTACTCCGGCGAGGCGTCTTGGGCAGCCCACGTTGCGAACGTTGCCAAGAGACCAGGAGGGAAACCCTAGAACATGTTTTCCTGGAATGTGAATGGTCGAAAAGGGTATGGAGGTTGTCCTCATTGGGGTTCAACTTTGATCAAGGCCAGGAAATGGCCTTTTCAAGGTGGTTCGAACAGTGGTTGGACGAAGCCCTAAATAGCACATCCATTGTCACATCGTGCTTTCTCATCTGGGGTATTTGGCGAGTTCGGAGTCGAAGCATCCGAGGCCAACTCCCGTCTCACCCGCACATAGTTGTTGCGGAGGCAACGGAGGCTCAAAGACTCTATGGAGGAGAGTACTATACGGCTAGCTAATTAAGTTGGCACGTGGTTCGTTTAAATTATTTCTATGAGAGTTTTATAAATTATACGTGGACTCTTTTCGTTTTAAAAAAAATTTGTCCACATTAAATTTAATATATATTTTTTATATAGTAAAAATTTTAAAATTCAATATGAATTATTATTTTGGATATTCGAAATAAATTCGCTTCATTTTAGATTGGGATGGAGTTTCTATAAAATTTGGGTTATAAAAATATCGCCACATTTATCATCACACCAAATTTTACTTATTCTTCTTCTTTTTCAAATTAAAGCCCTAAATCTTCACGTACAGCTAGTTACCATAGTAACTCCTATCAAAATAAATTGCATCCAGAAGTCCTCCATCTCGATGTACCGATGTACGTATAACTACTTCTTTAATCGGCATTTCTAGATAGACACTTTGATGTGATGAATTTCAATAAGAGGATTTTTTTCAAATTCATTAGTAATAATAATAACAATTATTATTATTATTATTAATTCAGTAGTAGTAGTAATAATAATAATAATAATAATAATAATAATAATAATAATAATAATAATAATAATAGTGCATGGTAAGCAAAGAAATGTGAACTTAACCAGTTTTCCCAGCCAGTCGCGTCGCCGGTCTTCCAATTCAGAGGTCCAAACTCAAAACAGGAGTTCACGCCTCTGTGCATAATAGGAGCCAATGTGCATAATACGTGCCGATTGTTTTTTTTTTTTTTTTTCCGCTTTTCATTAAAGTTAAAAAGAAAGCTTTCATTTGTTTCTAACAAAATTAACTTTTTCTCTCTCTTTTTCTTGGTTCAATATATATGACCCAACCGGAGTAAAAAAAGAAGATATTTCTAGGGTTTATATCGATAGGAAACTACAATATTTCCCTTAGCATTAGATTGTTAAGTTATGCTCGGTACAACTAAATGCATGATAGAGAATTTTCTGATTTGAATTATTTTATATGTTGTATTATTTTAATTAGGAAGGAATGACTTCTTTTTAAATCATAAATTACAAGTTACAACAGTAGGCAATCAATGAATTTTTATTACTCCTTCTGCTTCATTTAATAATTCATTTTGTCACATAATTATAGTTTTCCTTCAATTCTAAAATAAATGTCATCTTTTAATTTTTAATATAATAAATATATAAAATACAAATCTAAAGTGGATAATAAGGTGTAGCATAATGGTCCATCGTGATGGAACGGAAAGAATAAAATGTAAAGTCAAATTGTGCAGGATAGAAGTCAAACTTCCTCATCGACGTCTGTCTACCAGGCCGGGCTTGCGCCGACGAACAAGACTTCTCGGGTCTCTCGTAATGAACTGTTGATGTCAGTTGTCGGTGACTGAAGTCCCATTCCATTTTTGGCTAAATCTTTATTTTTTCCTTGAAGAAATTGATTAGTCCTTTTGGTTGTCGAACAATGAGAGCTCAATTCTACCAAAAATATAAAATAATGAGAGCTTCATTAAATGCAACAAATATTTATATATGGATGATATCGGATATGAATAAAGAGAGCTCGATTATACATATGGATGATAAGATTTCTAAAAAGAAATTCAAATTGCTGGACCTGAAAAGTACCCCTCATTGTAAAGATATTTATTAGTCTAAAATATATATATAAAAAAAAATTCTTCAAAAATATCAACAAATATCCATTGTCAAGAGAATAAAAAAAAAAAAAAAAAACAAGGGGAACCGATAACCATTGTCATAAAGATACTTCTTTTGGATATCAATGATTAAACAAACCAAAGCGTCAAAATATGGAGAAAGGAATTAACCCAAAAAAAAAGAAGAATAATAATAAATTCTTACGCGACAAAATGCAAATTGCTAGTAGAAGAAATATCAGATTCTATCAATGGTCCTTTCTTCCACAAGTAGTTATTTAGATCAGAATGAACAGTATCGCACCTTCATAATGGAATATGAAAACGACTAAAACGAAGTATTTAAATTTACTTCAGTTTTGAAATATCTCACTCAATTCTCAAGATGTGACAATATTTTGACAGTTCGAAAGCTCCTGCATTAGCTAAAATATCCCTGTTAATAATTTCGGGGTAGAGAAAAACACTTAAAAATGGTATCTTGTTCTCATATCATATGATGTAGGAAGCAACCGTCGCAAGTCTCATTTACAAAGAGGTGTAAAGATGAACTATCGATTTCACACGATCTGATACCTCAAATGTTAGATCAACATTTACTTTAATGTTCTTTTATTTGCCTGTTTCTTCATTTGACACAGTGCTGACTTCATGTTTATCGGGTTTGGCTTCATCATTAGCAGGACGGGTGCCCTCCTCCGACAATGAAACTTGGCTGGAAGTTTTCTTGAACTGCACTAGGATCATAGTCATGTTGTCACAACCTTCTCCACCGGCTGTTGGAGCCAAACACTTGTCGAACACCTTCTCACATACTGCAGAAAGCTTGGTCTCCTAGATTTTACGGAAACAGATACCAGATTTCAACAATACCAAAAAAAAAAAAAAAAAAACTCTCTATCATCAGATTTAAAAGGCTTAACAAAGGACTTACAGTTTTAAGCTGTTCACGAACAAAGTCCACCACTTGTTGGCTTGACATACAATCCCTAACACAAAATATGAAGAGGAAAATGGATTGTGCAATTAAAATATGACACCACCGACAAACCAATCATTCAAACAGTCCAGTGCCTAGTTGACATGGATAAGATGCCCTCATCCAAACCCCTACCAGCAACAGCGGTGCGGATCTAGTTGTTCTAATGAAATGGTCAACTTTTCTAGCAGAGAATACAGTGCCACAGACGATACCACCTTTGTTTAAAAAATGTTCTACGAAAAGCTGTAATATATATAATGTCGAAGAGTACATGAAAAGTATGGTGCTGATACTCATATGCAAGTTAGCTTAAAGGCTTGAGCCTTGACATCTCTATCAAAATGTTCCATTATCAGGTCTAATGTTGCCATTTGTGCTTTCACACTAATCTAACAACGAGACTTATGAGACCAAGTAAAATCTAACGATGGGCCAATCCAACTTGGACGCATAAGCCAGCCTCCAATTATAACTTCTAACCACACCACGGATCCCAGCACCACAGATCCCAGGAGAATAACACATATTGGCTACAAACTCACAGACAGTCACAGCTTTTCTTATGATTTAATCATTGAAAATGCACAACTCCGCGAGTAGAAAGGATGAAGACTAGAACAAAATTCTATGATAACAAGGAGCAAAAGCTTACCATATCCCATCACAAGCTAGAACAAGGAACTCATCCTCATCAAGGAGTTCAACCTAGATCAGAGTAAGATAGACATATCACTTATACCAAACATCTGATGAAGGCTTAAAGCATGCATACAGAAAATTAGGTGTTCTACACACGAACTGAAAATTGATCAAGATGCCTTTTGAAAAGCCCACCGTAGACACACTAATAGTAGGCAAAGCACACACAATGATAGTCAAAGTAGAAAGTAAGTGCGAATACATACAGCAGTAATATCCGGATGAGCTGTTACAATTTGCCTTTCAGCGGGTAGCTCTTTATTTTGTTTTAACTCCATGTCACCTGAAATCACCAAAACAGTAAACGAAAGAATAAAGATGATAGGAGCATCGAAAATACAAACCCAGTAAATTTGAGAAACATGAATTACCTATAGCTCTTGCCAGATTTAGGCTCCCATTAACACGTCCAAATTGGACATAACCACCAGCACTTAAAATCCTTTCTTTTTCATGTTCATGATCAGGCTTGTGATCTTTTGACATAGGATATGCCTGAAAAAGAGGTTATAAATTTGATGTTAAGAAAATTGCTGTTTCTGGCAAAACAAGAAGCCCTTTGGGCAAAAAATTTAAGAAAGCTGGCTCCAGTTCGACAGTATAATGCAGCAAGTAACATGGAACAAACCTTTATTTCCTCTCTTTTCAAAATATAATTACACATAATTATATAATGTTCCAAGGTTGAGGACACAATCATTTGATCACGAAATATTTGTGCCCATCCACAAATTGTAAGGTATACAAAAGTTGACATAAAGCACACTTCCATCAAAGACATAGATCATGATTTATAAACCACCAAAGATGAAAGAGAGGCCACATTCTTTACCTGACCACCCCGGGACATAACGCAACGAGAATCACCGGCATTTGCCACAACGAGTTGATTGTCTCGAATTACTGCAACACAAGCTGTGCAACCAGAAGTTGGTCCAGTATAGTCCGAGTCCTGTCCCTCGATACAAGATCAAGTATGACATGCTTTAGTTACATTATGTAGTAAAAAGAGCTCCAATGCTATTTAGAACATGGTTTGGTCAAACTGATATGAAACTAGGTGTCTTATACCAAACAAGTTATAACTGTAAATTCCAAAGAAATTAAAGTGTCATTGACTCTAGATGTTCTTGAACGATAAAATTAAACTACCACAATCTTTCACAATTTGCATAGTAGGTGGGGTTAAAGATGTGCCTAGTGTTACGCGATTTTCATGAACAATAAACATTTAAAAGAGAAATCAGTTTTGATTTTGATTTGGCCTTTCTTATGATTTAGGTTGTGTTATAGAAACTGTTCAAGTTGCATTAGAAAAGACAAAAGGTGTAGCGAACACATGCAGTGTGGAAATGCTTCAACTCATAAATTCCCTCATCACCGTTTTCATGCAGTACATTTAAGCTTCAACTCATAGGAAACCAGAAAATGAGATGGCTTTCACAAAAAAATATACTGGAAGCCATATGGAAACAGAAAGTCATGCGCATATGACATTACCAAATAAAAGAAAGCCATGCGCATTACCTGCTCAGAAGACCAGTCATCCACAGGTCCATTAGCTTCAGCACTCCTTGGGGACCAAATCAAACCTTCAATCATACTTGAGACTCTTTGCATTTTATCCCCCAGTGCTGCTAACTCTCTGGAACCCCTTTGCCCACACATCATCTCGTCCATTCTGCACGAAAGTAAAGCATGGATTAGACTCTGTTTACACATTAGAAATTTGGCAGAATTTTACCCTTGAAAAAACAGCAATTACAAATTCCAACACACTGAAAATTTCATTCATTATGGCTGAGCAACAACAACAACAAGAAGCCTTTATCCCATTAGCTTCTGACAATAATGTGCTCAGCAATAGCCAGACCCTTCAGATCCTCTCGTTTTAAGTTACAATCATAACAAGTTAAAGGAATTTGACTGACATAAAAGAATTAGATAATCATTTTCATTATATGCCATACATGTCAAATGAGTCAATATGTTAAAGGACCGCTTTCAATAGCATCCTTTCCATGAGCGTGAAGTTCAAGAAAACTGAATCTTAAAACAGTAAAATAAAGTGAAAGATGTCCCATAAACAAGACAAGAACACAGAAACAAGATATAATGAAAATCCCAAGGACCATCATTGACCATAAATGTCAGTAACCCTCCCTTTTTTGTTAGTTAAAATGCAAATTTGCCTCCTTCTGTTCATCGTGCATGTCAGTTAAGAAAGAAAATTAAGTACGAACACTGGAAGCCGCCCACTTGGATAAGAAAGCAGGTAAAAAGTGAAGTAACCTTAGAAAAGATCTCTGCAATGAAGCCCCTAAATCTCCAGCAGCATAAGCTTCACTCTTGAGCACTTGTTCATGCAGATACTTGGCACAAAATTTAGCAACTGCTTTACCTGTAAAGTTAAACAGGACAATATTGTCAACTTAAAAGCATAAGAATGAAATTCAAAATGATTTTTTCCCATAAAGCACTATTCCCCGTTCCCATCTCAAAATAAATTATCAATTTATCATTCCACAACCAAAATATTGCTGCAGGTTAGAAGCCTGAAAAAATGACCATTTGGCGTTGAATTATTTCATTTTGTTTTAAAGCAACAAAATGAAATAATAACAATAAGAGCAACTATATAATCTCCAAAACCAAATTTCAATATATACACCTTAAAGAACCGATATATTCATCTTAAGTTGTTACCTCCATGGCCGTCATAAACTCCAAAGAAAGAAGTGGCATTGTCCAAGTTGGGATAAGCTGCATGCTACATAACATCACTTATAAGAAGAGTCCAGTAATCAGAATGAAGTAATTCACAGCAATATTAAAACCACAACTGCGATGAGTAAAGGAGCCCAAAATTTTCAGTAAGCAAGGCAACCTCTGTATAGAAATTCGAATAGCCATTGGCTTTATAAAGTTAGAAGTACACATGAAATCCACCTACATGACTAACTGTATAAGTGATAAAACATTGACAAAAGATACCAACTCCACAATCAAAAGCAGAACTAGGTGATAATTTGTATCCTTCTATCCCACAGGATCAAAACGAAGAAATCACTTCAAACAAGCACAACAGATAAGTAAACCTAGCATCTATCCTTCCTGAAAACTATGCCAACTCATTGACCAGAGAGTGGATGATCAATTTTTAAAATAATGGATGAATAAGCATAAACAAATCATAAGACTAGTATTGGCATGCAGTGGATGCATTTATTACACAAATTTCCAGTGGCTTGCACAAGATTCTCTATGCTTGAACTAAATGAATGATACTCACAGCATCTTCCATGGTAGAGCGCCATCCTTGCATAGACGACACGCCATATCTAACTCTGTCATTCTCACCATCCTCTGATGACTTCTCAGTTTTTGGATGACTTAGATATACCCCCATTTGACTGTAACTCTAGCCCCTAAAGATAAGTACGAAAGACAAACAAATCAGAAAAAGTTGTCGAAGTCTTCAATCTTCTGTTCCCTTTACTCCCTCTCCCTCCCATCCGAAGTCCAATTTCAATTAATGAATACAGGCTCATCAATACTTGGAAAACAAGTTATTGAATAGTTGTATTGCCAATAAAAACAGACAATGTAACTTTGCCTTTGAATTGACAAAAGCAAAATCCAACGGAAAATATCAAGGAAAAAAAAACCAGTAAATTCAATGGCGTTCTATCATTTCATATATTCAATTCAATCTCCTAAACATAAAGGAATTCAACAATACTTCTTGCGACGATCCTAACTACTGAACATATAAGTGATTTTCTGTGTTTTCTAAGTTACCGGAAACAGGCAAACTAACATTTCAAACTATTATCTCAATTAACTTGACTATATCAACGGGGGAAGAAAGGACTGATGAAACAGAATTCAAGATACAAATAACAGCAACCGCCATGTTCATCGTCAAATACGTGGAAATTTCAAATTCTCAATCATGATGAATTCAAATTCAGTAAATTAATGCTACAAGAAATTGCAAGGCGGAAAAAAACTAACCAGGAATGATTAAAATGGCATTCGAGTAGCGGTCGAACTGATGAAGCTGCGGAGTGTTCCGAAGAAATCAAAAATCAATTACACTTTCCAGATTAAGAGCCCGGGAGAACTCCAGTGCGTGACTGTGTGAGAGAGAAAAATCAATGATAAGTCGGGAAGGTTGTTTTCGGTTGAGCAGTGTGATGAACGATATGACTCAGCAATAATCTGTAATGCAATACAGTGCTTATTTTATTTTCTGTTTTTGAGGAAATTGTGGATATTGTGGGCTTTCATAGGCTTTTCTGTGTGCTATTTTGGGTGGGCCCATCAACCTGAATTTTTTCGCGGATCCCATCTTTTTGGGCTGCTCAACTTTTTCTTCAGACATACTTTTGGTTTTAATGGGAAGCAAGCTTCGCAATCCTGCACACTCCGGAAGCTAATGGAAAGAAGTTAGTATTATATTCTCACTGGTTATTACTTATTATGGTTATATAAAATAAAATACAATTTAATATTAAAATTAATGAAATTTTTTTATTTTATAGTTGATACCGGAAGAAATATTTGATAATGATTCAACCTATTACAAATAAGAAGGTTTTTTTTTTTTTTTTTTTTGGGTCTGAAGGCGATGTAATATTTAGATTAATTCAATATATTCTGGAGACAAATGATGAGCTTCAAAACTGGAAGGATATTTTTTTTTTAACTGGCTACTTCACATAACTTTTAATGATGGAAGTCAATTGATCCAAATTTGGCGAAATCTACCAGTGCTGATATCTGGTTCTTAAAAGACAAGGAAAAGATAGCAATTTCAATCGAAAGAAATAAATCATCGACATAAGAAAATAGTATCTCATCATCCAGAAAAATAATTCACATTATAATTTTTGAATTGAATTATTTTTAAAGACGGAAGAGACTAAATAATTAGCTCTATTTTAAATTTTTAAATGTGAAATTTTAATAAGGGTATCTGAGCCTAATTGAGATTTTCTATTCATGTTATTTTATGATTTCCTGTAGCTAACCTTTGGACTCTTTTCATTGTACAAAAAAAAAAAAAAGAAGAAAATCTAGTTTCAGCCAACAAACATCGGGAATATGATGCTTATGGATTAAATTACCAAATTGATAATGATTTCAAAAAAAAAAAAAACCAAATTGATAATGGCTTGAAGCGACTCTATTTCTATTTTTCAGATTTTTTAACAGTTGCTGACGGGAAATATTACTAAATAAAATATCTAACTAGTTCAGTACATGTTACGGGAAATAGATTTGGTTCTTCACAAATGAACTGAGTTTTTTTTCCCGCAAAATATACCTTCCGTCTCAAAATGATGGTACAATTTGGATTTTTATTTTTAGTTCAAATTATATTAAAGTAAAACAGTCCAAACTGAACAGAGGGAGTATGTAATAATTTTTATTCTTTTTAGTCTAAAGTAATAAATATGTAAACTAGTGTAATTCACTATACGTATCAATCTGTTTCAGTACCAAAAAAAAAATAAAATGGCTGCAAACAGCTCTCTCTCTCTCTCTCTCTCGATGTGAAGAAGCATTTTTTTTTTTTTTTTGAGAAACCAGAATAATCAAAGTTACTCCTCAAACATTGTAGATGCCTTGATGGCTTAATTTAATAATCAATATTGTTTTTAGTTTTATAATAATTTATGAAACAATTTCTTTGGCGACCCGTTGGGATTTGACTCGGTTGTGGATGGTAGGTTGGGCTTTTACAACAACTTTTATACAAGGGCTGCATTGTTATTTGGATGCCTGGAGATTTTGTAGTAAGCTATAACGAGACATTTGCAATGGGAGAAAAATCTTGAACTTCTTCCTGTCTCAAAAGGATTTCTTTCTATAATATAACACTTCTTTTGATCTTAATTATGATGCATAAAATTAATGGTAAAGCTCATAATTTGTGATTTATAATTAAGACTCAAGGGAGTATTACTTCTATCCAAACAAAAAAAAAAAAAATTCCATATCAAATAGTACTAAGATTTGTACTAAACATGTGGATTTTTGTTTGTTTGTTTGCTTTTTTTTTTTGGGGGACAGAAGGATTTCTCATTTCACTCTGAATAGATAGTCTATTTTGTGGTGCCTTTTTAGTTCCGTAAGATGACTTTCTTTTTTAAGAACAAAAAGTATAATAAATAACAGTTTTTTTTTTTTTTTTTGAAACATTGCAATGTACCTATAAAAGATTTGAAGAAGGGAAGAGGGATGAGGCTCATGAGAGTCGACACTACCATGCTTTCTTGGTCATAATGGCCTTCGGCATAGATGAATCAACGTCAATATATGCTATCCATTGGTTACAGATCATCAAAATGGACATGTTACGGCCTAAAAAGGACAATACTTGGAACACTAAATTAGAGAAATGTGGATACATTTATTGTGTGATTTGTGCCCAACAACAATGACGCATCGGGTGATTCGATCATAAAAAACATCCATAATCACAATCTCCCAACTTTCGTAACATTTATATATATATATATATATATATATATATATATATATATATATATATCCTCTGTTCCAAAATTACTGTAAAGTTTACATTTTCTATTTTAGTATAATTTGAACTAAACATAAAAATTCAAATTGGACAATAATTTCGGAAAGAAATGAGTATATACACTAAAAGAAATTATATCTTACGATTATATTATCATATAACGTGAATGCACACTTGCACAATTCATATTACATCATGTTTTAGTTATAGTTTAATTCTCGTTAACGGATATTTTAGCCAATATTAATTACCCATATATTGAAATTTTAATGAGACCAAATAGTAAACATCAAACTTCTCACCCCATGAAACTCATGAATTAATTCGTCTACGCATTCTCGATTCAACAAGTCATGAATTCTCCGAACCAAACTCGTATCGACTCCAAAAGTTTCCTCAACATTCTTCCACAGTGGTCTTTAACTCTCAATTCTTGTTCAGTTTCAATTACTTACTTTATCTACAAGATATCTACATGCACGAGCATAGCAGGTTTGCCACTCATGATTCTGATTTAAAGTAGGTTTAATATTCGTTATTCAGTATTCACCCAATTCCTGCTACACCTGGCAGTTAAAACTTGTAGATAAACCATTAAAGTTTGCTCCAATGGAGAGGTTTGAATCTTCGTGAGTACAACCTGGAACCCTAATTAACACTATTGGGGCGGATGATCAGGACACAAAAACTGCTGTTTCCCCTGTAAGATAAGTTGCTTAATTATTGAAGGAGGCTCATTCTAATTTCTAAGGGAGACTTCTATAAAGTGTAAACTAAATATTTCCATTCCTCTATGTAAAGGATCCATTGTCTCCACATTTTGGCACGTCACACAAGCACATTTTGGAAAGTTTATTGATTTTAAACCATTGGGGAAGCATATTATTGCAGGTAGCTAGGTTTGGAGCAGTACTCTTCTCTCCCTTTGGTTATTATTGACCTTTCTTGAAGTACTTTATACTCCCTCCGTTCCAAAAATTATTATCCAGTTTAAGTATTCATTTATAATATAAAATAAATTAAAAGTGAAAAACTAAACTGGATAATAATTTTGGGACGGAGGAAATAGTTTTTTCTGTTCGTCAAAACTTGACAAGATTTACTAGCTAGCTGGATTAGATGAGTAAAAACCACATTGTAATTCTCATACGACCTCAGTTAATCTTTCATTTTTTTTTTCCCAACTTACAATTTCTTCATGAAATCAAACATGGGAAATGGGGGATGGGGAATTATTTTTATCTACGTAGTACTACTACTGATGAAACACGGTCGTAATGATTGATGAAACATTATTATTGTCGGAAGAGGACAACGATTGAATTGGTTGACGCTTAATTATGAAGAGAAAAACAAAGAGAATGTAGTTCTCTTTATGCAGTGTCGTAACTTATGTATAAGTAATAAATAATCAACACATTGTAACATGATTTTCATGTACGTAACAAAATCATTATAATTTTTAAATAATTGACTAATCCATTCGGTCTAGAAAACTGCAGAATCTTTTAAGCTTATACTTAATCTGTAAAAACTGTCAATCACTTTTCTTTTCCGTTTTCATTTTGACCAATAATGTTTTTTTTCCTCAAATCAACTATATATTCCTCTCTTTTATTATTCTTTGTCTTAATTTTATTTTGTTTGCTCTTTTGTTCTTTTATACTCCTTTCATCATTCAAAAAATAGTTCAAATTAAATTTTAAATTTTATACTATTTTTAACGTAAATTTTAAAGTTTAAGATAGACTATATACACTACAACAAAAATGAGCTATTAATACTTTTATGGTGGGACACTTTTCCTAAGATGTGTCTTATTATATGTGTATTAGGACATTTGCTAAAAAGTGTCAAATTGAAAATCAAAAATGTATTCATACACTATCATAAGTGTACTATTTGGGGTTCCTTATGAACTATTACCTTACTTAATGGGCCACTTTAAAGTGTGTTAATGAGTGACAATCTAATAAAACACTTTCAAATGTTTTATGACTTATTGTGACTCGATTATAGGAAACACTACTTAGTAGTGTCCCACGTAATTTGAGTCACATGTGTTCTATTACACCACTTATTGAGATCATAGTTATCAAAGCGGGATACGTATCGTGTATCGGAAACATAGATTTATGATACGCGTATTGTATCGTGTATCGTATCGTAAGATACGTTTTAATATAATAATATTTATAAAAAATTAATAAATATCATAAATTCCATATGTAGTTGATATATTTATGTATTTTTTTTTATTTTTTCAGTTATAAAAAAATAAATTGATTAAGTTGAATTCAAAATTATTTGAAATTTACACATATTACTTATTCATATAATGAATAATGGTCGTAAAACCTATGTACTAAACGTTATTTTTCATAATAATTGTTATTAAGCCATAAATTTAATAGAGAGAAATTAATATAAACATGTATTGCATTTATTAACATGCTATTAGTTATACTTGATCTAAAAAAGAAAAATGATATTATGAATAAAAAATATTTTTAACTAATTTTATTTTTTAACTAGAATAATTCATTTATCGATTTTATTGACAATTGAGGAAGATTGTGTTTATGAAATAAATCAAACGTATCTACTTAAAACAAATTGTAAATGAAATTCGCTCTTAATTTGAAATTTAAATGGTCACAATTTGAATTCTTTTAAGAAAAAATTAATTCTTTACCTATATTTTTGTATCGTACGATACACAATCGTATCGTGTATCGTATGTATCGTACGATACGTATCGATAATTGACTGATACACAAGCGATTGCGATACATACCATGATACGTATCAAAATCTTTAATTTTGATATGTATCGTGCGATACGCATGATACTTATTATTATGATTGAGACACAAAAAAGTGTCTAAACTATTCATTCTTGTTGTAGTGATATTGCATTTTCTTGTGAGTGAATATGGCTGGAAAACATCATTCGTCTGTGTTCTGTTAACGGTAAAAGGAATCAAAATAATAGTGATTTGATTTTGTTTCCGACCATTACTATGTTTCGTGAAAAAAAAAATAAAAGGTATAAGAAATTAATTTTACCTAATAATGAGATTACTTACACCAAGTACATGATAATTTCAATGTATTTTTTAATCTTAAAATTTATTAATTAGGAAAAAATTTCAATATATTTAGGTATACGTTGAAATCTTGATATGGCAACGTAAATTCATTTTTCTGAAAAATTAATGTGTAAAATTTATTTTATTATTTAAATTATTTCAAAATTTTAAATTTCATTCACATACCTATATAAAAAGAAATGTCAAAAGCAATTAAAGATTCCTTATGAATGAGTATTTTTCATCATATATGATATTCTTTTACCTTGATTTCCCTATATTAGATATAGGTCTGATATTCTAAAGTCAGATTGTGTTGTAATTTTTGGTCTCCTGTTTTTGTTTGTTACTTGCCAAGATCGAAGCTACGTCCGCCTTTCGTAATCCGAATACTTTTTTCTTTTAAAAAACAATGAAGGATGCAATAATATTTTTGTACCTAAAACTTCACATCCACGCTAATGGTAGTTTGAAGAGTGTTTTTGTAGATTAGAGAGAGAGAGAGAGAGGAGTTTGTAAAAGGCTATGCTTTTATAAAGTGCATTTTGCCATTTTCTACCTAACGTGTGATTTTTAGGTACACTAAATGAGCCAAAAACCTTTTTTCAGACTCATATAAACCCTCGTCCATAATGTGTGATCCACGTTAGTACCCCCTCCGGTTATTTATTATAAAGCATTTTGACTTTTCCTAAGTTTCATTTAGTACACATTTTTAATTGACAAAAAAGACTGTAAAAATATTTCATAGCAATCAAGAGAACACAACGAATATGAAAATATATGTTTAAGGTTTCTTTGTCAATAAAAAATGTGTACTAGGTAAAACCTAGGACAAATTAAAATGACTTATATTAAGGGCGGTGAGAGTATTATTTTGATAAATGTTAATCTAGCTTTTAGCGAAAAAGTTGATTCGCTATTCGTGTGCTCTTCAATGGGAAAATCCTAGCGAAATGAAGTAGAAATCATGTTTTAAAGGTGGGCTTATTTTTTCTTTTTCTTGTTTTGTTGAATATAGTTGACTGAATCAGTCAATTATGTACTAACTGCAACGTAGTACTGGATTTCTTAAAAGTCAATTAAAGTTGCCCAGAAAATTGGGGGGGGGGGTTGAATAGAATAGTGATATCATCATGACGTTGGCTTGATGCCCAAATCCAAATGTAACCATTACACTGGCGAGGGCATCATTTTTGTATTGCATTGCATTTTATAAGCTCTTTTAATTGCGTGTGTTTGGTTTAGTAAAATTTTTTTTAAAACTTAGAAAAATTTTCAATACAATTTTAAATAAGAATAGTGTTACAAAAATATTCGGAATAACCAATATCCAAACCACTCCATGTACGTAAATGTGAACGAGAAAACAAAAATTGGATTAGTAATAAGAACCATTAATAGTATATTTACAAAAAGTCTTGCTCAGAAGAACAAGTAGGCAATTTTATTCCCCTAAAACGGGATAAGCCTGTTGGCTTTATACTTAATTGGTCCAGGTTTGAGAGGATGAGGTCGTTTTTTTAATTTCTTTTGAACATTTTTGTTTAAGTAGTACTATATATCTATCTATCTCGTTTAGGTCGCCGTCTCACCAACTCCCACATCTCACCAAACCCTGGCTGATGGCTCCTCCAATCTCACCAAACTTCATCCTACTCTCCCCTCCATATTCTTTGCCATTCCAAATCCTACTAATTCCTGTCTCCCACATCCATTGAATAAAATTCATTTTCTCCACGTATCGATCCTCTTCTTAACATCAATTAATATTTAGATTGTGATTTGTGAATTCATTGACAAAAATCACTCATTTTTTGAAAAAAAAAGAAAGAAAAATACAAACACTATTAAGTAGTATTAATTGCACATATATATATATAACAATGAAATGATGTGGTCTAATTTTCACATTAACATCGGATTTCACAATCTTTATCATTCGTTCATCTCCAAAGCAAGCACTTAAAACGGTATACGAGATCACAATCTTTACCATTTTATTCATAATCAACGCTACGATTAAATCATTAATCACTGTGGGCTGGATGCATGTGTGACATTAATGTTGTTTCTTGACGAGTCTTGTTCATTTTGGCGAGTTAGGTAAGCACCCAATTTTTAATATATTTCTTTCTAAATATTACTCAGTGACACACTAACTTACACTTACGCTATTACTATGTTGATTTATAAATTGGAATGGACTCCAACTCAACTACACCACACCTAAAATTTATCATTCTCCTCCTCCACTACCTTAATTAGCTAAGCCCACCGCTTTTTTCCTTTCCCTCTTTCTCTTTTCTCTCCTACTATTTTTTGAATTTTCCTTCCACCCTTCATTCCTCTCTCCGGTAAGTTCCACGATCTATAGTCTTCCATTTCTGTTTTCCATCTATTGTCCACCCAAATTTTTTCATTAATACTCTACTGTGTGTGTGCGTGTTTTTTTCCCCCTCCTTTTTTTTTTTTTTTCAATTACAGTTTGATCAAGCCATGAAGATTGAGATAAAAGAATCGACGATGGTGAAGCCAGCAGGGGAAACGCCACGGAGGAGCCTGTGGAATTCCAACGTTGACCTGGTCGTCCCGAATTTCCACACGCCGAGCGTGTATTTCTACCGGCCGAACGGATCGCCGAACTTCTTCGACGCCAAGGTGCTGAAAGACGCGCTGGGAAGAGCTCTGGTGCCGTTTTATCCGATGGCCGGGAGGTTGAAGCGGGATGAAGACGGACGGATTGAGATCGATTGTAATGGTGAAGGCGTGCTTTTCGTGGAGGCCGAGTCGAACGGGACCGTTGATGATTACGGCGACTTTGCACCTACGCTGGAGCTTCGTAGGTTGATTCCTGCGGTTGATTATTCGCTTGGAATTGAATCCTATGCTCTCCTGGTTTTGCAGGTACGTATTTCATTTGATTTGATTTTAATACTAGTAGTATTTAATTGCATACTTATTTTATACGCATGTACCAATACAAAAATCTAGTCCAATTTTGAAATATGCAACTTATACCAAAGATATGATACGACCCAGAGATAAATGACAAAATGTGAATCTATTTCTGTGATATACTTACTCTCTAAGAAAAGAATTAGAAGGGGTAATTTATACTATAATGTTTTTGCCAAGTTTGTGTACGTATGAGCCTTTTTGGTGGTTTTTAGATCTCTCTTTGCTGCATTTTGTGATTGTCATTTAAAAATAGTATCATTGTTGAGTTTTGAAATTTGTATTTACAATTCAATGTAGAATTTTTTTTCTGGGACGAAGAGAATACGTTTCAATTTTATATACATACTTAGTAATTTGGGCGCTACCAAATTGATTCAATTCGATATTTGGAAGTGATAAGTGGCTGAGTGTTCTTCTTCCATGAGTTTTCTTTTTTTTCCCTTTTGGGTTTGATGGACCTGGTTCACAATACTGATACGCACCTTTAATCTGGTGAGCATCATCTTCAAGATCCACTCGTAAAGTTTATGAAGTTGGTAAAACAATAAATTAATTCAGTATTATTGACGGTGGATTTTTTTTTTATTATATAATTATTATAGAAGATAAAAAGATTTTATTTTGCCGCTTAATAGTTGTTTTTTTCCTTAATAAATCTTATGTGGTAAGAGATGACAAGAAGACAACAATGCCCAAACAAATGAACCTAATAAAAAAAAAAAGCCAAATCCAAATCAACGATGGTTTTATATTATTTTCAGAGGAAAAAAATGACCGTAGTCCTTTGTTTGTTTTGTTACTAATTAGGTATAAAGTTGTTGAAAAATCTTTGAACAGTAAGAGTAGTTACTAATCACTAGCAAAATTCGGATCAAATGGGATGCATCCCTAAAGGCTCTGAAAAGTGGCACCTTAAACCAACCTAAATTTCAACAATGATTCTTGCATCTAATTATTTGAAAGGTCCTAACTCCAAATTACATGAGACAAAAAGGCAATTTAATTTATAACTGTATTTCACTATTTGTCGTGTACATTTCAACCAATATAGTATAACCAGAAATCCAGAATTATTATAAAATTAATGTGGGTTCAGACTTTTGGAGGATGTGTTAGTTTAACCATACGGTTTTTGTCAAGGTGTCACGTACAGAAAAAGCTTTGAAACTTGATTATAGGCAAATGTTGTCCTTTACAATCTGGGAAATACATTTCTCCTTTTTGGCTTTTTGCACAAATCACCGACCCATTTGTCAAAAACTTTATCCTAACTTTTTTTTAGTGGAGGAGATGAATGATGATAATCATAGATGCTCTATATGCCCTTAATGATGAAAATTACATTAACCTCCCATCTCCACGTAAGCGTCTTTAATTTTATGGTAAGAGTTGGACTCTAAAACGTAAGACTGTTCTTGTGGTTTTGTTTTTGTTTTTTTTTTCCCAGTATGTAATCAGTGTTTAACATATTATTAGTAGTACTCCCTCCATTTCAAAATAAGTGTCGTCCTACATTTTGCACATACTTTAAGAAACTTTTAAATAAGATTATAAAATTACTTGAATATCCTCAACCAACCTCATTATAAAATTGTCCACCAATAGCATCAACTCTTTTGAGGGTAATTTTGAAAATTTTTGACAAAAAGTGCATTAAAATGTGAGAACGACATTTATTTTGGAATTTCTCTATTTTGCTAAAACTATACTTATTTTGGAATGGAGGGAGTATTAATTATATTTTTGAGCAGGTCACGTACTTCAAATGTGGTGGAGTTTCTCTTGGTGTCGGAATGCAACACCATGCCGCCGATGGATTTTCCGGCCTACATTTCATCAACACATGGTCGGACATGGCCCGGGGACTCGACCTGACCCTGCCGCCGTTCATTGACCGGACCCTCCTCAAAGCCCGTGACCCGCCACAGCCTCAATTCCCCCACATTGAGTACCAACCGCCTCCTCAGCTCAAAGTCGACCCATCCCAGATCCATGACAAACCCGATTCAGTACCCGACACTACCGTGTCCATTTTCAAGCTATCCAAAGAACAAATCGCCGCCCTGAAGGCCAAATCCAAGGACGACGGAAACACCGTTAGTTACAGCTCGTATGAAATGCTGGCGGGTCATGTTTGGAGTTGTGCTTGTAAGGCCAGAGGACTTGTGGCCGATCAGGGGACGAAGCTATACATTGCCACCGACGGACGGTCCAGATTGCGGCCCCAGCTTCCGCCGGGCTATTTCGGGAATGTGATCTTCACGGCGACTCCGATGGCGGTGGCCGGCGACCTTGAAACGAAGCCGGCGTGGTACGCCGCGAGTAAAATCCACGACGCGTTGACGAGAATGGACAACGATTATCTGAGATCCGCGCTTGATTATTTGGAATTGCAGCCTGATTTGAAGGCTCTGGTTCGTGGGGCTCATACTTTTAAGTGCCCGAATCTTGGGATTACCAGTTGGGTTAGATTGCCGATTCATGATGCCGATTTCGGATGGGGACGACCCATTTTCATGGGTCCTGGTGGGATTGCTTATGAAGGTTTGAGCTTCATTTTGCCCAGTCCCAACAATGATGGGAGTTTGTCTGTTGCTATTTCGCTTCAAACAGAACACATGAAGCTTTTCCAGGGCTTCTTGTATGACATCTGAAAAGTAACGGATCCTCTGCAAGTTTACTAAGGTTGTAGAAGCTTTTAAAGAATCAATCACTATTGTTTGATCTGTCCTGTGGATACTGTCTTTTACTGAGTTTTCATCTTTGCTGTAATCTGAACATATTTACAATTTATTACAAATGCAAAGATTACTTCTTTTAAGCTTCAGATGTTTTTGGATTATTACACACAATCCTTTCCGAACTGATGAAAATACTATTTAGTCGGAACTAGAATAAGTGATTCAGGTAGTATTTAGAAAGCAATAACTCATACATTGCTGAAATCATCTTACTGGAGAAAACTCCACTCAGATCTGAAGACAGAGCAATTTTAGGCGATGAGATGGGGAAGAATAAGGAGCAAAGATAAGCTAATACAAACATTAGTAGTTGAAATAAAGCCAATGGCTCTTTTCAGAATTGGTGCTGCAGATTTAGATTTCGGCCCTTTATGGACTACATTTGCACCCCCGTAGGATCCCTTTCCTCTCTGTGCCTTCTTCTCCGTCCCAAAATCCTCTGTTTTCAGTTTTTCACCATGGCTTTCTCCGCGCATATTGACATTGTCACTGCTAAGTTTTCCTGAACAGATTCACCTGTATCAATTCAATGATCCAAAGCACAAATAAGTGGTAGACTAATAGAGAGATATCAGCAATGGATTCTTACCTTGTTGCTTGTGGGATGCTAATTGAAATGCCTGGTTTTCCAGTCTGTGAAGATCACCAAGAGCTAAATCCTGCTGGAGTTGAAGGAACAGCAGAATGGAGAAGAAGAAGAGGGTTCCTTTCTTCATGTTTCCCTTGAATTAAAGCACCAAAAGGAAAGTATAATTGCACAAAGTTGTTGCTCACTCTAGCTAGATTAATGGATGAGGTATGTGAGATTTATAAACTAAGGGCTGCCTTTACTAGTCGAATACTATTTGAAAATGTTCCCTACACTACCATATTTTAATACGTCTTCTGCCCCCTTTACCTTTACTATTGTCCCCCTGAAATAAATGAAAGAAAAGCACTTTTCAAGCTCACTTGTCTGAAGTTTCCAGCATCTGTCAGCTGATTAAATATATATAGGGCCATTCACTGTTATAGAATCTATGCAAAACCACTTTTTCCATGGTCTGAACTCAGAAGTGCTTAGAGTATAGAAGGTTGAAGGAAATGACGGTTACTTGTTGGATCATGTGAACTTAGCATCATTCAGGAATATTTTTCAATATCAACTGTAGAACAGTAGAAGTGCACATTTGAGATTATTGGTCTTATTAGATTTGCTTTCGGCTTTTGCCAGAGTGAGAGAGATTTTCTAAGTTTCCGGAGACAAAGCAAGAATATTTCTGCTTTATTGTTACGTGGAGTTGTAAAAGGCATTAACAAGAGCGAATATGGAGGTGTTTGATTATACTAATCACAAAGTCATTCAAACAAAGAATGTGATTCCATCCAACCCCTTTTATCTAAAACATCACAAGTTAGAACCAGCTACAAGATGCTAGTTGTTCTACTAATAACTTTTTATCTCAAGCATTAGAACCCACAGGAAGATGCTATCACCTATCTGTAATGCTATATGCTACATCAGTAATGACGAATTTGGAAACTATGCAGTCGTCTTCATACTTTCTTTTCCAGAATTGGTTACTGCAGTATACTCAGCAAAAATGTAAATCATATATTGAGACCATGGGTCATTTATATTGAGACCATCTGAATGACCCATGGCCATTATCACGGTGGTGTTGTTCTACAAATACTCTTCCGTCCCATAATGATCGTCGTCTTTAATGTACATACCACAAAATAAGACTATCATTTTAGACGAAGGGAATATGTTATAATTCTTGACCAAGTTCAAGATTCCTCAAAAAAAAAAAAAAAGACTATTTTAAGACAGCGCTACCCAACATCTTGTTGGATTATCCAAGTGTCTTTATAGAACTAAGAGATGGATGAGTTGAATGTAATGTTGCATCTTTCATTAAATCAGGCTTAAGTAAGAATCAAAGCAGAAATAGAACTAAAAGGTGATCTGAATATGAAAAAAAAAGAGAGCAATTTTATTAACAAATCCGGAAGATATAGTACAATCTCACAAGTTCTACTATTCTAGTATTCAATAACAACCATATAGTACTTCATTATTGGAACTGTCAGTCAACAAAAACCACAAAACCAAACTGAATCACAGAGAGTATGAAACAGAACAACTCTTCTCCAGGCCTTTTAATTCCTCAATCCACTTCCTCAATCTTGGGACCGGCACCAGTGTTACCTCCATTAGCTTGGCCGCCATAGCCACCGCCAGGCATGTCTGCGCCACCGCCCATTGGGACATCACCTCCGGCACCCTGATACATCTTAGCGATGATAGGATTGCAGAGTGCCTCCAGCTCCTTCTGTTTGTCCTCAAACTCATCAACTTCAGCCAACTGGTTCCTGTCCAGCCACTCAATAGCCTCATCAATTGCCTTCTCGATCTTGCTCTTGTCGGCCGGATCCAATTTCCCGGCAATCTTCTCATCCTTGATAGTGTTCTTCATGTTGTAAGCGTAGTTCTCCAAGGAATTCTTGGCCTCAACCTTCTTCTTCACCGCCTCATCTTCAGCCTTGTACTTCTCTGCCTCCTCAACCATCCTCTCAATATCATCCTTGCTCAATCTTCCTTTGTCATTGGTAATGGTAATCTTGTTCTTCACACCGGCAGTCTTATCTTCAGCAGAAACATTCAGGATACCATTAGCATCAATGTCGAAGCACACATTGATCTGTGGTACACCTCTTGGAGCCGGTGGGATGCCCTTAAGCTCGAATTTGCCAAGAAGATTGTTGTCCTTTGTCAATGGCCGTTCTCCTTCATACACCTGGATCAACACACCGGGCTGATTATCAGAGTAAGTTGAGAAAATCTGTTCTTTCTTGGTCGGAATCGTGGTGTTCCTTGGAATCAGAGTTGTCATCACTCCTCCAGCAGTTTCAATACCAAGGCTTAAAGGAGTGACATCAAGCAGCAACAAATCTTGAACTTTCTGATCACTTTCACCGCCTAGGATCGCAGCTTGTACTGCAGCGCCATAAGCGACTGCCTCATCTGGATTGATGCTCTTGCAGAGCTCCTTTCCATTGAAGAAATCCTGCAAGAGTTGCTGCACTTTGGGAATCCTAGTTGAACCACCGACCAAAACCACATCATGAATCTGGCTCTTGTCAATTTTGGCATCCCTCAAACACTTCTCAACAGGCTCCATACATTTCCTGAACAAATCCATGTTCAGTTCCTCGAACCTAGCCCTGGTGATAGTTGCATAGAAATCAATTCCTTCATACAAAGAATCGATTTCAATCGTAGTCTGGGTGGTTGATGAAAGCGTCCTCTTTGCCCTTTCACAAGCAGTTCTCAACCGCCTCAGAGCCCTGGCATTCCCACTGATATCCTTCTTGTTCTTTCTCTTGAATTCCTGCACGAAGTGATTCACCAGCCGATTATCAAAATCTTCTCCACCCAAATGGGTATCTCCGGCAGTGGCCTTAACTTCGAAAATCCCTTCTTCAATAGTCAAAATTGAGACATCAAAAGTCCCACCGCCTAGATCGAAAATCAGGACATTCTTTTCACCGCTTCTGGAAGCCTTCTTGTCCAACCCATATGCAATAGCCGCAGCAGTAGGTTCATTGATAATCCTCATCACATTGAGCCCGGCAATTGCTCCGGCGTCCTTCGTCGCCTGCCTCTGAGAGTCATTGAAATAAGCCGGCACGGTAACCACAGCATTCTTCACGGTCTGACCCAAGAAAGCTTCCGCAACTTCCTTCATCTTGGTCAACACCATGGAAGAAATCTCCTCCGGAGCAAACTGCTTTTCTTCTCCTTTGTACTGAACCACAATCATGGGCTTGTCGCCTGGACCGGCAATAACCTTAAACGGCCAATGCCTCATGTCCGCCTGAACAGAAGGGTCGGAGAATCTCCGGCCAATCAGCCGTTTGGCATCGAAAACGGTGTTTTGTGGGTTCATGGCAACCTGATTCTTTGCCGCATCACCGATCAACCTTTCAGTATCGGTGAATGCAACATAAGAAGGGGTTGTCCTGTTACCCTGATCATTGGGAATAATCTCCACCCTGTCATTCTGCCATACTCCAACACAACTGTAAGTTGTGCCAAGATCAATACCAATAGCTTTTCCTTCGCTCTTAGCAGCCATTACTACAAAAACAAGTAATCAAAGAAAGATTTTTTTCTGGGAGTTGTAAAGATGGGATTTTTCTTGTTGGGTTTTCTTGAGAGCTCTGGTTAATCGATTTCGATTTTCTGTTGGAGGAAAAAACTGATGATATCTTGGGTATTTATTCTGGGTTGGGAAGTGGGGTCGAGTGAGTTCGAGAGATGGCTGGAGAGATGAACACGCGGTGGTGAAATTGGAGGGATCCGGAAAGAACCAGGACAAACCAGAAAGGTGGAGTTCTTTCTTTCTCATCATTGTCACAGTATATTGGTTGGAATTGGAATTGTGTTTTTGAAGAAATATCAAGAGCCTTCTGGATTTCGCGGGAAAGGCAGGCATTTCGTTTGGGCTTATTATAGTAATTAAGCCCATAACAATTGATATCTTTTTATTACAGATGGACTATGCTTCATATTGGGCTTAGCCTATAATAGAATCAGAGACTTGGCCCATATGAGTAACAAATGCGAAAGGACACTCTATTGAACACTCTCTTCCTAACGGTTGAAATTTTCTTTGAGCTTCTGCTGCTGATGATCAATCAACAGGTGTTTGATAAAATGCCTCAATGATGGAATCATGCGAGTTGCAGATCAACCAATCGTAAGGAAGCTGCAACTTGGTGCTGCTGCTAATGGCCATCAAAATCAACCAATCAGGTTCTCTGGTTTATGGTTTTGATAATTTCTCTGTAGTTCTCACATGATAGAATTGATACTTGCTAGTACTTGATAGTGATATGCATCAATTTTGATTGGATGCTTTGACTCATGGAAGTCCACTTGTATTGCATTCGAGATTGTGGAGGTTTTTTTGCCAAATGTTTGACTCTATAATGGGATGCTGATTTTCGTGTTGCCATTGGACGATTTAAGATGTCATTTGATCTTGTCTGGTGAAGCGAATAGGCACTCAAGATATCTAAGAAAATTGGAAATAAACTTATCTTGACTTGGATATTGATCCTGTTGTTGTAAACCTTTGCATCTTGATTATGCATGTTGTTCTTCCGGTAAAATTCACATGAAATGCTTTTACAAATCATAATGGACTTGTACATTTGATGAACAGGAATATGGTTAAACTATCAGGTCAAGAAGTAAGAAACGGTAATGATTGAACTGTTGGTTTACCTACCTCGGACAACTGTTGCTGTCAGTTAGTTTGGTTTCATTGTGGTTTTTTATCGTCTATATTTTGAATTTGCTTCGGATGCTTTATGATTCTGTTAGTTGCCAAAAGATAAAATGGAAGTCAATGAGCAACTTAAGAAGCTTTCATTGATTTAGAAATTTACATACGCATCAATCACTACTTATAGTGGATGATGAAATTCCAAGAGAAGAGGCAAATGTTGCTGTAGTATCCCCATTAAGGTATTTCTTGAGGCGATCCAGATCATCTGCAGCGTCAAGCATTGTAGGTCGGGCAGAGGGAGAATCCTGGGTGCAAAGGATGCCCAACTCAATTAGTTCTCCTATTGCAACCTCCCACATTTTCTTTACTTCAGGGGTCTCAACCTTCATAGCCCTCATCAATGAAGCATCTACTATTTTCTCAATCTGTCTATGGTACTGCTGTTTGACATATTTGGGCAAGCTTAGATCATCTGCAAACTTGCCATTCATTGGACGCTTTCCAGTCACCATCTCAAGAACAATAACACCAAAGCTGTATACATCTCCCTTTGAAGACGTGTTTACTCCAAACCCATACTCTGACAAGTGATAGATAACATCAAGCAATCAATGCCATGTTCTATAATCTATGCTGTAGATTTTGCAGGCAAAATGATATCTAAAATTAGATAAGTAACGTGAGCTAATCCTTTACATATTATAGGTGTAACATTTGGATTATTTTTAGGCTAATACCTGCCTAATAATGACAACACAAAAATGAAGGGGTGACCTTTTCATTGATAGAAAGTGGCCTTTTTTAAAGAGTTCTTGCAGATTCCTAAAATTAACTTTTGCTAATGTACAAGAGTGCTCTTTTGTTCTCTTTTACATTTTCACAAGTTGCTTAGGACATGCTCTCAGAGGTTCTCCATTCATGCCAACTCTTTGTTTTTTTATTTTAGAGATAAACAATTCAAACGGAAGTTTACCTGGTGGAATGTATCCAATAGATCCACATAACATGTTAGCTGTGATGGAGTTACCCATGTTCTCAGTCCCACCACCATTTCCTGCTCCAATTGTCATAACCAATCTTGCTAACCCAAAGTCTGAGACTAAAGCTGTCATGTCATCATTGAGGAGAACATTGCTTGGCTTTAGATCACAATGTATGACTTTTACTGGAGAATGGTGATGTAAGTAAGCCATCCCTTCTGCAATGTCACTGCAGATATTCACCCTCTGCAGGAGACTCAGGTCTGAGGACCCCGAACTTTGACTTGTTCCTGCCTCTGGGTACAGACAAGCATCTAAGCTCCCATTTGCCATGTAAGGAAGAACAATGGCCTTGAAATCGGGCAAACTGCAAGCTGTGATGATCCTCATTAAGTTCCTATGCCGAATCCTTTTCAGTACTTGGCATTCTCTGTTGAAACTCTTTGTAGAATTTCCAGTTTGCAGGCTAAGAACCTTGACAGCTATTGCGGTGCCATCTCGTAGAGTTCCCTTGTAGACACGTCCATAGCTCCCAGAACCAATCAGACTCTGGTCTTCAAATCCTCCTGTTGCCTCGGCTAGTTCTTTGTATGTAATTCTTGGGAAGTTGTGTGTCGGTTCAGAGGACAGTTTGGATTCATTCTCAGGAATCTTGGTCGTGGGAATCATGTCCCTGAGACGCGGACAGCCAATCACACAGCATATAGTTAAACAGAAGGCTGACACAAATACCACAATGCATAAGATAATCAGAAATTGTGATGAATGGAAATATTTATGCTTTTTATGGCAAGTTTGAAAACCAGGAATATTTCCACAAAGATCAGGGTTGCCAAGGAATGATAAACTTGTGGCAACGTCAAATATGCCACCAGTGGGAATTGGACCATGAAACTTGTTGGATGAGAAATTCATAAAAGTGAGGGTTTGGATTTTGTTCAAGCTTGTTGGTATTGTCCCTGACAACTCGTTCTGTGACACATCTAGAACTTCAAGGTACAGAAGATCACCTAACTTATCAGGAAGAGGACCCTGAAGATGATTATTTGAGAAATTTATTGTCTGCAAAGCAATGCAGTCAGAAATCTGGGGAAATATAGTCCCGTTGAGGCTGTTCGAGGAAAGATCAATTTCTTGGACCTTATCAAGTGAGCTCAATTCAATTGGCAAGTTGCCTTCTAGCTGATTATGCGAGAGATTCAAGTAGCCCCTCATCTCATGCATTCCTAGGATTTCTCTTGGGATGCTTCCTGTGAGATTATTATGAGCCAAATCTAGCGTGTCCATACTTTTGCATTTCCCTAAACTTCGAGGTATTTGTCCCCATAGAAGGTTGTTGTTGAGGAGTAACATACGTAGTTGTTCTAGATCTCCTAAAGTTTCGGGTATCTTACCTGAAAATTTGTTATTTGATAGATCAAGCTGACCCAGACCAGACAACTTTCCTAATGTTGCCGGAATTTCCCCTGAGAAAGAGTTATATGATGCAGAAAGTTGTTGCAAGCCTGATGCCTGACCAATTTCATCGGGAAAAGTACCATTAAAGTGATTGAAAGTCAAGTTGAGCAGTTCAAGATTGTATAGATGACCCATCTCAGGTGGAAGTGATCCATGTATCTGATTTTCTTGCAATAGCATCACCCCAAGACTTGTAGAAATTCCTCCAATGGAAGGAGGCAAGCTCCCTCCGAGGCTCATTCCACCTAATTCAAGCTCCTGAAGCTGAGTGCAGTTTGACAGGGCTGTAAAGAATGGTTCTAAATTGGTGTTACCGTCGTGACTGGTCATGTTATTGTTTGAGAGGTGTAGATACAAAACATATGTTAGCCGTGATACTATGGCCGCAGGGAGTTCACCAGATAGCTGGTTGTATTCGACGTCCAAGTTTATAAGCTGTGTTGCGTTGGTAATAGAGAAAGGGATTTCTCCTGTGAGTTTGTTATTGTACAAGTTGAGATTCCATAAACTCGGACAACTCCCAATCTCTTCTGGGATGGTTCCACTGAGCTGATTTTGAGAGAGATCCACATTGTGCAATGATGTGCAGTTGGAAAAGAGGGAAGGTGGAATTGTGCCATTTAAGTTATTTCCACTCATACTTACCAGTATAAGGTTGGCAAGATGAGAGAATGAATCTGGGATTGGACCACTGAGGTTATTTCCATCCAGCTTGAGATCACGAAGATGTCGAAGAAAAGAAAATTCAGATGGAATAAAGCCAGAGAAATGGTTATTAACAAGCTCCAATCTTCTTAGCTGTGTAAGATTGGAAATAAGGGGTGAGAGTATACCAACAAGACCAGAATCATTGAGATTAAGTACCACTACACGGTGAAGATTGCGTTTGTCACATTTGACGCCGGTGAAGTGGCATACATAAGTGCTCTCATTCCAGTTTGCAAGTATAGAATGTGGATCGGAGATGACCCTTTTGAATGCTAGAAGAGCGGCTTTATCTGTTTCTAGAGAATGGCGGAAAGGAAAACGGTGATTTTGAACAGGAAGAAGAGTTCTTCCAAAGACCATCAACAAATAATGTTGGAACAAGCAGAGGATTATGGTTTCCTTGAAAACTATGTTGGAGAAAAATGCCTTCATTGTGATTGACTTTTGGTTCTAGAGGCTAATTATCACATTAGAAATAGGAGAACTGCATTTTCAGTGAGTGACATTTCTTTTCTTGTTGATGTCTGTGAAATGTGTATCACGAAAAGTGCAGCTTCTGTGGTCTGTGGATGTCGGCATGAACGAAATGTGGGTGAAGATTTTTTTTTTCTTTTCTTCGTTGGTTTTCTTTGGAGATGAACAGTTCAATGGAGCTATGATTTGTAGAGGGACTAGAGATATAGTTCTCCCTAGAGGAGGGTTTTGCTGCTACCATGAGTAGATCTCAACTTAAAAATTCAACCCACTTGGGAAGGCCACTAGAGGAAATATATGCTGCAAGTTTGCAATTGATTGGCTGACTAAATGATTCCTAACTCTATGTTTTCATTGCTTGAGTGCCCTGCAGACTTTGACATCATTCCTTGCTTATTGAGATTTCTTACTTCCTAAAGGCTGTTAAGGCAGAATGTTAAGGTTTTACAGTATTCCCCGCGACAGTAACTCAACCTTTACTGCACCATAGGAGGCGGTTTTACTACTATATGAATCATATGTCGTCCTTGAATTTCATCATATCGTCACATTGATTACATTTTGCTTGATGCATGGAATTCGGGTTTCCTGGCATTCTCCATGTGTTTATTGAGCAATAAAGACTCAGACACACAGTGCTAACTTAAACCAAGTTTGTGACTTTTTTTTTCCCGTAATTTCTACAGTGTAATACCATGGAAACTCCTGCACTAATGTGAGGCCAAATTGCTGCTGATGGCTTGGGTTTAAAACGTTTACATCCTGCAGTAATTTCTACAACTTGATCACAATTGCATATAAAGTCAAATCAAATCTAGTTCAATTCAGAAAATGATATGCATAAGCCATAAAGAATTAACTGATGGCTTGAAAGATTCTAAGCCAAACATCTTTATCTTGCTTAGGTGCCTAACCTAATTATTGGCACAAGAGTAAAAAAGATGACCGGCATAATTGCATAGCCATAACTCCAACTTCAATTTTATAAAGCAGAAATCAAGCAGTGCTTCCCGACGTTTGAAAAGCTACTAATAGAGTAGCAAGAGTATCTTTAGTGACGGTTAATAAAAAGTAAATTATCATTTTATTACACTATTCACCATTACTTAAAGTGTAAAAAATTGGGAGAGTGTAAGAATTAACAAGTTCTTAGGTTATTTATGGAATTAACAAGTTCTTGAAATGTTATTCATAATATAATCATATTAGTCGCCCAAGTCTGATTGAATCTATTAGTGTGACCTTTTTCAAGTTATTATTAGTGTTTTTATCATTACTCCAACCAAAAAAAGTTTACCCGATGGAATCTTCCAATATGAACATGCCCAAATGTGACCTTTTTCTCAAGTTGTATTACTTTCTTACAAGTAGCAAGCTTTCAACTATGAATCTAATGATTAACCGAATCACTGATGATGAGAGATCCGTAGGGATTCACTTCCCAATTTTATAGTCGTTTATTTCTTTTTAATAACATTTTTGTACGGTTTTGGATTAGATGAATTCCTTTGATTATTACAGAAAGAAAACCATACAAATAAATTATATAAGATATTGGATAAGCAAGTTGCTAAAATGCAGAATTAGATTAATGATAGTGGGGGAAGGAAAGCACGCCTAAAAGTGGCAGAAAAATATCGGGATAACATTTACCAGAAAAAAAATAAATTATATTTTGTGATAACGGGTTGAGTAATTATTATTATTTTTTTTCCAAGACACTCTCTACGCATTGGAAAATGGCTAAATGGCAGTCGGTCTATATTTCACGTACGTGTTCTCAGTGTAACTAACTATCATTACCCTTTTGGGAGTGGCGCAGTGATTTTGTGTTTCGATGGTCCATGTTTGAGAAGATATAGTTATTCTAAATTTCATTGTTAAATTTATAGAATTTAAAAGTTTCACTAGAAAAGTAATGACATACTCCCTCTGTCTCATAATTATTGGTCAATTTTAATTTTCATTTCTAGTTCAAACTGTACTAAAACTGAAATCTCAAACTGGACAATAATTTTAAGACAGAGGAAGTACATTTTAGATTCTATTCATATTTAGTGTTGTGATATAGTTTAGACACCTTCGGGAATATATATATCATTATTAACATATTAACACGTGAATTATCGTGTGGAAAAAAAGAAAAAAAATACTCCCTCTGTCCTAAAATTATTGTCCAGTTTGAATTCTCAGTTTTAATACAAATTATACTAAAAGTAAAATCTCAAACTGAATAATAATTATGAGACAACGTGAGTGCATAAATTCATCAGAACATTCATAGCCCAAATTCGGCTCGAGAAATGTTATTCCTCCCTCCCAGAATATTACTGTAAGTTTGTAACGAAGTATCCTAGTGTGAGAATAGTTTTTAATTGGAATTGAATTTACAAGGATAAAATCCAAAACTATGATCTACATTTTTTCATACTCCATAATCTATTAAAAAATAAAATAATATTTTTTAGAAAAAAAAATGAATACTTTTGTATAGTAACCGAACCATCCAAAACAGACTGAATAAGAGAAACGTATAAAATCCATGAAATTTTCATTATAATCAGGAATAAATCTATCCAAGAATTTGTAAATGGATATATTAGGTACCAATCTAAAATTTTGTCTCTTATATACATACTAAAATCATTGTTTGAGTCTGTTCGAATTTGAAATATTATTAGATAAGAAAACAAATAACAACAAATTCACTTGAGCAGCGACCCGAAATCCGTAAAAGGAAAATGAAAAAACTACTGGAAATCCATTTTGGTTTTAACATCATCATCTCTATTTTTAAGCCAACAACTGCGTACATATTTTCTAAACCCATTGGATGCAGGCATTCTATTTTAATTATTGAGTACCTTTTTTTTCCCCCTCTTCTTTTCCTTTCTTGGAGTGCCTTTACTTACCTAAATGTTTAATTTATCAAAATAATTTTTCTTTAGTAACAAAAAGGAAAAAAAAAATCGGAATGAACCCATGATAGTTGTAAGCATTGAATTAATCATGATTCATAATCAAATATTGAAATTCGAAGAGTTGAACTAATCTTTATAAGGACAAAAAAAGGGGGTGATCATTCATTTCAAATGCAATTACATAAGGAAGACAAATTTGTAGTATCTGAATTCACTGCAATAGCCTCATGATTCTTCAAGATTCCCTCCAAGGGTGTGATCACCTGAAATTGGGAGGCCACAATAGGAATTAGGAAATATGTGCTTCAAGTTTGCAATTGATTGGCTGATATATATATATATATATATATATATATATATATATGTGTGTGTGTGTGTGTGTGTGTGTGTGTGTGTGTGTTTCATTCTTCATCTAATTTCAAGCTTTGCTTATTGCACTTGTTCGAGTGCTCTGCAGATTTTGACAACATTCCTAAGTAACGGGATCAGATTTCATACTTCCTAGAGGAGAAAGGCGCAAAAATGATCACAACAACAGTGACTGAATCTTTACTACACTATATGAGGCGTTACTATATTTTTTTTTGAAAAAATGCGAGGCGTTATTATACGAATTAAATGTTGTGATTGTATTTTTCTTTTTTCGTCGCCAAATGTTGTGATTGTATTTTCCTGTGTTTGGCGTTTAAGAGGCTAACATTTACTTTACTAATGTGTTTGTGACTTTCTTGTAAATTCTACCATGTAATATTATCGATGCTAAATGTTAGTCTTGTTTGTTTTCTTTTTTTGATGGTTTTTCTAGAATTATTAATTAAAACTGTCGCATCTTAACATATTTTTTTACATTTCTAATACATCTTTTTACATTTTTAATAAAAAAATACCTAAAAATACACACTGAAAAAACGAAACAAATTCGTTTGAATAACGAAGCGACAGCGAGTAAGTATGCGTATTGCATAAAAGTTCGCAAGCAATAAGTCAGCATCCATTCATCTTGCAACTAAAAAATTACTAGTACTCGATCACAATTGCATACCAAAGAAGTCAAATCAACTCTAGCTCTTCATTGCAGAAAATGAGAAGAATAAAGAGTCAAATGATGGGTGGAAAAGGTTTGGGGTAGCCACAAATCTTTATTTTTGCTTAGGTGCCTAACTTACAAAAAATGATTATTAGCGCAAGAAGAGTAAAAGATGGCTACCAAAATTTAGCATTGCCATAACTCCAAATTCAATTTTGTAAAGCAGAAATGAAAGCATTTGCTTTCCGACATTTGGAAAGTCACCGAAAGAGTAATAATATAATCAGCGACAAACTCACAATAATTTTTGTACCGTGATTGATACGTCATTCACCCAATGAATAAGTTATTAAAATATTCATCACAATTATATTAGTCCCTCCAGTTTAAATATTCCAACAAAAAGAAAAAATAATTATTCCACGGAATCTTCCAATATGATGAACATGCCCAAATGTGATCCCTTTCTCTAATTATAGTATTACTTTCTCACAACTAGCAAGTCTTCAACTGTGAATCTAATGATCACCGAATCACTAATGATGAGATATATTTATATATATCCGTAAGGATTTCACTTCCCAATTTTATTTTATTTTTGATATTTCCCCTACGGTTTTGGATTAGATAAATTCCATTGATTATTACAGGAAGGAAACCATACAAATAAATTACAGATTGAATAAGCAAGTTGCTCAAACTGAGAATTAGAATAATGATGGGGGGAAGCATGCCTAAAAATGGCAGTAAAATATTGGGATGAGGCTAAAGTAATTTTCTAAAGATATATTGGGATATGACTAATGGCAAATCGTTATGTGACGTCACCTATAATCACATTTGTTCTTTTCAGTGCGGCTGGTAACATTATTACATTTCATTTATTTTATTTTTTTTTTCTGCGAGTGGCGCAGTATTTCTTCAAATTCATTTTTCATTACTTTAGATCTGGTAATGCCCGATGATTTTGCTAGATCTTAGTGTGCTGATCATAGTTTAAGATGTTCATTGGATTAATTTTTCACGGTCCATGTTTGGAAATATACATTTGTTATCGAAACAATATTAACAAAATTTATCTATTGTGACAATTATTGTTTACTTTATAGTTTATATTTTACGAGCAATGATTGTAACTGCATCATTTAGTTATCGATTACCATTGGAGATTTAAATAAAACTTATTATTTGTTCGTAATTAACAATGAAACACGTTAAAAGAATTGCAATGGCGATAAACAAATTATATTTATCTAGTAATGGTATAATCTTTCTAGTAGATGTAAAGTGAAATTTAGTTTAAATTTTGTTTTATAAATAAGACTGGAGAGATTAGCTAGAAAGTACAATTTGAAAAATTAAAATATGAATGTACCACGTCTTTCTTGAATGTCCAAATATAGGCCCACATGTGGTTTTACATCAAAACCAAATGATGATGAGGGGAGTAGTACATATGGTATATATGTTGGGTTCAAGTGTTTCCTTTCATCCATGTGAGACAAGGAAACATGAGACCGGGTATTGCTAAACGCAACTTAATTTTTCTTAGCGTAACTTGTGAAATAAACTAAAATACTCCTATGAAGATGTGCGAAGTAAAATCAAACTGTATTTAGCAATAACCATTTTTTCAGACTTCAATGTTCACAATCACAAGTTCATTGTCTCATTAATCTAAACAGCACAACAAAACTAGAATCACACTTGTAATTAAATAGTAATCCATGGAGACTTCTTAGACAAAAATCTGATGAATCCTTGTGTTGGATATTTATAGGAGAGGCAATTTAAATTTTCTATTCTCCATAACACCAAAGCCGTCGATCGCATCTAGAAAAACAAAGAAAAAAAATGATTGCACCAAAAGGAAAAACAATCACCCATTTTGCAAAAAAAAAATAAAATAAAACGATTGGTGATCACTGATCAAACCAAAACTAGAAATTTACCTTATAACAGTTTGCCAAAAAAAAAAGAAAAAAAAATCTACCAGAGAACACATAACCCAAAGCTGCCCGATCACACCAAAAAGAAGTAAAAAATTCACCTAAAAATCACCTTATTTTCTTGTCTTTCACATGTTTTTCGGTTCTCTGACATTAAAACCATCAACAATTGGTGAATTTTAACTGTATCTTGAAAGATGATGTGTGAATTTGTAAAAAGAGATGATCTTAGAAAAAAATTTGGGAAGGTTTATGATTGAGAGTTAATCTATTTTATAAGCTACACGAAATAAAACTAAGTTACGTTTAGCAATCTACTTTCCTTTTTTTCATTCATTTAACAGTCTTTCACTCACAAAGACGAATTTGAGCAACATTTTACGCTGCACAACCAAAGATAGAATCAAAAGTAAATAAATCGTAGGTGAAACGTGAAGAAAAGCCAGGATTTGAGTTAAAATTGTTTGTATTTATTTTAATTTATTAGATTTTATTGCTTACTTTTTTCTAAATAAAAAGAAAAGAAAAGAAAAGGTAAATGAATAATAAAGGTTCGTGACCGTTCATGTGGAAGACACAGTCTTATGTATAAGTTCTTATATTGTGAACATGGTTCACCATATATGGTGCACTAGTCTAATTAATGGAAGCTATTTAATGAATAAATTATTAATAGAAATATTACTAGTGTTAAATTAGTTAATCCTCTTTCCATATTTAATATCATATATCATATATTCAAACCAATTATGTGATTAAAAAAAATTCAAAAAGGAAGAAATGTTTATTTATTAATATACTTCTATTCATACAAAAAACTAAAGGTTCATAATCATACAATGTAAAATTCATGAATGATAAACATATTGTTCATATCAAATATATAAAAAAATTCATATCTTTTAATTAAAAAATTGTGCACATAATTATAAATTAAAGATTTTCATATTTTTAATCTTCTATTCATACATACAACTATGACTATTTATGAAGATTATGCTAAATGTTCATACAAATTAGAGAAATTTCAAAAGATTGTATGTATAATAAATGTTCATACTCTTTTTCAGAAATATTCATGAATAATAATGATACTTTTCATATCATATCATGTGTATTGAAATTTCACAATTTTTTTTTTTTGAGAATTGAAAGACTAATGCAAATAAGTAGTCTATATTCATACCCATATAAAATAATGTTCATGAGAATTATGTAAATTTTCATATAAAAAACATAAAAAAAAAAATTAAATATTTAAAAATCCTTATATTTATAGTTCATACTCATTTTATGAAAAATTCATGAGTTATAGTAATATTTTTTATGACATATATATCAAATTTCATGATTTTTTGTTACATTTAAATTGTTCCTAATTTTCAAACTACGTCGGTAATTATGAATAGAGGAAAGAGTCAGTAATTATGAATAGAAGAAATAGTTACAAAATTATTAGAATATTGTTTTGTTATATTCGAAGCATGGTATGAGAAATTAAATGATGAAAGAGAATGAATTGATTTAATAAATTTTTTTTAATTTTTCATTCCATAATTAAATTATATTAATTAGACAAGTATACCATATATGATACGCATGGTTCACCGTATAAATTGCCCTCATGAAGAGGGCGTACTTTGGAATATAAGGGAGAGTTGTTGTTCATTAATGACGTTCCAGATAATATTAGGGCTTATTCCCAGAATACTGGAATAGTGGAATGGGATATTCTATTTTTGTAACCATTTCTATTTTTGAACTTTTTCCCTTATTTTACAGATGAATATTCTAGAATAGGAAATGATATTTATCTCATCAAATTTATCTCATCTTACATGTAAATCATTTATTGGATAATAAATTTTTTGCATTTGTGCACTAATATTGATAAAAAATTATATTTTTATCAATATTAGTCCAATTAATAAATCATTTACATTATTATAATTTTTCCCTTAAAGGTTTACTTTTTTCAGGGTTAAGGTATATTTATTTTAAAATTTTAGATATATAAATACCCAAAAAGTCTATACATTCAATAAAAAATATTTAAATTTATTTATTGAATTTCATCTAATAATTAAATGTCATATAAGGTGAGATACAATGATGAGATGAATTAGGAAAGATGTGTATATTACTCATTCTAGAATATATTGGTTTGCACATTGATTCTGTCACTGGAATTACAGGGATGGAGATTAAATGAATAAAATTACGGACTTGCTTCCTCATAATAATGAATTTCAGGATCTCATACGTGACACATTGAAGTCCAAAAATATTCATCCCAGACCCAAAGTTCCAAGCATTAATTCCTAGCCCAAATTCACGTTGAAAAAATGTTACATGTGATGGAAGAAATATCTCCCAACTTCTTAAATATCAATTACATTTACAAGGAAAAATTCCAAATTGTATTTTCATGGTTTCTGAAATGGTTGTGCGGGATGGCATTTTTATTTTAAGTATAAATTTTATTTGAGTGAAACTCCAAATGACAATTATTTTAGAACAATAGGAATATATAATGCATGCCGTATAATCTATATATAAACAATTCACATATGTACATATATATATATATATTTCGGGGAAAAAAAGAAGAAAAATTTAATTTTTATCTAGAAAAGTATTCAGAACGAATTAATGAAGAAAAGTTGAAATCACGAAGTCATTAATTGGATTTGATTAAGACAGACATGCCTATGGAAATGCAATATTGCTTTTGAGAATCGAGAATATATTGGTACAAAAACCGTGGGTCGTTTAGTCCCACTTTTTTATTGTCAACACCTGCGATAATGCAATGAATTCTAAACAGAAACTGAAATTCGATGAAATGAATTGGCCATAAAACAAATTACGAAATGGTAAAATAATATAATACAATCTTAACGTCAACCTATCCACCAGCCTCTCATTCCGGTCACTTCGTCGGCGTTCGACGACTTCGGGCAGAAATCCATTTCACTGAAAGAACCTTTTATTCCTCAGTATTTGTAATTTACAAAACATGCAGCCGAAGAGGGAGTCCTTTTTCTGGGGTTGGCATCATATCACCAGTAACCTTTTCGTTTGGATCCAAAACCTCCCACTTATAATTTTTTACCACATTGTGGACAAAAGCAAGTATTGCTAGCCGCGCGTATTCTTTTCCTGGGCACATTCTTGGTCCTCCTCCAAATGGCACGTATGTGTACGGTGCCGGGGCTTCGCCTTCGTCGTATCTTGATGGATCGAATTTCTCAGGATTCTTGAAATATGTTGGGTTTGTATTAGTCGTGCTTACTGTCCAGTATACCTGTAATATTGAATTGAAATTAATATAAATATATTTTTATTGTTACGTTATAGATGTGACAATTTACTCGTTAGCGTAAAATTATATATGTCTTACCTTCCAACCTTTGGGAACGGTGTAACCAGCATAAGTGAATTCAGTCAAGACTTCTCTGAATGTTCCTTGAAGAGGTGGATTAAGTCTCATTGTCTCGCAAATAACATTCCAAGAGTACTTCATTTTCTGCATGTCTTCCCATTCCAACAACTCTCCTGGCTTTTTAGAGGCGGCCAATTCCATTTGCTCTGTAGATGATTATTAATTAGAATAAAGTCGAATGATAAGGAAAATGAAAAGTAACATGTATTAATCTAAATAGTAATTTTCGTTCTTTGAGTCTATCATATTGAAAATTGCCAAAACATCTCATATGTTTCAAGACCAACCCCATAAAACATCATCCACCAAGTGGTTGTCCTATCCTACATATTTTATCCTTCAACGACACTGACTTGTCGTTAGTACGATGAAATACGAATCAAACTTACAATGGGTTCGTGAAATAATTATTATAACCATTAAAAAAATACCTAGCAATTTGTTGATCACAAGAATTATTTTGGCACTTGTCGCGTTTTTGACTCGTCGTGTATTACGTGGTCTTTGGGGGCAAAGAAATCTTTTACTACACAAGTCAACTGCCTCAGTCAAAAAAACATCAAGTACTCTTTTTTTTTTTTTTTTACCTAGTCTGAACTGAAATTTAGTGGAACTTTCATCTACTGCTTTTTTATCATGAACATATTAGGTACTGGATCATTGGTTGATACTCCCTCATTCCAAAAATGAAAAAAGAAATAGTACACTTTATAAGATTAAAAAATAGTACAAAGAAAAAGTTAATTTGTTTTTTTTTTTTTTTCTAGAACGGGACATTATTTGTGTTCTAGCAAACTCTTTAGTGCTTCTACCAAAGTGAAAATCAACGTGTGTGTTCAAGGCCCACTGAGAAAATTCCTTGAACCATCCAAAGACATTGTAGTAAAATAAATATTCGTGAAGAGAAAAAGTTTAGTACTCATATCGTAAGTATTCGGTTAAATAAGTATGCGACGTGCATAAACATACAAAAAATATCTCATTTCTTAAATTATTGTACTAACTTAATACGTGATGTTTTTTGTTTTTTTTTTATATATTATTAATTAGTAAGTATCTTCCTTCAGTGTATAAAACAAAAAAGAATGAATTTATGAAATTAAAAGAAAATGTCAAGGAGGTGGAGAAATGGATTTAATTAATTTACCTGCTCGGATCTTTTCATAAATATCTGGATTTTCTCCAACATATTTCATGAGGAAAGTTATAGTAGTAGCCACCGTACTATAACCAGCAACAATCACTCCCATGATTTTATCGGCGATCTCAGCTTCCGGCATGGATTTTCCGGTGGGATCAGTAACCACGATCATGTGCGACAATATGTCATGCATGGGAGCACCTTTAGATATGGCGATTTTCTTCTCTTTAATCACTTCAAGCAAAACTTTCCTAATCGCCGCCGCCGCTTTATTCGCTCTGTAGAAAATGGTCCCCGGAATATTCAACATAATCGAATGCATCCCCAAAGTAATATCATCGAAATGGTCCACAAGTTGGGCGATCCTCTCTGGGTTTTCGACGCCCAAGAAGAATCTGCAAGACAGTGTTAGGGTGATGATTTTGGCTAATGGGTATGCTTTCACTTCCTCCTTTCCGGCCCAGTGGGCTTTCAGGAGTTCGTTTGATGTTGAATCCATTCTGCCCAGGAATCTGGATAATGCTTCGGGTTTTAAGAAACCCGGTTGGCGAATGGCTTTAGTTTCGTCGCTTTTGGGTCTCGGGTCGGATGATTCCGGCGGAGGAGGAGGCGGGGGGGCGGAGGAGGATTTGGATTGGTATGATCGGAAGAGGTGTTGCATGGGATGTGGCCGGAATGCGGTGAACAGTTTTTGCTCGTTGGAGAAGAGGAATTTGTGTCCGTTTGGGCCGCAGATGACGGCGGTTTTTTCTCCGAGGATCTTTGTCTTGAAGATGTCCGGGGAGTATTTCTTCATCCTTTCTCCGACGAAGACTTCCGGCTTACCGAATAAGAATTCCATTGTTTCGCCGATGATCGGCCAGCCGAAGCTTCCCGGTGGAAGCTGTTTGACGCCTTCATCAGACTTGTTCCGCCGGAAAAGAAAGATTGAAAGAACAAAGGAGATAAAAACAAGCCCGATTGAAATGGCTAGAGAAAAATCAACTTCCATGGCTGAAATCAAATGAATTAACTGCGTACAAGTTTCTTCAAATGATTTCTTTCTTGAAGAAATGCCGAAAATGAAGATAGAGTTTGAAGGGATAACTGATGATGTCGTAGTTGCTGTAAGAGGAATCTATTTATAGGAAACAGACCGATTGATGATGTGTGTAATAATATGAAATTGCTTATATTTATTTATTTCTGTTACAATTTTTTATTCTTATTTCCGCATACCACGTTACGGCTTCGTCAAAAGTGAACAACTGAGTACATATGCTAAGGACTAATTAACGATAATTTTATAATTCGGAATTAATTGAAGAAGTCAATAGAATTTAACCAATGAAAAACAAGCTAATTAACAGGAAAAATATTCTTTTAAAAAATAAATTATTGATTCGTGGCATTGAAAGAAGTTGAAGAATAGGTTGATTAATTAACGATTAGGCATTGCTGAAATTGTTTTTCTCTTAAATCATGATCAACTGTTGACCGTGACTACTGCAACATACCAAAACAACAAAAGACGGATTCATGTGAAAATCAGTTTGTACCAAAAGAGAAAAAAAAAAAAATATATATATATATATATATATATATATAGAAGGAATGCTAATCAATTTATGCTTTTCATCATGATTTTTCCTTATTAAGTAAAATTAAATCCTTTTTATGAAGAGAGTAATTTAATAATAATGGTTCCTATACATTGGGAGTTAATTATAAATATCACAGGAAAGGTTCGTTTCCTTTCTTCTTCTCAGTAAAATCCCATTTCACACGTCAGAGAAATATTGCATCTGTTTTTGTATATTACTGGGCTTTGAAGATAGTAGAAATGGTCGACATGGTTGAACAATATACTATAACTACAGTACTCCATATAGTAGTCATTTTTAGCGTAACATGGAAAGGAAAGTCGTTCCGGAGTCCGGACAGACGAAAAATAAAATAATACGTTGCAACTCGGACTTAATCTAAAATCAGACATTCTGGAATAAATTATGAACTTATTTATTATAAATAATTAATACTAATTCTCAAGGAATCAACTTGAAAGGATTTGCTAGAATCAACCATTCCATCGATACTCCAAACACAATATTTCAAAGTGCGCGCGCGTGTGTGTGTTTTTTTTTTTTTAACGTTTAAGTTTTTAACAGCAGTAGTTCGCATCTTTATGTAATTTCAGAGTTTTTTTTTTTTTTTAGAAAACACTTTATTAATAAGTTGGAATCAGCCAGCACTGAATGATAACCAGTTTGGAGGAGTTGGATTTTTGGATTAATTTCAGAGTTAGATTTTGGTGATTTACTTAAACAATTATTTTTGTTTTGTGGATTAACCGTGTCATATGATAATTTTGGAGCTTCATGCTCTTGATGATTTTATTAATGTAACTACTTATATACAACTTCAATAGTCTTGCAGAATTAGGATGTGAACTCTTTTTTTGGTTTCAAAACTTTCTCACTCACCTACTTTAGTAACAAACCGAAAATAGTGAATATAATGATTGATTTTGTTTTCTCTTTCCCCTCTACCGCCTGTGTTTTCTTCGTGGCTACTTCGTTTCAAGTTTCAACAAGACCAATTATTGACTCTTTTAAAGTTTAAATAATAACTGGATCTTTGATTATTTTATATTGAAAAAATACGTTTATAAAGATCGAATATGATGTAAAACTCAAAAAGCATTTGCGTTTTTTTATTAAGAATAATAATCAATGAAAAACTATAGATGATATGTAAAATAACAGGATGTTGCAATTACAACGAGAGTTTGATTGTTTGATCTACATTTTCTTTTTAAAAAGGTAAACAGTTAATATTTGCAATATTTTTTTTTAATTGTTTTTTCATGAAAAGTAGAGAAAATTTTGATTGGTTATTTGTTGTTCTTCAATCAAGTGGGACTAGGAAAACATCAATTGAAATTTTACGCACATATTATACATGTTGGTTTGGGAACTTTTTTCAGTTCACCTTTCGATCGAAGATACTACTCCCTCCGTCTCATAATTATTATCTAATTGGAATTTTCATTTTTAATTCAAATTATACTAAAAGTAAAATTTCAAACTGGACAATAATTTTGGGACAGAGGGAGTATTAGTTATGGTTTTGTACCAAAAAAAAAAGAAAAAAAAAAAGAGAAGATATTAGTTATGGCAAACACTTGCCATAATTCTAAGACCAATGGATTTTCTGGTGCATAGTCAATAAATCTTAATTTATAGGGTTTGAAACTACTTTTCTAAACATCCCGATTCTTGATATGTTCGAGTTTATATGGTAAGGAAAATACAAAATAACCCGAGAAAAACAGACACCGAATCGCTACACTTTTGAGTTGTCTGATCGCATTAATAACGGTTGATCATGTTTTATTAAAAAAAAAAAACATATAGAGAAAATGGTTATGCAAAAGCTATGTACAATTTGAATTTTGAATGGCCACAGTGAAAATGTATTACTAATTCAATTCATTTAATTCTAAATCAAAATCAAGTTTGTTTATATTTCGGTTAATATATGGCTTTATGCTATGATTTGATCCAAAATCTACAATATATTTAAAATCTGAACAGGAGAGCTTATGCTTTAAAATACATAACTTGATATCAGACCATTTTGTAAAATTTAGTTTAGCTAATCACCATTATGGATAAGGTTAATAATCCCATCCGAACTTTGGGATCTGATTTGATTTACTGTACATTTCTTAGATAATTTGAGTCACGATTCAAACAAAATTCTGCCATGTCAACAATACCATCCAAGCAAAAGTACGTGGATTTTCGGGGAAAATATACAGTTTTCACATTCTTAAAAATCTCTGAGTAGTAATTGTTTGAATTTTTTAAAAAGCTAAAAATTTAATAAATTGCTACATTGAGAGATTGATTAGTTTTTCTCTCTTTGGGTTTTTTTTTATTAATGTACTATATAGATTAAATTATTATTTACTCATGGATTAAAGTGGTCAGCTAACTCGTGCACTCAAATAATGTTTGCTTTAGAGGAATAAAATAATAGTTTGGGAAAGTTTAATGAAATTGGAGGGCGAATTCTCGCTATTCACATTTACCAACTCTATATTTTCCTCTAGTTTTCACATGATCACATCTCCGTTCTCTTCCACCGCTTCAAGTCAATATGGATCTATTTTTGTGGTAGTTAGAGTGATTGATAAGTTACTATTGACGGATGAATTTGGGAGGAAGGATAAAAAAAAACCCATAACCTTTATAACTTATGTTTGATTGTGTGACACATTTCTGCTAGTGCTTGATAGAGATTTTTTATACCAAAACATGCGATTATTTACTTAAAAACAAATTACAGGTGATAATACTAAAATTGAAAATCTAAACTGGACAATAATTTTGGGACATAAGAAGTATAAAATATTTTGATTTGTCCAAAATATCATTTAATATATTCTTTCAATTAAAAACATAGTAAATGAAATTTAAAACAAATCAAAATTTTTTAGTATGATGTGAATTTCCTTCAGCTCAGCCCTGTACGAAACAAAGTTAGGATGACAGATATGAATCAAACTCCCTCTAAGTTTGAACCTGTGGTAAAAAATAGGTGGATTTAATGTCTATTTCACACTACTAGCTATTGTGCACGACTATATCTGTAATTCATTTTCATAGTTAAAAAATATGCTTCAAAAATCAAACCCACGTCCTTACACATATACATATTGTGTCTTCCCCCCTTCCTTTCCAAATATAACGTCTACCCTTATTAGTTTTTGGGTGGAAGATTTAGGTTCATAATTATTTAGTCATAATTCAAACCTCATCGGGAAGTAATTTCTAGGAGGTTGTTGCCATATACTTCTTCTTTCCGACTATCGCAAAATGAATATCTTGTTTAAATATTAATTGTATTAAACATAAAATTTAAGTTGTACAATAATTTTGTGATGAAAAGAATATTTGATACTGAAACATCTGACTTTGTTAATTAGTCCGAGGATCTATAGCCCATAAATATGATGGCAAAAAGTCCTAAATTCCTAGCATTTGGGGCATTTCACATGGGTAGACAAAATAAATTTTTGTCAACTCAAGTGAGCCAACAGATCAAGTGCATGGCCAACTGATTTTGACCCTTCCGGTGACTGAGTTTATTATAAAAACCTCGTATTTGGGGCGTGTCACATAGTATACATTTAATTGATTATTATGGGGGATGATGTGTATCAGTTCAGCTCGCACATTCATTGTGACTTTACGGTCTAATAATAATTAGACAAATTTGGTTTGCACCAGACACCAGTTTGGAATATTGGCTTTGCCCAAAAAATGCAAAATTAATGCTTATGTAACCAAACTGGCCACTTCCCATACTTCGCTTGCCATTTCATTTGACTCGGTAATTTTATGACGCTTGATTTACTTTTGTTTGCCTTTGTCAGGATTAGTAATTAAAGACCCTAAAATGATGTCGGAAATAACATGAACATGTAATAATAATGTAAGTTTGATAATTCAATCTACACTTTTTTAAAAAAATAACAATATAAATAAAAATTAAACAGTGCAATTGGTTTTTTGTTTAAATTATGTTTTTCCTTGAAAAAATAGAGAATATTTTTTATAGTTTTTTTGAGTTTTCTATAAAATGGAGTTGAAAAAGTCAACTTGAATCGAATTTTGGTTGCGTTTTTTTCTTTTTTTGAAAATTTAATTTTGGTTGCGTAGAACACATATATTAATTGATTAAAAAAATTGGTCCATCCCTCCTCCATTAAACCAAATATTGGCTTAGGTTTTTTGTTCAATTTGCCTAACGTACGAAGATACGATGACCGGCAATTACTATAAATGAATCAGTCTAGAGAGTTTTCACTTTTCAGGTGTAATCAACAAGTCTTGATTCAAATTTGAAACTACTTCTAAAAATCTCGTATTCTGGTTTTCAATATATATATATATATATATATATATATATATATATATATATATCTGGTAAATGGTAAATTTTCATTTTAACTCATCAAAATCAAGTTATGTACAACAAAACTTATATACAACAATTTAGGAACCTAATGTCATGTCCACTACTATTTCTATAAAACTTTGTAATTCTCCAGCTGATCTCAGTTTTCACCATCATCCATTTGTCCTTTGCTGCCATCTTCTTGT